ATTAAAATATTTAACACTTTTAAGACAATTGACGATTATGCACTGTCACACTTCTTAGGTCGTGTAAGGAATAATTGCATTTAATTTATATTTAGACCTGTTTTACGAATGCTTTGGTTTTCACAATACACCTTTATTTGTCAATATCATACAGCTATTCACTGAAACATATATGTTTTTTTTTAAAGTCAGAATATTCAATACTAAAAACAGAATTACTGTATACACAAATAAGATCAAACGTTAAAATACATTTTTTATAGTAACCAAAACAAAATGCAGGGCAAGAAATAGTTTATTGATCAATATGAAGCAACTGTTTCATTAAGAATTGTCTCTAGCTTCATTTAAATGGTTTCAACTAACAGCTGTAGGAATGTTATCATTATTTATTGCCTTCTCTGCACAAATGTAAACAATCTGCACAAATGTAAACAAAATAAATGTTGAATATTTAAGGTTTTCAGAATTTTTCACCGAAACAAATATTATACTTAAACATAATATATAAGGTACCAAATAGAAACTCTCCTGGTTATTTTGGTGGTGGAACCAGACTGATCGGTAAAAGAATCACAGAGAAATTGGTGAACATACATAGAAAAAAAAAACATCGCCACAAACAAATTGAGAACCTCCTCCTTTTGTTGACAGTGGGGAAGTCGGTTAAAAATAGGACAAAACAATACAAACTAAGTCGTAGCATAGATAAAATGAGTCCTTTTATCTATGGTCGTAGTATTACAGGAAAACATTTATCACTGTCAAAAGTATATTCTCGAGTAAATATACCAAGTAGTTTGTTTAAGCTTGGGTATTTGCTGCTTTTCAGCTAAATGACCGTTACATCAACTGAAGACCCGTTGTTTTGACGGATACAAATGAAGTGTGTGAACGCTGCTTGGAAAATAAACCTTTGGAACTCTTCTCTTGACAGCAAGCCTTTGTCTTAGCTGTCGTATTTTTCTCCGTTTTAAGACTCTGATATGATGTTTTAAGCCTTCCGATTAACTTTGAATGCACAGATGAATTTTCAACACTATACTATAAAACTTTTGTTAAGTTCGATAAGCAGCTAAAGAAGTAGATCAATACATTTATCAACAAACTTTAAATCCGAACTCATATACTAACAACAAATAACATTTAAACACAGTGTAAAGTGGGGATGCAGTCTCAGTCGAATGTATATACGAGTACATTATTTTTAATCTGTGCCTTCCAAGAGATAGAGAAGGTAAACCTGAATTGGTAATCATCTTAAACTATCGGAAAACTAAACTGATTGTAATCAAAGCTATTAATATTCATTACCTCGCTACTTCAATTCTTGTTAGTTTCAAAGCAGTCATTTAGAATAATTCCTGGTTAAAATAGTAACTAGCTCAAACAACGTGTCGTAAACTTAAAAGAAATTATTTTGAAAGACATTTCAATGAAATTAAACTATAAATTTTTGATGGCGTGAACTGAGTACACAATAAAATTTCTAAAATCATTTAAACTGATTAATTATTAAATTTTCATACTACAGTTATATTAAGAAGCCCATTGGGATGGTAAAATGTTGGTCCAAACTAAAAACACTCTTTCTTTACGTGAAAGTTTAATAACATAAACTCGACGATGGAAGTAATATTAAACGTTATAAATTAGGCGATATTGCAGACTAATCGAGTTTTACAAGTTTGATGAGTTCCCGTAAAACGATGATGGGTCCAGTTTTAACCCACCAATATAATAAAGGTTACTTATTTTTAGAATTTCTAAAATATCGTATAATGAATTCATCATGCTAATCACTAGCTCCTGTTTTTTGCGTGTTTATCAATATTCCACCCCCCCCCCCCCCCCCTGAGATAATACTTGTCTAAATAGACTAATGCACACGTTTATCTTACTCTGTCATATACAGATTCACATGATTTTGTCTCAATAAATTCTAGTAAATCCTACTAACTAATAACAAAACTTGGTTTTGTTACTATGTACAAACTACATTTTTTTCTTACAGGTAGCCTACTTTATTATGCTTAGTTTTGAGCAAATGTGTTAATGACTATATAATCTCTTATATTATTTTTTTCCAAAACAAAAATATGTATGTAGCTAATGTTTGTGAAAACTGTAAATCGAACTAAATTTTTATCGTTTTCAACTTAAAACATTTTAACTGGAGATAAACTTTAAAATAATTCCAAATCAACGTAGATTGTGAGGAATTGTCTCTTATCGGTGAAGTCTAAGAAACTTCTGCCAAAGGTCTGAAACCCATTCAGCCATTGTAATGCAATGGCCTTTCTTATCTCGCAATTGTCATGATTACCCGTTTTGTTCCTTTACCCTTTATGTAGGTTGATAAGGAAGAATTGACTCTTAGACTTTAAATTGTTACTTTTCTTTGAGTTGATACCTGTAGACTTATTTTGAAAATAAGTCACCATTGTGAGTGTAAATTGGTTTTTAGGTTTCGTGTGAACTTGGTTTATTAGTAAATCGGCTGATTAATATTTTAACTATCAACTTTTGTGCTCATATTTACAGATTTATTTAATGACTACCTGTTAAGAAAATTACGTTTTATCTATGAAATTACTTTACTATCGAAATCATACATTAGTCCAACAACTAATTATGTGATATGGGTTGTTTCCCATTTTTTCATATACTTCACTTACTAAAGCGCAGTTGTCACATTACTGTAGCATATTTGAGAATGTGACAGATTATTAATATTCCATAGAATATCACAATATTCTAACTGAATATCACAATAGTCAATGACACTGTATTTAAACATTATTGTGCACTTATCCGCATAGCTTTGCTGTTCCCGCTCCCGGCGGATGAAAGCGTTGGTATCAGCGTAAGTTTTGTACAATAAATAAATAAAATCCTAGTCGAGTGATACATGAGCATCTAGTTGTGAAAGAATTATTCAAGATATCAAACCTACATTTTGTATACTTTATACTAAGTGCTGAACAAAACCTGATCAAGCGAAGCAGTTGTCTACGCCTGGGTTTGAAGCTGGGCGTACGGTAAAGCTTATAAAAACCCACATCACAAATCACCTGTACAAAACCGGTGGATGCCCTATTTTACTTCACAGGCTCTTAAACGTATGCCACCAAAGCAATGCCGTTATCCACGAGAACACGCTATAATCCATGTTATTTTCTATGGTTTATAGCCAATTTTTAGAAGGCCTACAACAGCTTTATTTTCTGGCTCAAATCAAAATTATGTATACTGATCGCCTATACGAAACTCTTTTAGGGTAAAAACTTACATACAGACAAGACAGGGATTGAGATGAGGGCGGGTGGGACGATTAGGGCGAGCTGTAGCGGAGCGGCGACAGGAACGGGAGCTCACTCTGTTCCAAGATGTCACATAGCAAGTTCGCACGCAATGCTGCACAGCGAAAACACGTGAAAAACATAAATTAATTTTGCGTGCTTCAAACCAGTCGGAGTGGGTGCATGAAGAGAATGAGGGAAGGGAGGTGCTCAGGAGCATGGTGAATACCACTTTTCTAGTTCTTAAGAAGCATGAATCACGATTTGTGAAATATATGGGTATGTCTAAATCGACCTATGATGTATGTCTAACTGATTGGAGGAAAGGAAAAAAATATGCGCAGATGAGAGGCTGGTGGTAACTATGAGGTAAAAGATTATTCGTAATATCTCGGTTTCCATAGCTGTTCTTTTTTGTAATTAAAAGAAATATATAAGTAAAATAATTGACAACACTGCACTTTACCTTCGCACAGTGACTAGAGCAGGCTGACTCACCCCTCACGATAAAGTCGTTGCCCACTCCACTCCCAAATGCTTGAAAAAAGTTTACTACTTGATTCTATGGGTTTGATTTTGTCCCTCTTAATCGCGCCACTCCGCTCCCAATCACTCTTTGTGTTTTTACCAAGGCCACCTCTAACTCCAGGCAACGGCCTTCGAAGTGGCAACGTCGCAAGTGGGGTTGTAACAGTTGTTTTTGTTTGGAAGCAGCTAATGGTATTTATGTATTTAGGAAAGATTGGATACTGGACTATGAAAATATTGACTCCGCTTTAAATGTACAGATATATATTTTCAATTCATATTGTTTTGGTTTTCAATTCTGTATGTTTTATTTTAATAAATTTATATTCATAAACTTAAATCAATAACGGGCCAATTAATGAGCTGATGTCACCTGTCTACCATGTTATCTTATGGGACGTCTGACACTAAACAACCCTACTTGCGACGTTGCCAATTCTACCAGTTAAAGGCAACCGTGGGATGGTTTTTACCCTGTGTGCGAGTTACTACTTGATTGTATGGGGTATGGGTTTGATTTACGTCTCTCTAAATTGCATCGCTCCTCTTCGCTCTCAGTCGCTGTATGTGTCTTTTTACCCTAGTGGAGATCATTGATTATAGGTCTATTTTTGTTGAGCTGGCTATTTTTCCAATTAAATATAATGCATCCTGCTCCTAAATAGTTTAATATAAAAAAGTCCATAACCAGAGGAAGTATTGGACCACTGCGTCAAAAGGACAGACAGCACCCGTACCGTATAAGACACTGAGACAGGAGACATAATGATTATTGACCCTTCGGCAAGTTGAACAGAAAACATTTTCGCGAGTTTATTCAAATTTATAACACTGTATCCACTGCCACAACACAATAATGAGCAGTTACATGTAAAAATCATATAGGTGAATGCGTATAAAATAATATCGCATGGGATAAAATGAGTAACTCAATACTGTATCATCAACTCTGAGAAAATTTGCTATCGTAGCATATTTAAACAATATTGGTAATGTTTTAAACCTCTGCACTGCCAGAGTATAATTATAATCAATGCTATAATCAATGCCATAGTCAATTACTCCTTCTTCCTTCTGCTGTGTATCGTAATTAGGCCAACGTACTGGACCAACGGGTGACGGAGCGTCGTGAGGCGAAGCAACAAGCCAAGCAACAAACAAGCAACAAAGAAAAGAACGCAAGCGACGAAGACGAAACATTTCTGTTTGTTTACAATTTAGGCTAGGTTTTATCTGCTGTTTAGAGACTAAATTGTGACTCATACCTTTAGGTGAGTAATTAAATTAAAGGTTTATGTGAATCAGAATTACTGTAAAGAATTTAGTTTCCTTATATTACAGAGATACTATACAATCAACTGGAGGTGAGAAGAATGTAGGTTATTGGTACACATATCTAATGTAGGCCCTTGCAATGCAAGTTAAATGTAATTTTATCATGGCAAAAGGAATTCAAATTAGGAATGTATCGTTTTTTAGCATCTAAATATGAGACTTATGATATAGGCTAGTAAGTAAAATCAAAGGCTAAGAGTACGGTACCTATCCTATCTATAATCTATTGGACCGTGGGGTTATGCTTTGGGCCAGAGAATGCCACATGTAAGAGCAATAAAGTTGAATATTTGAGCGTTACAAACAATTCCCCAAACATTTCAAGTCATTGTCAAGCTCTAACTTACAGAATAATGGGGCTATAGCTTGGGTTTGCTCTAATAATGTCAATTATTGCTTCAATTGGACATTTGGGGCAAAACTTTGCTATAGCCTACTGGTGACGTGCCTATTTATTCCAACAATTTGGTGATGTAGTTTTACTTACTTTAATCTGTTCTTTTAGCGAATTTCCCCAAGTTATAGGGAAGTAGCCATTAACTTACTGTAGGTGGCACGGTAAGACCTAGGCCCGGGACCGATTTCATTTTGATGTCCCCAGAGGCTAAAAACACCATTTGTTCAAATATTTATATAACTTTTATATACATAGGCCTATATAGATTTATATATGTACGTTATATAAGTTAGCCTATAACTTAGCCTACGTCCGTAAATGCGATAGCTTGAGTTTAACTTCATTTTTGTCCGATTTTGATGAAATTTGGTTTAAAGGTGTAAGGCGGGATGAACCTTGAAAGAGCTTGCGAACTAGCATGATCCGACCATGGGAACAGGGTTTTATGGATTAAAAATTGGGTTTTATAATTTTTGACCCTCAAAACACAAAGTTTTCCAATTTCCCTCCAGCCCTTTTTAAAGAGCTTTTTTAAAAAACAAATAGTTAGGCCTAAGTACCGTACCTGGGTACACTTCCATATCTGTTTGCACAAACAACCGAATGAGTACCGGTAGCCTAATATCCATCAATATCGATTATTCGATATATCATTTGGTTAGTTAGGTAAGGTTAACCTAACCTAATTAACCAAACGATATATCAAATTAAACAATCGATCAATCAATATTACTCATTCGGTTGTTTGTGCCAACAGGTATGGAAGTGTACCCCAGTACCCTAATATCAAAGTCTTTTTGTACGGTTATTGGTATGGAGAAAATTTGAAAAATTGTAAATTTAAAATCCGCATGTTATTATTATATTAGGCCTATGGAGAATATTGTAAAATGTTGTACAGTAGTTTGCTTGTTTATTGATATATTTATCTATTAATATTTTACTAAAAAGCACACTTTATTAGTTTCCTTGTAGCTGCAAACCTAGGTACTAGTTAAGCCTACCTAATGTTATTTAGTTGAAAATCAATTCAGAAGAATGGAAATTCGCTTAGTCAGCATGTTTGCTGCAGCGGGGGTATTTTAATTTGTACCAAGCCTAGACCTATAGACATCCCAAGAACAAAACAACCTGCGCAGAAACGAAAAGATCACGTGGTTCACGCTGGTAGGTGTGGCGTACCCTTCAAACCTGAGGCGCGGCTCAAGTCACAGTAGGTCATAATGTGTCTATAAATATAAACAGATTATACAGGAGATCTCTTGTAGTAAGAAAGAATAACCGTCTTTGTATCGGGGATGTACATCTGTTAAAATGTTGTTTAATGTAGGGCCTAGAGATTTCTCATCCCTAAGTCAAAGGGATTGCTTGGTAGCCTATAATGCTTCGAATTTTAGGAGTAGTACGATTGATAACTTAGTTGTAAACTTGCAGACTATAAGACGTAATAAGAGGAGAGTAGCTGAGCCGGAGGTTACACAACGCCAGCATGGGATGGGTGGATGTCTGACGTTAGATAGAGAAGAAGCCAAGGCTCGTCAGCGAAGTGATGAGATTGACAAGCAACTCAGCGAGCTCGCTCATCAAGAGAGAAACATCATCAAGATCCTGCTGCTCGGTAAGACAAAAACAACTAGAACCATCTTGCATGATCTCCTATCGCTAAAAATTATTTACAGACATATAAAATGGTTCTGAATTTTGTCTGTAAATAGGCATATTAAAAATGCAGGAGACTTTTCACAGTGTCTGAATAAATAGCGCAGGCTTCGGGGATTTTTTCTGGATTTCAAAAATTAAGTTAACTGCAGAATAACTTTTTATTAAGCTTAAGTAGAGGTACTGTGAATTCATTATAATCTTTCTTCGATGTGCTAAAACGGTCTAAAAATCTTCTTAAAAACTGGAACAGTCCTAACATTAAAATAAAATATCTGAACACTTTCAGGTTGGCAAATTCAGATTAATACTACGATGTTTTATGTTTGCAGGGGCGGGGGAGAGTGGCAAGAGCACGTTGGTGAAACAGATGAAGATCATCCATAGTGATGGCTTCACTAGAGACGAGCTTTGCAGCTTCCGACCCACTGTCATGGATAACCTTTTGTCGTCCATGAAGTACGTGCTGGGTGGCATGGGACTGCTGCGGATCAACTTGCAAACTGCTAAGAACAAGGTAAACTCTCCCACTGGCCTTTGCAGCTAGGTCACCAGAAAATATAACTTTAGGCTTTGGTATTTGAATTTGAGGGATTATTGTGGTAGACATTTTCCGTCACAATTCTAGGAAAAACAAATTTTCAAGACAAGTTTTTTACTAATTGTGATAGGTAACAAATTCCCGCAATACTCCCTCAAATACTATAAACCCACCATCACCAAAAATGAGCTTCTAACTGAGAATTAACTTATTTTTTTAAACAGTAGCTCCAAATTAGTTTCCTTACTATTAACTCAAAGCTGTCATATGTTAGTTTAAACTTTTACTGAATTAGGGTCAGCGTTCATTTTAATACCTAGACATGTTTGAAATGTAGGCATAGTAGCCTACACTTAGAGGGCAGAAATCTTGACCATTGAACATTTCACAATGATAACAATTAACAATACACTTTTTGTAAATATTGAGTTGTTAATACTATTGTTAACCATGTTGCTATGTAACTTATCGTACATTGTGTCATGTAGGGCCATGCCCAGACTGTACTCACAGCCACCAGCTGTTTTGACAAAAGTTTCACCATGTTGCCGGACGTCGCTGTCGCGCTGCAATGTCTGTGGCAAGACAGAGGGGTGAGACTGGCTGTCGCAAGAGGCTTTGAGTATCAACTCAACGACTCTGCCATTTAGTGAGTATCAACATGTCAGCCCCTAATACTATTCGTAACAATAAATCACAACAATAAAATCTAGTATAGCTAAAATGACAATACAATTGATAAATTTAATCAACAGGCATAGAGAATATTGCTCTATACGTTATTAATTGAGCAATTCATCTCTGTTAATAGCTCACTTTTGATTTACATCCTGGTCTGGTTAAATCCTAAGGTTAAATTAGCAAGGTTCAAAGATAATCTTTTATATTAGACATTGACATCCTCTCACTATTGCCATAATGTCAAACATCTGGTATTGTTTGTTTTTAAAACATATCCTAATGAAGCAATCAGGACCGTATGGATATGGTTTTACGGCCGTATAAATTTAGCTTTATGCCACACCTGAGATCTGCCACCACCGCTTCCCTCTAGCCTATTACAGTATTTTTAAATGTGCCTACTTCTATTCCGGCAGAATGAAACCCCTCCAATAGTCACCCGTAATTGCACATACATCAACAAGTAAAATTACAAGTTTGTTTAAAAACTAGCCTTATTTTCCGTGGTCGAGCTAACATTGTTAAAGCTGTATGCTTCGTCAAGTATTGTAATAGTAACCTTACTTTCTGCTGTAGCCTGTTTGACAACATGGATCGCATCTGTGACCCTAAATATGTCCCGACGGCAACTGATGTTCTGAGAGCCAGGGTGAGGACCAATGGCATCATTGAAACTCACTTCAAGATCAATGACTTTATCATCAGGTAAACCAACTATATTGAACTGTGTCTTTGGGACCACAAGTAGCTCTCTATGGTGTGGATTGCAATGTATAAGTATTTTAACATTTTACTGCACTTTTGTTTGGAATACTTTGAGTAAAGAACGTTATCTGTAACCACCATTTTGTCCCTTGTTTGTGCAGCCAGGACCATTTATTTAAAGTACAACAATCAACTAAGATTGGCCTAGTGTTGATCCATCAATTTCCAAATATTATAATATTATTTGCATATTTCAAGCACTGTCTTTTTTGACCAGGCCTAACATACCTATATTTCTAATGTTTTACATAAAGTCATAGCTGCATGTGACACCATCTTGAACTCTCATCCAGTTATGGTACCTATTACAACCTATTTATATTCATGCATGCATACCTTTTTAATGTTGTAGGCCTAAAAAAATCACTGAGCAAATTGTTAACCGCTATTTTATTTTAGAACAATATTATTTAAAAGTTTGTTACTTAAAATAAATCAGTGACAATAATCCTAAATAGACTTAGGCCTAAAATTGTATTATTTTCTTAAATTCCACTTTAACCTTTGTTGTTTCAATGCATCAATTAGTTTTAATTTGTAGTATTTTTGTTTAATAATTACAGAATGTTTGACGTTGGAGGTCAGAGATCCCAGAGACGGAAGTGGATTTATTGTTTTGATGATGTCAAGGCTGTGCTGTTCGTTGTCTCTCTCAGCGGCTATGATATGACACTAATTGTAAGTAATTGATGTCTTTGTACCGTGACGAGTGTTTGTTTAGATTGGATCAGCCAGAAGATTGGTAACATTTTACTAAAAATTTTGTCAATTCAATTAAGTGGTTATTTCTTGTATGATTGATCTTGGGATGTTTATTTTGTTTACTAAAAAGATTTGAATAGGTATGTTTTAAAGATGGTACCGTAGTGTTAATATTTAAAGATATGAAAAATGATTCCCTGTACATGGTCCCAGAGGTCTCTGCCTGAAAATGCCTCTCAGCCTCCTTTTACATTTTACTTTATCTTGAGCCATCCAAGTTGGCCTTTAAGAATCTCACACCGTAAATAGGAATTTTAAAGAAGGCATAAATACTAGAAGAGTTCATTAATAAAGCAATTTTGGTTTTTCTCAATATAAAAACAATTTTCTTCATTTATTTAAAAGTGTTTGTGTGTTAGTTCCAATATAATCTTTAGTCAATGTTTCATGACCAAAACTGCTAAACAGAAAAATAACTAAAATAAAAGCGATATGATGATCATAGGTTCTATCTCTTTTATTTTGTCCGGATTGACTTCCTTGTGGCGTTCCTTGTGGAAGCAGAACTTAAGCAAAACATACTTTGTATAAAATAACCTACATCTTCATTTACATGTTAATTGGTCTTGGATCACTTTCTAATAAAATCATTTTAACTTATCCCATCGTACTAACTGTTATTATTGCTGCAGGAAGATTCCAGTGTCAACCGGTTGGAAGAGAGTTTGAACTTGTTCTCTCAGATCGTCAACAACCGGTTCTTCAGAGAAGCTAGCTTCATTCTGTTTCTAAACAAGTTTGATTTGTTCAGAGAAAAGATCTTGTACTCTGGACGACATTTGAGGTTGTACTTCCCTGATTATAGAGGTGAGAACACTGATATTGGTAGAACTGATTGTAGTAGCCTACATAGAGTGGGCCCAGTAGTAGTCACCAATTCCTACCTGTTTCCAGGAATAAATCCAGTCTGGCCAAGACAAATAATAAATCAAATAATAAATCTTGTATCTCACTAAGAGAAACTCTTTTTTTCCTTTATACACATTTCAAAGGAGCTAGATGGATGGATAGATTATAAGTGGATGAAACTTTTGTTAGTGAATTAGTAAGTGTTTAAAAAATAGTGACAAAAAGATAGTTAGTTTTTCTCAGGCGATGTGGTCAGGGCCGTCACATGGTTTATTAGCACCCAGGGTGGGATATTGCCAGGCACCCCCCTTCCCATACCAAACACAAATGAGTGACGCTCGTAGTGGGTTGCGTCGATGTCTGAGACATCATCTGTAATGGAGACAATAACCATCATCCTCCACAATTGTGTCAAAATCCTGAATACCTCCGTGACCCCAGAAACATTATTTTGTTAGTTGCGGAAAAAATGTGATCTTTGCAGACACATTTTGTGATAGCCAAAACATTCTGATCGTAAAAGCTCGGCTTAAGCTCGATTTTCTGACTTGGTGCTTGATTCCTCAAGCGTGTATGCAGGCTAAGCTTGGCATGGCTCCAAAATCAAACCACCCATACACCTTTATGTTATGTACACCTAACATTTTTCAAATTTTGGTAATACCTCATGATCATCATGTTTGACCTGAGGCCCCCCCCCCCCAAGTCCGCCGCTTTCAAGGCACCCCCCACCCCCACCCCCACGCGACGGCCCTGGATATTGTTGAGACATTAGATTCATATCATAGAAATCTTGATCTTGGTATTGTATTTGCTTGGTTATTGCAAAAATTGTTGTTTAATAAAACTCTTTGTTGGTTTACAGTATCATAATATACAGTAAGAGTCCCGCAAACTCGGCGTTGTGTGGACTGGAAGGGTGCCGAGTTTGTGAAATGCCGGGTTATCCGGAACTAGAGTTAAAAATAAGAGAAATACACTTTTTAAGCTTTTTAACCGCCTTTTTCAATTAGATTTCTATTACAAGTCAGTATTAAGTCATCAGATATAGTATAACAAATCCTTAGTACGAGTTGCGAATGATTATACTTGAGCTGGCTTGTGTCCATGTTTAACTCGGACTCAAAAAATCACTAATTTTCTGAGCCAGGTGATGGCCGAGTTATCCAGACTGCCGGGTTATCCAGTGCCGAGTTTGCGGGACTCTACTGTAACAGTAAAGTGTTATTTAATAGCACTAGCTTCCTGCACAGTAAACATGAGATGAGTGGGTATTTCTTATTCATTTAAGTACTTTTATACTATTAACAATATTTCATATTGATGAAAATGTAAAGCATGTAGCCTTATTTAAATGCTGTAGACAACATTCTTCAGAGTGGAATGTGTCTTGATTAGCAAATCAAATATACAATTCTTTGAGAACAAACATTTTTTCAGTTTTTTTTTACAGTGAAAGCTATTTAAGCATCGTTTTTTTAGACTATCTAGTATGGTTTTGCAGGGCCGGACTTTGATGTGGACAGAGGTGCTCTGTTTATCCAGCACAAGTTTGCTCTCCGCAACCACAACTCTGCCAAGGTGTTGTACCCTCACTTCACCACAGCCACGGACACCAGCAATGTGCAGGTGGTCATGGACATGGTCATCAGTGAGAACTTGGCTCAAGTCACTCTGGTGTAACAGGTTAGTCGATAAACTGGACCTAAACTGGGATTTTTAAATGACCTGCCAAAGCAGCAGTTGATAAGCAAATATACGTCATTCCCTTCATTCTACTGCACAGTGATGATCAGGTGTTGTGGTCAGTGGCGTTTTTGATGCTATTATTGGGACCGGACTCCATTTAGATCATCGGAAATTCGGATAATTGGATTTTTACCGAAGTTCAGAGTCTTTTAAAAAAATAGGCCAAGTCATGCCGACCTTTTACTATTGCGTTTCGCGATTCTAAAATTTAAACTTTTGCTGCAGTGCGGAGTACGATTGTCGGTTATGATTTTCCGTGACCACGGGAGACGATGATGGTGTCAACACGACCTTAGGATATATATAACATTTTGCTGTGATCGCGAAAAACAATGACGAGGTTACCATGACTGCGGGAGAAGATGATGGTTTCTACACGACCGTGGTATATATTTATGATTTCGCCGCGATTGCGTTGAACAATAATGATGTTTCCATGACCGCATGAGACGATGATGGTTTCAACACGATCGCGAGACAAATTTTGGATTTTGCTGAGGTCACCCCTTCTGCCTTCTTTAACAATTCTTATTACTGTGGTTTTAAATTATTTCTGTAAGCAATTTGGATAGTTTGAGTTCGGATAATTGGAGTTCTACTGTATCTAATAGTTTCTGAAATAGCAATGGTGGCACAATTAACCCTTCCCGGACGGGTGACGGATATATCCGCCTAAGTTTTTGGCGATAAAGAACGGGTGACGGATATATCAGCTTATAGTTTTTGATGTTCCGGACGGGAAGCGGATATATCCGCCTTCTTTTCAGACAGACTGGCAGGTGCTTGAGCAGTAACCAGATGTTTCGCGGTACCAAGGCAATACTTTCCTGCTATCTCCATGGCTGCGCTCTCTCCCGCACTCCCCCCTCTCTCACGCGTCTACCCTCTCCCCTCGCACCACCCACCTCTCCTATGCTCCCCCCTCGACGTTTCACGCTCAACACTACGTTGTCTTTATTTATTGTTTACATATTGTTCTTTATTTATTGCCTAACGTTGTCATGGTCATATCTTCAAAGACGGGTGGCGGATATATCCGCTGCTTTTCTACTCATCCGCGGACGGGTAACTGATATATATCCGCTATTTAAAAACGAGTAAAAAAATTATTTTGACATTATGAAGTGTTCTATTGTGTTTATTTCATGTATACTTGTATAACAAAACACAAACAAAGAAAATTAATTTTTATTCTTTTCTACAATTTTTTCCTGTCCTATATCATGATTTCGCCCGTCCGGGAAGGGTTAATTTGTTCATGCTGTATATACAAGTGTTATTATCGGGTTTTTTTTTACCATAGGAAATGTAAATCTTCTCTAAGAATCAAATAATTAAAAAAGGCATGATTGATCGATCTAATTTCAAATTCGTTAGAACTAAAGCAAACAAATAACTACAGTTGTGGACACTAAAAGGTAGGCTACTTCTTCATGCTCAAACCAGTATCATTCTACAAAGTGGTGGTCTAGCCGACAGATAGTCTCTACATTCATAACTTTTTTACCATGTACTGTACCATATGAATCACTTATTTCATTGGAAATCGTGTTTTCTGAATAGTAGTTCAATTTTATTCAGTTGATTAGGCCTATTCTTATAAAAAAGTTAGCATACATTGTTGTTTTTTACAGATGTTGAACTGAATGAAACGATTGGTCTCAAAAGATTCTCTAATGTTGTTCCTACAAAAGAAGATCATTTACCAAAAATCGTCGATCCAAAACGTGTAAAGATTAAGGTAGACTGTAGGAGGAACAAATACAATTGTAAGTGTTAAATATATTTGGAATCAACCTTTATTTTGTTTGTAGAATTTGTATTTATTTATTGTTTAAAATAATGTTTTCCCGGTAGAATTTGTTTTCTAGAAATCTTTAGTGAAAATATGGCTTGTTAGTTGTATTTCATTATATTTATATATACATAAAGTAGATTTAGAAGTTTCACATTACTTGGTGATAAGTCTAAAAAAGATCATACTTTGATTATGTTGACTATGTGGAATGTTTTTTTTTTTCTTTTGTAAAATAATGTAGATAAATAGCCTAATAAAGCTTTATTTTCCGTTAGTTAAAAGTAAAAGTATTATATTTAAAAGTCCATGGTAGATTACTTACTTTGTTATTTTTACCTGAGTGCAATAATTATTCTTGACTAAGTTCTGGTTCAGTATTATGATGGAGACCTTTAGTAGTATATTACGTTACTAGTCCTGAAAATGAGTGTTTACCGGACGAGTGTGGTCGTTCCCGTGCGAGACGAAGTCAAGTACGGGATTACCATACGAGTCCGGTACACACATTTTGGACGAGTTAGGTACGATAGTTTACGCCATACTAATAAATCTGTACAAATCCTTATATATTTCCACCAACTAAAGGAATAAAAATCACTATATGTTTTTGTTTATAACCATTCATTGCCACCTAAATACAGTATAATCAGCTGATTGGTGTCCGGTAAAACTCATTTCAGTACAGTAGTACGCAATGAAACCCCATTTGAATAAGCTGGCGGCAAACAGCTGTTTTCTGGACTAAATCCTTGCGTGGGAAGTTCGTCAAAATAATGTAGTGTGGCGTAAATATTTTTTCATTAATTAAGACAGTCGAGTTTTGATCAGTCGTCCAAACTAAAGTCTATCTAGCATTACCAACTAAGCAAGATACCCTGCTTATCATCTATTGTTTTCTTTATTTTTATTAGAACAATATAATTGACAAGTTTAAGACATATTTCTCAAAAAGTCCAATTAGTCATGTTAGTAAAACTTAACCCAGCCAAATTAAATTTTACATTTTCAGGGTATTTGTTGTTGACTAAAATGTGTAAATTAAGTGCTGAACACTTCTTTTGTATCTTAGAAACATGTTCAAATTATGTGTATATTGATGTAACAATTAAAAAAAAATGTTTTTCAAAATTATACTGTACCAGTTGTACAGTAATGGAGGCCAGCAGTTAAGGTGTTAAGGCTCGATTATACAGGATAAGATTAAAAGCTACTAGTAGCCTTTTTTACACAAAGTTTGTGAATTAGCCCTATGTTCTCACTAGAATCACTCAATACCTGTTATTAAAAAAGCTCTGGAAAAGTGTACGGTACTTTCTTATTAGACGGAGGCCGCCCTTATACGCGCTGCATCGTTTATGTTAGGTTTGGTTATCATACATATGTTTGTAGGACTTTCCTTGTTTTGTTATGAATCAAATGATATCAGATGAGGCATACTTTCGCCTGCCAAATCCCCTCCAAGTTGGCCAAGGTCAGATCATTGACCAGAGCGCGCGCATCACCTGTCACCACCTGTATCTGGGTCAGCGTCCTGAGTGATAACTCATCTGGTATCGTTTGATTCATAACGAAATGAGGAAAGTCCTACAAACATAACCCAAACTAAGATATCCGCCGCATTGCGCTGTATAACTACTTGGCGGAGTGTAGCTAGCGGCGGCAATTCATTCAACTCAATCCTCGCTGACATAGCTGCCTACTGGGAGGCAGAACTCAAAGGCCGCTAAACGTAATCATGTCAAATTTCAACAGTAAGTCAAATAAAGTATGTTCTTTCCATTTATATAGTTATTTTTCGTCTCCAGTAAAAAAATTCCCTCTAAAATAAGTGGCCTCCGCAATAATTAAAAAATACCAAGTTTACTCTGCCGGTGAAATTACAGGCCTCTTACTCGATTTTGAGCAAACTATATCATGGTAAATACTATCGAAGTGTGACTATCACAGTTGCTTGTGCACAAGTGACAAATGGCATTAGTCTTGATGATGTTAGAGGAATTGGTGAGTAGTAGGAGCTTTTTTGGTACTTGCTGAGAAGTCTACTTTGTTTACTTGATGACTTGTTATTATATTAGCTTGCACTGTAAAGTTGAGCCTTACCCTAGCTTTAAAAATTACTTTGGAGCTACTGCAGTTTTTGAAAATAAGATGCCATTAGGTCATTTAACTTAATGCTAACTTGATTGATGTATTTCTATCATCAGGATGAACATTTCTCGTAACCTGACTTTATAATTTGTTTTTATTGGACATAACGTTGAGGCCTACCCCAAGATCTCTTTAATTACTTTGATACAATTGGTATCATATTTATCATGTGATACCACAATAAATAATATAATTGATATAAAACATTAGATTTTATAGAGTAAGTATTATTTCCTGCTTCTTTTACATTTAATTCCCAAATGAACAGGTTTAATTTATTTTCTTATTTTGTGGCCATTTAGGCTACTAGCCTGTTAGTGCAATTTATTCTTATCTCCAGCACCAGTGTTTGTTGGATGCTTTTCCATTTTTTTGCTTACTCGTGGTCAATTATCCCTCTTACATGTTACTACATAAATTATTCTTCTTATAGGAGCAACTGTGTTATTCACATCCCCTGTGCCTTATGTATTTTATGCAGCTGTTGACAATACAGCAAATGATTGTGTTCATTTTTACAAAGTTTTATAGCTAATAAGGTTTATTGATGAAATATTTTGAGATTTGGTGTAAGCCTTTTTATAAGCTTCGCAGTATTTTAAGAGAAAATTTGTTATCTTGTTGCATTTGAGCAGTTTATAGTTTTTCAAATAAATGTTCAGAAGAGCTGCGGTTTTCTTTACTTTTCCCTGATATTGAAAATGCAAATCTCATAGACATAAGCATGTAGATATAAAAGTTAGTATGTTATAACGTTTGGTCATTGTATTCACTATAGACAGGTTATTACAATAAATAAGAGATTCGCTGAAAGGAAAATGAGGTCTTCAGTTTGTCTCACTAAAAAAGGATTTTCATTTCACATAACATAAATAAGACACAATTTGTTAACATTAAATGATTTATTCATCGAAGAATTGTACACACATACAACTCATCCTTTTTTATTACAATGTGATAACAGTAGTGTATAATGTATAACTTTATCAGATTTTCTCTGTGGTAACGCTAAGATTCTTTGGTAAATGAACTTTTTGATTGTTAATTACAATATTAATGTGTGTACTTAAGTGCCACACCATTTTTCCAACCAACTTCTATACCTCCACATTGGATGATGACTGGTAACTTATTATCTTTTCAAGCTTCCGGTATAGAGGTGGTGGGTTTGAAATGTGTCTACTGTATTTAAACACCTACCAAACTGAATCTCTGCCCTAAAAAGAAATATCCATCCCTCATTAGTCTTTAGAAATGGTCTTTTTAGAAATACAACTGTACTTGCTAGACTTTAAAGTTAATGAAACAGGACTTCTGGAATAATAGCAACGAAACAACCACGCCACAGCCGTAATAGGTGGTACAAGGTACAACGATTGGTAACATTCATCTATCTATTCTACAATAAATACTGGCCGTCAGTTGGGCAATGCCAAACGCCGTGTCTCTAACTTGAATAAGCATAGGTATTTCAACGCATAAAGATTTTATATCTTTCTCTTAACTTAATCCATACTCTGAACAGTTTTCCTTTGTTTTTTTTCTCTCTCGATTTATTAACTGACTTCTTCTTGATGTCGTTAAAAACTCGTATAATAAAATAACCAGATTGTTTGTGTTTGAACCTAAACGATTGAAAAATATGAAAATATTCTTATGATAAAAAACGGGATTAAAAATATATTGTAACAGATACTGATTTTGTCAAACTATATAAGCTGGCTTTATTTCAGCTTCATTATCTGTATCATGGATCTATACTGTAAACAGCTTCATTCAGAGGAATCGACTGCCATGCTCAATAGCCTCCTGTGAGAGCTTTAGAAAACAACTAACAACCTTCTACATTCCAGTTTTTGGTGAAATTCCTATGCTTTCTATTTAAATATTCAATACATTGACAACACTATACAAATATACAACTTAAATAGTATATACATTGGCTTCCATAACCGTAGCACGACAGAAAACTTGAATATTTGTGCCTTAATAACAGGACAAACGTAAATTTCAAACATCAAAACGTGGATCGATTAAAAAATGAACTATGCACTAAAAGTATTGTCTACTGTTACGTACAATGCCCCTTCAAAAACCATCACATCTACCAAACCTTTATACAGGTGAGAAAATAACTTCTGTAAATATATAACTGTTTCGCTATAAAAATATTAATTTTATTAGAAAACGAGAGTAGCAAAATTACCGATTTACCAAAAATATGGTTTCTTTTTCTTATTTACGATGAAATGCACAATCGGAAGCATTTGTTTATTTGATCGTATTGTGTTGTAATTTACCAATACTACTTCATCAAGAAGCAATTTTATATGAATCAATGTTAACAGGGTTCAGTCAATCATTTTACTCTGTTCATCTACACAGACCTTATGTTTGCATATGGATCGTGATAAGTATACGAGGAAATTATCTACAAGTTTTTAAATGAAAAGAACTACAATTAGATCCTTCACATTTGATTCAGTTCTATATAAAGTCAACAGTTGAATCCTACTTAAATTTTACAAACAAATTAAATTCTTACTAAACCTATACTTCTACAGTATCTTAATTAACATACATTCTCTTTATAAGTTATTGTTTTCAAACTCGTCAAGTTTTGGAAGCACACTCTGGAACACTCCACAGCAGTTATTATGTTAAATTTGTCAAGAAATTGAAGATTGTTATACACCAAGCCTACTCTGGCAGGGCTTGAAAGCATTGTATGGTGAATTGCAAGATGTGCTCCCATTGCTTGATTTAGTTTTCATATCAATCAAACTATAAAAGTACAGTTCTAAGTGTAAACAATAAAGTTTTAATTTGGCTAACTCATCAGATATCTTGAAAACAGAAAGTGACTGTTGTTTCTGCTTGATAATCTCGCAATAATAAAGATGGTTCTTGTCGGGGCTTCATTAAACATCTTCTCATTTCCAATCTTTTACCTTCTAGTATGCCGGGGCCTGATAGTCTCCTGGGCCTGAAAAGAAAACAATTTGTAATTAATGAGAACATTACAGTATAAATAGTATTGATTGGCTAATTATGCTGGATCCAAAGAATAATTTTGTATGTATGTGTCGTTTTATTGATGTAAGAGAAATACAAAGCAAAAAAATCCTACATTGTAGTGCTCTACTATGTACGGTACATCCCTATTGTTCTGTCAATTGGTATCTCCGAGGAACTAACCAGTTTAATACTGTTGATGATATTAATGTTCAATAAATCTTTCCTAAGGAACTGGAATTTAAATTGAGGCAGCTGACATCTTAAATCTTTTCCGAACAAATTTCCACTCCATTTGGAACGTAACATTTTTCTTAAGTATTCGAGCTTTGTCACGATGGCGGGAAAAGATTAGGTTGTTTCCGTGACTGTGGGAGACGATGATGATGTCTTCAAGAGCGAAGAAGACATCATCATTTTACCGCAGTCGGGGAACAAGATTAAGTTGTTTCCGTGACCACGGGAGACGAAGATGATGTCTGCAAGACCGAAGAAGACATTCAAGATTATGCGACAATGACAGAAAAAAATATTACGTTGTTTCCGTGATTGCGGGAGCTACGAAGATAATGTCTAAAATCGATGAAGATATTAAAGGTTTTGCCACAATCGCAGGAAAAGATTACACCGTTTCAGTGACCGTTGGAGACAATGATGGTATATTTCAAGAGCGAAGAAAATATTGATATTTTTCCGCAATCAAGCTCTCTAGCCCTACTAAGCATTGAATGAGAATGGGCTCTTGTTCGTGACTTCGGCTAGCTAGCAACTAGCTTTTTCCCAACAGAAGAAAAGAATATTAGTATTATTTTAGTTACTGTACTGCTGTTACTGTATATGTACTGCTGGGGGGCGCCACTCAATGTAATTATGCCACTGGACTTTGCACTAGACACCACTTAAGTGTAGCATTACATGTTTCTCTTTACCTTACCTCTTTGTGGAAGATGCAATTTAATTTGTATTTAGCTGATCCTATCTTATTTCCATAACTTCATTTTCTCAATGTATATAATTAATTATATCAAGTTGTATTCTTAAGAATTTGACCGCTCTAACTTTGCGTGGTGTGCTAAGTATGGCAACAGAAAATCATTGAAAATTATCACCTTTTTTTCAGATAATCTCCATTTTTGGGATTACAACAAATAATATTCCTGTGGTGAATTTGAATTAGATATTTTAGCTCATACCTCGCTGTTGGTTCTGGGAGAACGGAGCCTCTTGGTAGGTAGTGTCGCTGTCTGGGCCGTAGCTGGTGTAGGCGGCTCCGGGGAGGGAGGGGTCGGCCTCATAGCTTGGGGCAAAGGCAGAGTCAACTCCAGCCCTGAACCTCTGGTAGGCGAACCAAGCACAGCCGGCCTGTGGCCAACACATTGGGTAAGATTAAACAGATAAGGAAACAAAGTAGAGTGTCGGTTAGCCTGGTCATTCGAAACGTCAGTAAACCAAATTGAAGAAAGATACTAGAATATAAATTCTAGTCTGTTATGGCCATTGGCCAATATTCACTCAGTTCAGTTAGTTGCCTGAAGTCAGTTGGGCATTCCCCAGTGACAGTTTATACACTAAACTGTCCTGTTGCTTGGATCTAACTGACCATGTTGCCTAAGCAGAAATGTCTAGTGCTTCCTATTTCTGATTAACTTAAGCTATTGGAGCAGGTGAGAAAAGGTGAAAGTGGGTCGAGTTTAGCTCAGGAATATTGACTGGGAAACGCAAAAACACTAAAAGAATTGTAAAGCCCTTACAAAATTTTTGTGTGTTGGACTGGAAGAAGTAAAGAGTTTCAAGTTCCAATTAACAAAATTTATTTTAACATGTAAAAGTCTGTTTTAGTGTTTTCAGTTTTAGATTTGGTGAAACATATTTCAAAGTTGAAATAATATATCTCATTTTACCGGTCAAATGGCCGATTAACCAAAAAATCTATTATCCGAACACCTCCAATCCCCAATTGTTTTGGATAATCGACTCTGCGCTACAGTTTGCTGAACTATAATTAGTTGTCATGCAGTTTTCAATTTATTTTAAAATTAGTTTACAATTTTGTTACCCAAGTGAAGATGGAGAAGAAGGAGAAGACGATAACAGCCTGGGCATTGTTGACTCCGTAATTACCCTCAGGAGTCTCAGCATTGCTCCACTCGTTGGCCAAGTAACAAAACCCGATAAAGTACAACAGAGTCCAGAACGCTGCAAACAGAAACATGATAACACATGTCAATATATGCAGACACAGTGGAAAAACGTGGATTAAGTGTTTGCTTGTGACCAAGTAAATTGAATTTTCTCAGTTGGTGATGCAGGTTGAAAAAAGTGTATACTTAATGTAAATTAGAACAGTGTTGACAAGGTGTCCCATCAATTTTTACTTTCTCCCCCTATACCATAGTATATGGAGAAAGTATTGTTTTCGTCAAAATTTTCGAGTTTGAGTTTTGAGTGGATATATTCGTTTTGGGTCCCCCTGGACCAAAAAAAGTGGTTTTCGAAGTGATGTCTGTGTGTGTGTGTGTGTCTGTGTGTCTGGATGTGTACAGAGCTAGAGACTACACCTGTGGTCCGATTTCGATGAAATTTGGTATGTAGGTTCTAATCCATGGTATCTCCAGGCGTTTTTTTCATTTTTTTGAAATTTTGATTTTTAATGGGGATTTTCCCATAAAAACCCATAAAAAACCGGAAAAATCGGATTTTCTCAAAAATGGCCCGAACGATTTTGATAAAAATTTAGTATGCTGTAGCCCTTTAAATTCTGAACAAAATGGTACAAATCCCATTTCTGTAAAAATTACGTTTCAAAATTTATGGTAAATTGTGTTATTTTCCCATAAAACCCCATAAAAAACGAAAAATAGGATTTTAGACAAAAATCCTGTATTGATTTAACATAGTACTTATGTTATGGTCCTTACAATTTTGATAGTTTCTCATTTTTTAGAAATTTTTATTTTTAATGGGGATTTTCCCATAAAACCCCATAAAATAATGGAAAAATAGGATTTTCCCAAAAATGGCCTGAACGATTTTGATAAAAATTTAGTATGTTATAGTCCTTTATATTCTGAACAAAATGGTACAAATCCCATTTCTGTATAAATTACGGTTCAAAAGTTATTGTAAATTATGTTATTTTCCCATAAAAACCCCATAAAATAACGGAAAAATCTGATTTTCCCAAAATTGGCTCGAACGATACACGTGATAAAGGTTGTTGTCAAACTTATGGGAGAAAGTATGTGTCAGAATGCTGATACCGTTTATTATACTTGTAGAGATTAGGTGAAACATAAAGGGTTGTTGGAAGATTAGCTTTAGATTGATTTGGCTTTAGTAAAAACTATTAGTTGAGGATTTTATCAATTTTGAATTCTAAGAATAACAATAAAAACTTAAAAGCTGTCAGGGCAGAGCCCTAAGGAGAGTATTCAATACAAATTTGCCTATGTCCATTTAGGCCTGTGGTAGCCTATATTGCCTCAATTCATGGAACAAATCAGCTCAATTGGTCAAGTAATTTCCACGTGATTGACAATGTGACATACTCCAAACTTATAATCTTCTAATATATAAAATTCTCGTGTCACAGTGTTTGTCTGCAAACTCCTCCGGAACGACTTCACCGATCGTTATGAAATTTGGTGTGTAAATTCCGTAGGTATGCGAATCGGACGTAAACTATTTCCCGTTTCGAAATTCTTAAAAGGGCTCCGCCCCAGTGGCTCTGGAGTTTCCCATGTTAACCTTATGAGAAATGGAATTAATGAATCTTAACAGCTGTTTCAATTAAACAAGTTGGTTCTGTTCTATGATGTTCAATAGCATTAAAGTTACAAGGATTACCAACAGGGTGCAGCACTATTATTTCTTTTACATTTATGACAACAGCTAATTTGCAACCAAAAGGTGAGTGAGCGTAGCGAACGAACTTCAACCTGGAGGCGAGTTAGCGTAGCGAAACGAGCTAACCTGAAGGCAAGTGAGCGCAGCAAACGAGCTCCAACCTAAAGGTGAGTGAGCGTAGCGAACGAGCTCCAACCCAAAGGTGAGTGAGCGTAGCGAACGAACTTCAACCTGGAGGCGAGTTAGCGTAGCGAACGAGCTAACCTGAAGGCAAGTGAGCGCAGCGAACGAGCTCCAACCTAAAGGTGAGTGAGCGTAGCGAACGAGCTCCAACCCAAAGGTGAGTGAGCGTAGCGAACGAACTTCAACCAGGACGTGATTGAGCGATGCGAACAAGATCATCTTGAAAATTAAACGCAACGGTACTTTCTTTCCATCGGTCTGTCTTAGGGGAAACCTATAACTTAGGCGATACGAAGTTCGCCGGGTCAGCTAGTACCTTTATAATATTAGTTCATTCCATCCAAGTCATTCATTGTTGATTGATCAGTAATGAACTAAAAATAAAAACATGCTACTTCGTTTCCCAGACATTGTTTTGAGGGAAAACAAACATACAAACAGAATACATTTTTATACATAATTTGAAAAAAAAGAAAGTCATTAAATTTAAAACATTATACACTTAAAAACTTTAAATGCCCTATTCACACAGTATCACAAATTATTTAGTAGTATCAAATTAAATTAAAAACAATAGTATATTCTAAAGATATGTATAATCTCTGGCAGTATGTATAATTAATACAAACCTCATAAGAAGCGCAATGCATATTGTAAAAAATTGATACTGGGAATAGTTGAATTTCAGATAGTTCTATCGGTGGCCGCTAGGTAGTGAAGTCGCTACTGTCGAGAGCGCTTGGCCAAGTCAGCTATAAGGTATATACCGGTAAGCTGAATTTCCTAATGCCAATATTTTTATTCTTTCGAAAGAGTATTCCTCCGCAAATCGAGCACTGGCTATATCATGTTAAATTTCAGCGCAATCTGACTAGTAGTTAATGGTGTATGATTGAGCCCCAAAAAAACAAAAACACAAACTTTCAGAATATTCCTTCCTACGGGGTTGGCGTATAAGTATAAAATGCTTATTGCAGTTAAATACTCGTGCTTTGCGTTTGCAATGGGATAGGACAAGTTTTAAGAAAATTTGGTTTACTATGAAATGAAATGAAATCAACTTTATTCATACTTTGCAAACATGTGCACGAATGGCGTCATTACATTGGATCAAAATCATAATGCTTAATCCCAAAAAAGTACAAGATATAATCACTACGGTATTGAAAAAGTTCTTACTCTAATATATTATGTAGGAGGAAATATTCATTCTTTGAGTACAGGGATTGGTTAAAAAGTACATTTTTAGATTATTTTCAAATTTTGTAGTCCTTGTGTAGTCCTTTAATTTTGTTGGAAGAGCATTGTAACATTTTATACCCATATACATTGGTTTTTTTTTTAAATCTTAATCTATTGGAAGGTGTTGCATAGTTATTTCTGTTTCTGGTACAGTATTGATGAGAATCCCCTACCAGTGAGACATTATTTTAATTTTGGACAGTATACAGGGTGAGTTTTAATTGTCCCCCCCCCAACTTTTTTCTACATTTTTTCAAATATCAATCCCAGACCACTTCCAAACATTGTTGGGTAGTAAGTACTTCATTTTGACAAGGTGGCCATTTCCGGCCGCCATCTTGGATCCGCCATATTGGATGCAAAATTTTTTTTTTCAAATGTAAAGGTGGGGTTGTGACCCATTATTTCGAACTAAATTTTTACCCTGATTACAATGCCGCAAACCGTTTAAAAAAATCTTGATTCATTCTAAAGTTATGAGGGCTTTTTAAAACTTTATTTTTAGCCCATTTTAACATTGTGCATTTACAAACTAAGACCATAATCTCAAAATAGTGCTAGATAAAGATAAGTACACACAAGTAAAGGTAAGATACACTACCAGTAATTGTCGACCTATTTTCACTTGGTTATGACTGATGTATTTTTTTCGGCCGCCATCTTGGATCCGCCATTTTGAAATGTGATAAATTATTTTAAATATGAAGGGGGTGTTGTGACCCATCATTTCGAACTACTTTTTTAAGCTGAAGACAATGCCGCAATCCATTTTTTGTTATCAAGTTTTATTTATGAAATATTGAAATTTTTTTGTTAAAAATGTCAATATTTCAAAATCAAAAAATGAAAATGAAAAACGGATCATGGAATTAAGTTCAGCTTAAAAAAGTAGTTCGAAATGATGGGTCACAACGCCCCCTTCATATTTAAAATAATTTATCACATTTCAAAATGGCGGATCCAAGATGGCGGCCGAAAAAAATACATCAGTCATAACCAAGTGAAAATAGGTCGACAATTACTGGTAGTGTATACTTATCTTTATCTAGCACTATTTTGAGATTATGGTCTTAGTTTGTAAATGCACAATGTTAAAATGGGCTAAAAATAAAGCTTTAAAAAGCCCTCATAACTTTAGAATGAATCAAGATTTTTTTAAACGGTTTGCGGCATTGTAATCAGGGTAAAAATTTAGTTCGAAATAATGGGTCACAACCCCACCTTTACATTTGAAAAAAAATTTTGCATCCAATATGGCGGATCCAAGATGGCGGCCGGAAATGGCCACCTTGTCAAAATGAAGTACTTACTACCCAACAATGTTTGGAAGTGGTCTGGGATTGATATTTGAAAAAATGTAGAAAAAAGTTGGGGGGGGGGACAATTAAAACTCACCCTGTATAATATACATTGATAGATATAATAGCTATATACAGTCATTATGCCTAGTTCTTCAAATTTTTTCCTAACAGAATCTTGCCAATCCAAATTTAACATAATGCGTATTGCTCTTTTCTGGAGAATTAAAATTCTGTCTAAATTAGCTTGTGATGTTCCTCCATAAATACTTATACCAAAGGATAAATGTGAGTGAAATGTGGGTATAATTTATTTATTTATTTATTTATTTATTTATTTTATTTATTTTATTTATTTTATTTATTTTATTTATTTTATTTATTTTATTTATTTTATTTATTTTATTTATTTTATTTATTTTATTTATTTTATTTATTTTATTTATTTTATTTATTTTATTTATTTTATTTATTTTATTTATTTTATTTATTTTATTTATTTTATTTATTTTATTTATTTTATTTATTTTATTTATTTATTCATATATTAATGGCATCTATCATAGCAATAATGTTCTACCACTGCACTTCAACAATAGAAACAAAGTAAAGTTCTCACCGCTTTTTGTTGCTGCTTGGTTCAAATTTACTGCTGTCATAAATGCAAAAAGAATTAATAGTGCTGCACCCTGTTGATAAACCTTAACCTTGCTATTGAATATCATAGAACCAACTTGTGTAGTTGAAACAGATGGAAAGATTATTTAATTCCTTTTAAATATGAATACTCATATGGTTAACATGGGAAACTCTAGAGCCACTGGGGTGGAGCCCGATTACTAACAGGGTGCAGCACTATTATTTCTTTTACATTTATGACAACAGCTAATTTGCAACCAAAAGGTGAGTGAGCGTAGCGAACGAACTTCAACCTGGAGGCGAGTTAGCGTAGCGAACGAGCTAACCTGAAGGCAAGTGAGCGCAGCGAACGAGCTCAAACTAAAGGTGAGTGAGCGTAGCGAACAAGCTCCAACCTAAAGGTGAGTGAGCGTAGCGAACGAGCTCCAACCTAAAGGTGAGTGAGCGTAGCGAACAAACTTCAACCAGGACGTGATTGAGCAATGCGAACGAGATAATCTTGAAAATTAAGAAGTTAAACGGGGCAAAGCCCGCGGGTTACAGCTAGTATAATATAAAGTAAGATCACTTTATTTAGAAGTATGTAATAGTTTTAATCTTACTGATGTCTGTTAATCTATATGTGAGTATTTTTGTATCGTGATAAAAAGTATTGTTCATAACTTGTACCAAAAGTGATTTTCCGGCACTTGCTCCAATTATTCCCATCCCCAAAAATAGTTCCCCTATGCTCGGCGGTGTTTGGCTTTGCCTCACAAATGAAACTTGAGCGTGCTTCGGAAAATGCCACTTTCGGGACTAGAGTAATAAAATATTATACATAGTTAATGTTTCCAAGATGGTATTATAGACGTCGTTATTTTCTCAAGCACTTTAATTTCTGTTTAAGTGGAACCATCCCTAAAATTATTATCTTGAAATTTAAAATCACAGTTTGTTATACACGATGTAATTTTCATTTTGATTCTTCAGATGCTTCTAGCACAGGTGAGCTTAGATGCATCTGACATGAGTAATATTTTAAGTACCTTAAAAAATATGAATAAGTCTATTTCATCAAAATTACTCATGTTAATTACTTACAAGAGTAACCGAGATCCAAGAGAACGTAATGTTTGCGAGTCTTGACGGAGGACATTTGCTCAAAAAGGTATTCCCCGATGAGGAAGCCGATAGATGCCAAGAATGCCAACACCGACACACCAGTGCCGTAGTGACAGGCGCTGGCATCCCTGTTGTAGATGCAGTACTGCCAACACAAAAATCTTATTAGAACTGTCACAGATCCCTCATAAATGATTATCAAGTAAACTTTTCTATAGCTTGTCTTAAATTAAATATTATTATAATTGTGGTTTTGCCAAATTATGTTCAGTAGAGTTTACAGGTCCCAATTAATTTAAATATATTTATTTGTCAACTAGTTATTTGTGTTACACATTATATTTTTTCAACAGTTACTATAAAGCATATAAATAATGGGTGATATTTATAAGTTGTACCACGGATACTATAAAAATACCGGTATGGATAATAAACATAAACAATTTAAGTTTTTTGGCCCCAAAGGAAACAAAACCCCTATTCTAATAGCATTAATAAACATATGGTTTTGTTTACTTTCGGGTCAAAAACGTCATTTGTTTATGTGTATGCCATACCGGGTCTATTCTAGTATTCGTGAGTTGTACATTGTACAGGTGAACTTTTATCATGCAGTTTTACAAATTAACAAATCCAAACCTTAATGATATTTGACTCGCAAACAAACGGAAAACTAAAAAATTGTGCCACAAATTAACAAATAAAAAATCTAAATGACATTTCACAAAGTTAATGAATCAACATCTGAATGTCATTTTGGTTTCTAATGGTTTTAATCCTCCAACAACAGGTTATCGGTTTAAACTAAGTTCAAATTGATGAACAACAAATAAACATTGCACCAACTGATCGATTAAGTATAGTGTTGCCAACACGTTTTTGTTTTACACACAATTATTGTACACATATTTCATCCTAATAAATGCGCACTATTTTGTGTTTTTTTGTTGAAATTTTTTTGGGAAAGTATGGGTGTGAGAAAAAGAAATTAGTGTGGGAAAGTAAGTACCTAAATGCAGGAATCAACTACTTTGCTTGTTATAATAAGTGCAAGAAAACCTGTTTCGTCAGGTAACTGTAGGAAAAATATTTTATAGTATGTATACTACCCCAATGATTTAACCAAAAATCTAGTGTACAATGGTACTTAGAGTAAATATTTCCATGAAAACATATATAAAATCTAAATCCTACAATATTCTGAAACTGGGTAGTATCCATAGTACATTTTCTATCATCAAGTTAAAATACCTCAATATAAAAACTGTTAACAAATTGTCTATGGATTTTATAGCATAGCTGGTGTTATCGTGTTTAAAAAACAAATTAAAGTAGAATAATGTTTACCAGCAACATTTGTTCACTATCAAAAAGATGTATTTATCTACTGTAGTTTTTCCAAGGAACTGACGCTGTGCATGCAAGTATTCCTTGGTTACAAAAGATTCAAACACTAGTCCAATAAATATGAATTTGCCAAAATATCATGTACAACTATTTTGGTCTTTTTGTTTGAGGTAGGTCAACTGAATGATTAAGAATTTAAAAAACTTTAAATTGATTAGTCTAGGATCAAATCTTTGTCAAAACTAAATGCAGTAATAATTCATCTATGGCTGAAATGAGTTTTCTAATACACTAGTAATTTACCTCACTAATTTAACTTAACTAATAATTTACTTCACTAGTAATTTACCTCTCTTTTCTCTTTCTCATCATACATCCATCCCTCAGAAGAAATGCATCCGAAAACAATGATTGCAAAAAGCTGAAACAAAATTATAGTTGATAAAAAATATTAGGCTTTAGTCTCTATTCAGGGGAATTAACAGAGAACTCAGGTAAAACTTCATAGCTTTATATAACACGTTTACTTTGCCATTCTAAATAATTTCTTATGAATGCATTAATCAAACTCTCAATGTGCAATCATACAATAATTATATACATTGCAAGAGTATGTGTTTTACTTTGTTGATTCAACATGGACGTTTGAAAATATTGGGTTCAAGTTCAAAATACTTTGCAAACATATTTGCTAGTCTTAGATCCTTAAACATGAAATTTAAGTAGATAAATTAAATACATTTTAAATATGTCAGTAAAGTATACCCACAAATGTCATTATTGCAAAGCTCCTTTTTTGTTTATACAGAATTCATTGGTTAAAAGTAGATTTTGCTTAATTATTGACTTCACCAAAATAGTATTTAATTAATTATTAAATGTTTTAATTTTAAATATTCGATAACACTTCAAGCCTTGTAACTTTGAATAAGAGAAAGGGAAAAGGTTGAGAAAGGCACACAACCTAGAAGTGATCACATTTAATGTGTTTCACTTAAGTCAATGGTCATGTTTTATTCAACCAGTAAATCCATCCATTAGAATGTTGTTCTTTACAGAAGGTGATTCTTTGTTGTTAATTTGTAGTCTCTACTATTTTCATGAAGCTGGATTCTATATTAAAGAAAACTTATGACAAAAAACTTAAAGATTTGCTATAATCAGCTTTTTAAAACATTAACATATTATATAATAACCCTAAGATTACTAACAGTTTTTTTAAGATAAAAAATATTTAATTTTTTTGCATGTTTTTTTCTTTTTTCTTTTTTTTTGTCAAAGTGATATCCACTATTAACTATTCCCACCCCACAAGTAAAAATGATATTGTCAATAGAGCAGTAAAATAAAACTTCAAATTGGCTGGCATTCTTAAAATGTTTTTAGGCTTGGAAAAAACTTTCTGAATTAATTTGGTTCCCGATGTTATTATATTAACTTATTATTGGGAAATTGCCTAAATGTGTGAAATTCCAAAGAAAATAATGTGAAGCACACATCAGAAAAATCAATACTGCCCATGATACAGAATGACAGTTAGGTTAGTCTAATCTGGCGGTTTAGCATGTTTAGAATTAATAGACTTACCAGGCACACAGCTCTCAATATTACTTGGGGCTTTTGGACAAAAGTGAAGGGGTCAAAAGGTGCCCCTGCCTTGCCACCACCGTAAGCTCCACCCGCCTCCATTTTGTGACAACTTCTGTTACATCAAATATGGGAGGAACCTTAACTGGAGGGTGGTGGGTGACTCAGAACGACTCAAATCAATAGAGAACTAGTACTCACAGAGTGAATCAAAAGATTCGTGCTATTCAAGTGAACGAGCTGATTGTTTTCAATGTCGGGCTATACAAATTAGAATGCAATATCTTGTATTTACATATTTAGGGTAATTGTTTCACTAATCGGCAATTTATTAAAAGTTGCATGATTAGTATTTATTAGTATTGAAATCTAACACGTCAATTCTGTGATTGACAAATTCAGGATTTGTGATCAATTGAGCTTTATTGTCACTTGAACTAGTTAGTAGCATTTGGGCCCATAGATAAGCCAGATACCTTAATATAGCCTAGGTCTATCATAGAAAATTACGTCCATTATTTTTTTATTTAAAAAAAAATTATTTAAAAGGTTAGAAAATCGAGGTGCCGACAAAAGATCGATCATATTATGAACCGAATCGTTAATGAGACTTGGTAGTTCGTGGCATTGGACTCGTGATCATGAAGGCCGAGGCAGGCTTAAAACTATTTGTAGGCCTATGGGTTGTTTCATTTTTTGTCCCTTCCAAAATTAGTGTTTGTGTTACAGATCGTTTACAACTAGTTATTATAAGTAGTATAATAAATTATTACTATGCTATATGTGAATATTTATCCTGGTATATGTCATGAAGAACAGTTACTGTCAATTGCAATCTATTTCCCTCTTCAATACATCAAAATAAAAACACAGTGATAAAATGTGTGTACTGATAATCATACTTTTGCTAAACCAATTCTGGCAACAAAATCTGAAACAAAAATATTTCTCAGCATCAAAGTACACAACAATTTAGGAACCAAACAAACACTACTATGTTACTCATTAGTTTTGCATAATCGTAAAATATATTGTTATTTTATATTTTTTATCCGTAATGACACAAGATCTCTAAGACCCCAATAATCAGACTCAATGGGTTGGGTAAATTAAATGGTTTTAATTGATTAATTATATAAAATGGCAGCTTTCTTTGGTTATTTAATTGTAAATAAAATCATTTTTTATTGGCAATATATGTTAATCTATTTACTCTGTCAATGTCAATAGGTAACTTAAAAAGCCATAAGTTTCCTAGATAGTCTGTAGAAGTCTAGTGTTCATTCTACCAAATACTAGAAGCTATATCATTCTAATCCCACATTAATTGTGTGACCAAAATAAAAATTGAAATGAAAATTGACACACATAGTTACAACAGATGCAAAACCTGTCATGAATAATAGAAGAGGAACTACGAGACAAGATAATTAAAGCGTATTCCTCATATGTAAATATTAATGCTTATATAAACATTGTGACAAAGAAATCGGTAATCTGCCCTATGAGATACCGCGGTTGATCGTGTCATAAACAACACAAACAGGAGTCAAGCAACCGAAGTAACCCAAAACCAAAACTGACAACAATGAAGGAGTACCACGTGACTTCAAACCAGCTGTCCTTGTGAAATGAGGTCAGCTGACTTATCTCACAGCTGTTGGTTGCGAGTTGCGAGATGGCCTGTGTGGATGTGCGTTTCAAATGCAAATCTAGGAGTGATCAGTGATAAGTGGGTTGTGTACAAAATATTGCAGTACAAGTGTTGATGTGGGTGTGATTTATCCGTTAAACCCAATTGGATAAGAATAATACAACACTGGCAGGATGGTTAGTAAAAATTCATGTACATTAGTAAAAAAAAAAAAACAATTTTAGTACAGTACAAAAAATTCAGACAAATTAAAATTATTCAATTATTTGAACTGAACTGATTTACAAATTTGTTTCAGTATACAGGATAGAAACATTAATTTATATTTTCAAAAATGAACTTGAAGAGGAGACCTGTGGAAAATTTGATTTTTGACACATTTTGACAGACTTAAAAACTTGTTTGTGGGGCAAAAGAATGTATTGAATTGAAAATTTAAAAATTCAACAGAGAGTATGGTCATGTTGAAGTTTTTAGTTATACTTAAAGAAAGATTTAATTTAGTACCAAGAAATAAATAACACCACTTATACATACGCTATACTATGCTGTATTAATGCTATTGTAGCTGATTGCTACTGTATTAACCTTTGATAGCATATTAATTCCTGAAATAGGAACTGATATCAAAAAATACTTCTTTATTTTTTTAACATTTGTTTTATTTATATACAATTTAAGAAATGTGTAAGATTAAAATAAATTAATGTGTTGGATTGCCAAGTTAAAATTTCCATCATAGTAAATTGAAATTCCACTGAAACTTAAACCATAAAAGCAGAAATTAGTTATAAAAACGCAAGTTTCCTTTATATTGCTTTTAAAATTGAAATACTGAGCCATGCATGGCTCGGTCCCCCGGTACTTAAATTATAATACAGTTTTTATAAAGAAAGTTAAAGAGCATCACTGGAACTATGAAAGTGGAACTCTAGAAATCACAAGGGCAAAGCCCTTAGGGAAATTACCTTTTTTGTTACCATTTGCAGATGTGCTCAGGATCATAAGCTTTAATGACACCTCAATCGTTAAAATCGATTAAGTAGGACAACTGAAAAAGGGATGTTACAGAGAAAACCTGTGTTGTATTAAGTATATAGATTTGTATTTTAGTTTATTACAAAATTGTTAGCCAAGTTATCAGTTAGGATAGGTAAATGGTGTAGGGTATACCTTTTCTATTCGATTGTAAACTGCAAACCCTACAGGCTTTGTACCTAACTTATTATAGTAATGTACACAATTTTAACAACCAACTTAAAACAATGAGTAAAAACATAAATACTGAAGAGACCTCTATTATTGTTTGTGAAAACACTTCAAAATAAAGGGCTGCTTGCCCTTCTCTACTTCCAACTTCTCTACTTTGACCCTTCGCTGTAACAAATAAAACTTGTGATTAAAATTTCTTCCATTATTTGTTTTGATTTTCTGTTTATATTGTGTTGTTATTTCGTCACCAGCATGGCAACCCATAAGGTCCATGTTAATTAAAAAAAAAAAATTTAGATTAATTTTTTGTGCCTATTTTGGAGTTTATTTTAATCTACAAAGGGATTCTGCACATCTACAGGAAAATATCTTTCCAACTATGCATAGATTTTCCCTGCGATACATACGAGCTGAGAAAATAGGTTTTAAAGAAACATGCTTGCCTGTTAATAACAGGGTGTTTCCAAATTGTCTGGACATATTTTGTGGACGTGTTCCTTGGGCTAGGACAAACATAAAATGCCATATAAGTATGGGTCTAAACAGCCTAGATATCTGTTTGTCGGTCTGTTTGTGATTTTTAAGAGTTATTTTATATCTTGGGCATTTTTCAAGATAGAAATTTCAAAATTGGTATAAATGTGTATTTTAGTACGTAAAAAGAGCTTACAAAGTTTCGTTCCAATATCTCAAGCCGCTTTAATATGGCGGTCATTTTAAATCTTAAGTGCCTAATTTCATGAAAACTGTAAGTATTAAGAAAATTGTTATTCAAATCAAAAAGATTGAGAATTTATATCCAAATCAAATAAGACCTTGTTTGTTAAACTCGGATGACAAACAACCAAGTTACCGGTATCAGTTTTTTTCTACGTTCGGTTAGGCAATTTAATAGGACTACCATTACTGCTCTGTAAAATTAACAAATAATAAACAATATGCATGTCCTTTAAATTGCGTACCCGAATGTAGAAAAAAACTGATAACTCAGTTGTTTGTTATCCGATTTTACTAAACAAGGTCTCATTTGATTTGGATTTACATTCTGTATCTTTTTGATCCGAAGAAATATTTTTTTAATATTTACTGTTTTCATGAAATTTGGCATTAAAGATTTTAAATGGCCGCCATATTGAAACTGCTTGAGATATTGGACCGAAACTTTGTAAGCTTTTTTTACCTACTAAAATACACATTAATACCAATTTTAAAATTTCTATCTTAAAAAATGCCCAAGATATAAAATAATTTTAAAAAAATTACAAACAGAAACCGAGGCATTTTAGACCCATATTTATATGTCATTTTATGTTTGTCTTAGCCCAAGGAACAAGTCCAGAAAATATGTCCAGACAATTTAGAAACATCCTGTATAGATTGGACTACTCTTCTAATGACTCAAATAATATATATATCAAATCAAACTATAAATAAATTGTCATGAGAACGAGAACTTTGAAAATGTGTCTGAGCTTGCAAAACAATCCAAGTTTTGTGTTGTTTTTGTGATGTCACAAAAGTAGTCGCATACAAAAACCTCACCTCACCAATCTGAATTAAAGGTGCATTGCCTTGCCTCTCTCTTTGGAAGTGTTTGTTTTCCAATTTTTTATAGTCTGTTCAAGGAAAAGTTGTTAAAAAGTATGACCTATTATTACTAAAGAAATTGTCTACTAATCCACTTCATAGAAAATTAAAACTATCATGCAAAAAAAAAAACATTTTCTTGTAAGTTGGTTTATTTAAACTTTGTAAGAGATGAGAGATCTCCTGGTCTGCTGCTGTACCTAAACATTGCATTTGAGGTAGCACAAATAAGGTATTTGATCGAAATGAATAATGCTTTCATTTCACTGTTCTGAGAATTTATCTAACTACACATTGAGTATTTCTATTGTATTACGATGTGATGTTTTCAGGTTATCAGCCATACAGTCCATTGCCTCTGAGAAAATGTCTTTACTTGCTCTTCCTGAGGAAATGTTGGAAGTCATTCTGCTTTATGTTGATGTGGAAGACATATTGAATGTGTTAACAGTGGTAGGGAATAGGGGAAGTGAAGGCTTCTGGAAAAGAGTATCTTTGAAAAATGGATACAAGAAGTTACCTGAAGACACAGAGTGGAAATGCGTATTTCTCAGGAATGTAAATTGGCTTAAAGGATGTTTTGTGGAACACGAGTACAATATAAGTGATTTGTCTAAAGATAAGCCCATTGGTAGAAATGAGTACGGACAAATATGTCTCGATTGTGATGATTCTAGTACCCATCAAACAACCTCTGAAAACTTCAGGGACAGTATTTTTCTTAAGAGTCATACATTAATTTTTCAAAAACATAATGAATTGTTAGTTATGGATGTTGAAACCCCTAAAAATCTATTACAAAAGCTTCCCGGAAAAAGTGTAAACTGGTGTAACGCAAGTGAGTCTAAATTGCTTGTAAAAACACCAAACTCGCTAACAGTTTACTCTTTGAATGCATTTAATTATGAGGAAACGTTTGTTTGGGATTTGGACTGTGGTTTTCCTCTGCCTCGCTTTTTCCTTTCAGATGATTACTTCGTGGGTCTTACTCTAAGTAAGGAAAAGTGCATGACAGTTGTTAATTTAAACACCTTGGAAAAGTACTCCCAACCATTTAGTGAAAAGGGTGAACCTTGCTCTTTTGATGTGTGTGATCATATTTTAAACTTTATCTGTTTAGATGGACAACATTATGTGCTGAGAAGGTTTCATCTACAGAAGAGAGAAAAGTTGAAAGAGGTCCATATGTTTCAAAATGCAGCAATGATCCAAATCCCACAGATCCGAATCAACCAGAGAGCCTTTGTAAGCTGGGCAGTTGCATTAGATAATTGGAGTACTATGTTGTTGAAATGTTGGAGATCGCAAGATTCAACACATGATTCATTCAATGTGGTTAAGACTACATTCCTTGGCAAGTCTCAGCAAATTCTATGGTTACTGTTAGAAACTGATTATGTTATCTTTTCCACATCCAAAGATGTGGTTTCCATTGTGGATTTGAAAGATCCGGAGAGTGAAATGTTTGTGAAAATTCAAGAACATGGTTATCTAGGCCAAAACATTATATCAGATTTTTTGGTCTTATCTTACACCAACTGTTTAAAATTGGTAGATATCAAAAGTGCAACTTATGTACAACAGATTTCCTTTAAAAGTAGTTTTAAATTTAATAGATTCCGTGTCAACGCATGCTTTTACATTGTTTACAATGATTATGAAGACAAAGGTAATGGTAAACTTTGCATATATGACTTTAGATGTAAAATACAGTAGAACCTTGATATCTTGACCCTCGAAAATCCAGACTCTATAAAAATCCCATCCCTCTAAAAGTCATACCCTACAAGAATTGTTAGTGTACATCTGTACATGTAATTTCATATAAAAGTACAGTACCAAACAGAAAAACTCTGTACTTTACTGTACTTTAATATGAATTTTTGTACATATGCATTAAATTATACTATTACCTATATCCAATTGTTGATGATCATGGAGAGCATTTCAAAAACTTAATTTAGGAATTCCCATATTATTCTTATGGAGAACAACTAACTGTTGTAGTTTGCTTATTTATAAGTAGATATTTAGATAAAATTTTGCAAATTTGTAATTTCATACTAATCTATTGGCATTTTACATAAAAATACACTTTATACCTTCTAAACCCTGTATCAGCAAACTTAATTACTCATTTAACCAGATTTTATTTAAAAAGGGAAACATTCTGTGAGTTTTAGGGGAATGTGTTAATGAAAATCAAATCACACACAACTAGAAATTTGCTTAGCTTGTAGGTTTGCTGCGGTAGGGGTATTATTTTTGTCTCAGTAACCTCGGATACCTTAAATTCACTAATTGTAACTTATACAAGCTGCCATTTAAGTTGGATCATCAAGGTTCTATGTACCATGATCATAGTGGTGTGTAGTAGGGTACGGATGTTTCCATTCTGAATTTTTGTATAAACCCTATATATTAATTGGAAATCCATATTTTTTTTAAGACGATGGTGGAGCGTTCCTGTACTGGAAAATTTATATTTCCACTACACCACTGACCATGATGCTAGACAATTAAATTTATTATTATATTTTAACAGCTTAAAAACCATTTACAAAGTATCAGAACTTTCAATTATTAAAAGATAAAACCCTGTCTCCAAATCTTACCAGTTTTAAAACACATTTTTATCAGCTCAACAATGTTTTCAGCTCAAATACCAATAAAATGACTTTCCTATCTTGGTGTTGAAGATCCCAAACTGGACCAAGCTGCCCTTGATTAATCGGGATTTTAAATTTTATTTAAAGTAAAATAAATGGCATAAAAGGAAAAATAAAAAAAAATTCTAAAACAACTAGACCCCCGGTTGAAGGATACCTACAGAATATGTGTGATGAAATAAATCGTCATCATTATCCCCATGACTTATAAAAATGAACTAAAATTGGGTCTTAGTATTTTAGATTTCACTATTGCTCGAAATGGAACAGTTTCCAAGCATTTATAAGAGAGAATTTTAAATAAATTACTCTCACAATATGTATTAATTTATTAATATTAAATATTATTAATACATGTATTTATTATATTATGAGGTTTTATAAAAGATTATGTAACTAGGTGAAGTACAGTACTCATATTGTAAATAAAGACTTTTTTATAAACAATATTTCTAAATAATTTTCCAAGAGCTCAGTAAGTTCCACATTATTATTATTGTAAAAATAATTGAACAGCCATATCTTTTAATTTCTAATTGAATGCCTAATCCAGTGAAAAATAAGTTTGTTTAAAAACATTTTTTTCAAAAATATATATATACCTAGAAGAGTACTAGAGTAGGCCGCAAAGTAATGTTGATCGATATTGTAACAGGTGCTTATGATTTTTATGGAATTCTATAAAATATTTTGAATGTAATGGATCATTATCAAGACTATTTTTGTATTGTTTAAGGCCTACCTACCCTAGTTACGCTCAAATCTACAGTAGTAGGGTCAAGTGGGGTAAGTGGAACCAATGACAAACCACTAGATAGTGGTTTGTATTCATTGGTGGTTTGGTGGTTGCTTGTTAGGTTTTAGCAATAGTTCAACTTTGACCTTACATTGCTCAGGTATTATACCTGTAATTGTGAAATTTTTGTACCATTACTACAACTAATTAGCTTTTTAAAGACAATAACTTTAAAAATATTTTTTTTCTTAAAAATAAAAATAAATGAAAAGTTTGTGTTTTGTGGTACCACCATGGAGGAGGGCAAGTGGAACCACCCACATCTGAATTAAAATATATTGCATTGAGAGGAATGAGGGGCAAGAGGGTCAATAGGGAAATCTTCTGTAATTCTGGGACTTTTTGAATTATAAAAATATCTCTATCCGTTTTTAAGTTACAAACTTGTTTGTAGACCTTTACGGAAAACATCGTAAAATGCAAAGAAACGTAAAATTGCAAAATCTTGTAAAAATACGGAAAAAAAACAAAAAATAGTACTTTCATTGTGTGTGGTTGTAGTGGGTCGCTGTCAATGCGCCACGTTGTAGTATACTCTCTGGGCACATGATTCACTTGAAAAAAATATGGTTTTTAATATATAGTCTTTTTTTTAATCTAGCTCATACTGTTATGGTCAGTTAGTGAAATAACCGCCTTCCCTAATGTATCTGCAATACTAAAATGCTATGAAAAGGGAAGGAGGGAGGTCCACGACATAGACAAAGGTGAAGAAATAGCAAAGGCTAGCAATGGGGACTGTATGTGGCAATTAGAATAATGTATCTAAAATACTAAAATGCTATGGAAAGAAAGGAAAACAGGTCCACAGCGTAGGAAATTGTGAAGGAAGTAGTGAAGGCTAGCAGAGCAGAGTGGGGGAACCGTTTGGGGCAGTTAGATTAATCTATCTGCAATCCTAAAATGCTATGAGAAGGGAAGGAAACAGGTCTACGACGTAGGAAGTAGTAAAGGAAGGAGTAGGGTAGCATTGCAGAGTGTGGGAACCGTCTATGGCAGTTACATTAATGTATATGCAATACTTAAATGCCATGAGAAGGGAAGGAAACAGGTCCATGAATTAGGAAATGGTGAAGGAAGTAGTAAAGGCTGCTAGCAATGCGGAGTGTGGGAACCGTTTCAGCAGTTAGATTATAGTATCTGCAATACTTAGATGTCATGAGAAGGGAAGGAAACAGGTTCATGAGTTATGAAATGGTGAAGGATGTAGTCTATGTGTATATGTAGTGTGATGTGTAGGCTAAAGCAATTCGGAGTGTGGGAACTGTTTGTGGCAATTAAATTAATGTATCTGCAATCCTAAAATGCTATTGGAAGGGAGGGAAACAGGTCCGTGACGTAGGAAGTGGTGAAGGAAGTAGTAAAGGCGAGCAGCGTGGGGTGTGGGTACCGTTTGTGCCAGTTAATTATTGTATCTGCAATACTTAAATGCTATGAGAAGGGTCCACGTCATAAAGAAATGGTGAAGGAAGTAGGCTAGCAATGGGGACTGTATGTGGCATTTAGAATAATGTATCTAAAATACTAAAATGCTATGGGAAGAAAGGAAAACAGGTCCACGTAGGAAATTGTGAAGGAAGTAGTGAAGGCTAGCAGTGCAGAGTGGGGGACCCGTTTGTGGCCGTTAGATTAATATGTATCTGCAATCCTAAAATGCTATGAGAAGGGAAGGAAACAGGTCCACGACGTAGGGAGTGTTGAAGGAAGTAGTAAGGGCGAGCAGTGTGGAGTGTGGGAATTGATTTGTATCTGTACTAAGCCTGCGTTTAGAGTAAACTAGTGATTTTCACCGAGTAAAGCTCGGTCTCCAGGTACTAGGCTATAAACGAGCGACCTTTCATCAACTTTAAAATAAATTTATGTCTTGAGAATTGCCAGGTTAAAATTTTCATCGTAATAAATTGAAATTCCACTCAAACTTAAATTATAAAAGCCAAAATTAGTTGTAAATAAAACGCGAGTTCCCTTTTTTATTGCTTTTACAATCAAAATTATAAACCGAGCCATGGCTCGGTCCCCAGGTGCCTACTACAAGTATCACAATATACATATTAAAAATGTCTATACAGTAAAAGGCGGCCGTGGCTTATGTACTGCTTCTTCCCTGTGTACCTAAGACGCAAAAGACGTGTTTTGTTTAAAGATAACGGATTTGGTTGTATGACCTAATTCTATTTTTTAACTCAGTAAATATATGTCATAAGTAACAAAATGCCAAACTGTAGGTTCAATTGATGTCTTTAAAAACCCAGTGGAGGTTTTTTTTAAATCCTGCATGTTGTCAATTTTGGTCTAATGAAAGTTCCCTTAAATATTGTCTGGTTCCCTCTTGCGATGCTCTTGATTGGAGCTCTTGAACGTCTGCAGTTGCAGACCATCTGGCAAAATCGTAATCAAAGTCAAATCATTTATTGCCGCAACACATTTACAATGTATGACAACGTCAAAAATGGGTACTTTACAACAAATTATTTACAAATCAAATGCATCAGTCCATTGATTTACAATTATCAATGAATTCATTCAAAGAATATACACTAAGCTGCAACAAAATACATTTCAACTGTTTCTTAAGACATACAGGTTCTAAACTTTTAAGGCGAGGTGGTAACATATTGAACAGTCTTATTCCTAACTCAAAAGAACTAACAACTGTGCTTTGATAATTACATTGGTTTATCCTAAAATTATTATTATTTCTTGTGTGATGACTATGAACAGTTTTGTTTGTAGGAATAACGTTTGAGTTTAACTTAACATACATAAAATACTTTCAAGAACAAGCATTGAAGTGACAGTAAGAACTTTAAATTTTTTAAACAGAGGTTTGCAATGTTCATGGTGATGTGCTCCTGCCATAACTCTCATTGCTCTTTTTTGTAGTTTTAACAATTTTTTTACATTAGTATCAGTTCCCCAAACAAAAATACCATACAACAAATGGCAGTGTACAAAAGCAAAATATACTGATATCAATACATCTACAGTAACAATACATTTTAATTTTCTCAACAAAAATATGGCTTTTGAAACCCTCTTGCAGACAAAATCTATGTGCATATTCCATTTCATATTTGACTGAAGAAAAATACCTAAAAATTTTACACTATCAATATTTCTATTAGCACTGTGACTAAATTCTAAGCTTTGCATTTTATTTTTATTCAAACACAACATGTTAGCAGCTGTCCATTCGTCCACAACAGAATTACATTTTGAAACTAGTCTTTTTAATTCAATAGAATCTTTACAAACTATCTGAACTGCCAAGTCATCTGCATACATAAAAGGAAATAAGCAATTATCATTTACAATATTTGGTAAGTCGTTAATGTAAATTATAAACATTGTAGGGCCTAATATAGAACCCTGTGGAATACCTGTATTTACAGGCAGAAAGGAAGAGTAACTACCATTACAAAAAACTGCTTGAAATCTATTTGACAAGTAAGAGCTAACCAAATCTAAAGAATGTTGATCAAACCCATAAAACTTAAGCTTATCTAATAATATCCTATGAGAGATAGTGTCAAAGGCCTTAGACATGTCATAAAAATTTCCCATGACACTGTACCTTGAGTCAACGCTATATATACATTGCTTCATAAAGTCAACAACTGCAGTACCTGTGCTCCTGTTTTGTCTGAAGCCATATTGATTTCTTGAAAAGATCATTACCTTCAAAGTATTCAATTATCTGACTATTTATCAATGATTCAAACACCTTGGAAATTACTGGAAGAATCGACACTGGGCGATAATTGAGCGGAGCGAGCGAAGCGAGCGAAGCGAGCGAAGCTCTTATACATCGACTTTTATGCATTTCGTAATACGCAAACTCCTCCTAGACGGCTGGAGCAATCGTTTTCAAATTTTGCATGGTGATAAAGACCATATCGGTGAGTGCTAACATCTATATGGCGTTAAAAAAGTCTCTCAGGAATCCGCCCCACTTGGTCTCAAAGTTTCAATGTAATCCTTATGGAAGCAGTATTTGACACATAAACAAAGACATATGATCAGCTGTTGACTTTTGAATGCAGTAGATGAAAAAATAGCTGATAGCATTATTTCACAGTTGTTAGAACATAAACGGTATGGATCATAAATGTAATCAAATGACGACACTAGCTTGAGGTCCGTGACGTAGGAAGTGGTCAAGGAAGTAGTAAAAGTGAGCAGTCTGGAGTGTGGAAACTGTTAATGACGATTCGATTTAGGTATCTGCATTCCTAAAATTCTATGGGAAGGGAGGAAAACGGGTCCCAAGGTGAGCTGGCTAGCTGTCTGGAGTGTGGGAACTGTCTATTACGATTAGATTAAGGTATCTGCAATCTTAAAATGCTATTGGAAGGGTAGGAAACAGGTCCGTGACCTAGGAGTGGTGAAGGAAGTAGTAAAGGTGAGTTGTCCAGAGTGTGGGATCTCTTTATGACCAATAGATTAATGCTATTTGCAATCCAATAATGCTATGCAAAGGGAGGGAAACAGGTCCGTGACGTAGGAAGTAGTGAAGGAAGTAGTAAAGGCAAGCAGTCCAGACTGTGGGAACTGTTTGTGACGATTAGATTAAGATATCTGCAATCCCAAAATGCTATGGAAAGGGAGGGAAACAGGTCCGTGACGTAGGAAGTGGTGAAGGAAGTAGTAAAGGCGAGTTTTTCGGAGTGTGGGAACTGTTTATGACGATTAGATTAAGGTATCTGCAATCCAATAATGCTAAGGAAAGGGCGGGAAACAGGTCTGAGACGTAGGAAGTGGTGAAGGAAGTAGTAAAGGCGAGTTTTTCGGAGTGTGGGAACTGTTTATGACGATTAGATTAAGGTATCTGCAATCCCAAAATGCTATGGAAAGGGAGGGAAACAGGTCCGTTTCGTAGGAAGTAGTGAAGGAAGTAGTAAAGGTGAGCTGTTCGGGGTATGGAATCTGTTTATTACCTTTAGATTAAGGTATTTGCAATCCTATGATGCTATGAAAAGGGAGGGAAACAGGTCCGTGACGTAGGAAGTGGTGAAGGAAGTAGTAAAGGCGAGTTGTTCGGAGTGTGGGATCTGTTTATGACCAACAGATTAAGGTATTTGCAATCCAATAATGCTAAGGAAAGGGCGGGAAACAGGTCCGAGACGAAGGAAGTGGTGAAGGAAGTAGTAAAGGCGAGTTTTTCGGAGTGTGGGAACTGTTTATGACGATTAGATTAAGGTATCTGCAATCCCAAAATGCTATGGAAAGGGAGGGAAACAGGTCCGTGACGTAGGAAGTGGTGAAGGAAGTAGTAAAGGCGAGCTGTCCGGAGTGTGGGAACTGTTTATGACGATTAGATTAAAGTATCTACAATCTTAAAATTCTATGGGAAGAGAGGGAAACAGGTCCGCGACGTAAGAAGAGGTGAAGGAAATAGTAAGGTGAGCAGTGTGGAGTGTGGGAACTGGAAACCGTTTGTAGCCGTTAGATTAATGTATCTGCAATGCTGAAATGCTATGATAAGGGATTAAAGCATGCCCACGACATAGAAAATGGTGAAAAAAATTTATAAAGGCTAGCAGTGCGGAGTGTGGGCAATGTTTGTGGCAATTAGATTAACGTATCTAAAATACTAAAATGCTATGGGAAGTAATGGAAACAGGTCCACGATGTAGGAAGTAGTAAAGTATGACCATAGTGGGAGAACCGTCTGTGGCAGTTAGATTAATGTATCTTCAATCCTAAAATGCTATGAGAAGGGAAGGAAACAGGCCCCACGACGTAGGAAATGGTGAAGGAAGTAGTAAAGGCTGGCAGTGCTGAGTGTGGGAACTGTCTTTGGCAATTGCATTAATGTATCTGTAATCCTAAAAGGCTATGGGAAGAGAGGGAAACAGGTCCACGACGTAGGGGGTGGTTAAGGAAGTAGTAAAGGTGAGAAGTGTTGAGTGAGGGAAAGGATTGATGTATCTGCAATGCTAAAATGCTATGTGAAGAGACTGTAGACTGTGGGTTAAAATGATTACGAAGCACGAATCGATACATATTTCGATACATGCAGTCGTTTACAATAGAAATTTACAACTGAGTTGACAACAGCTGATTTTTACTCCATAGAGGCTAAAAACTATTTTTACTCCCTAAAGAGTAAAAATGCTACATTATACCCGCAACGCACGTATTAAAAACGACCGATTTTACTGCAGTATGACAAAAACAATATAATATGAACCCTTGATGACTCCGCTCAATTTTGTGGATGCCTCTGCGAACGCCACCTAGTTGTTATAATCAGACTTATCTCCCTTTTTGTATACTGGAACAATCTTTGAGATCTTCAAACATTGAGGAAAAACACAATTATCAATACACATATTTATCAAGTATGTCAGCACTTCAACAATAAAAGGTGCAGCTAGTTTCAATATTTTAGAATTAAGACAATAATTAATATTCATAGGCTGCTGACCATGTTTAACATTAAATTACACAGAAGGTTTTAGTTTACATTAACTTGGTAATTGATTATGCCATCTAATAAAAAGGTTGACGTTGTGTAACAAGACCAATGTAACCATAGAATATATAAACAACATAAGTGGTGTTTATTTATTCAATGATATAACTGTGCACATATAGTACTACAAAATGTAAATGAAAAGTTTATTTTCTACACCAGTAGCATTTTTTTACGCGTTCAAAAGGGAACAGTTCAATCACTGGTCTTGTTACGATACAACGTCAACCTTTTTATTAGATTGCATAATCAATTACCAAGTTAATGTAAACTAAAACCTTCTGTGTAATTTAATGTTAAACATGGTCAGCAGCCTATGAATATTGAACAACAAAGTTGCATAGTAAAGCTAAGCTGGCCAATTTGCAGACTAGAAAAAACACCTACAAACACAAACCTCAGAGCAGAGCGCAGCACCGTAGCACCGAACCGAACCGAGCAGGCGAGCACATTTACATTTTGTTTTCTTTTTCAAGTCAAATGGAAGTTTTGTGACATGTGAGACTTGTGATTGAGGTTATCTTTATCTATTACATTGAATTGAGAAGTGTATGAAATCTATTGGTTGATGTAGCAATATCAAAGTTCCACTTTTGTTTCATTTATATCTTATTGAGATATAGCCTATTAACTTATTTTAGAGCTTTTTTATACTGTGTACTGATTTAAATAAGTTCTAAACTGCTGTAACAGCTATTCAAAGGGTAGGCTTAAGCTAGGTTTTAGGTTGTTTGTTTTGTAAAAACGATGGTTAAGGTTTCCTCAATCATCTCTAACAAGAAGAAAAATGCATTACCCTCATCCAAATTACTTAAACCTAGGAAATTCAAAACTTCTAGTAAGACGCCGGCTGAGGGGACCACTCATATAGGCCTAAATAAAAACAAATTGAAACTTGTTAAGGAAGAAATCAATGAAGGATTAACCTCACAATATAGTGACAGTGTAGAGTTTCATAACACTTCAAAGAAAAAGTCCCCCAAACAGAAGAAATCTCTTAAAAGTGTAGATAGTCAGAATATTCGCAGAAGTAGAAATGCTTCTATGGTTGTAAATGACAATGCAAACACGGATCATTGTCAGAAATCTAAATCGAGTCAAAGGATTTCAACATTGTTTGACTTTGGAAAATCTCAAGAAAAAATAAAAAGTGAAATAAAAGATGAAGATGAGGAAAAATGTTCCAAAAGTAAACTGAAGCCTTCAAACACAAAATTAGAGGTGCAATCGACTTTCAAATTAAAAAATAGAAAGACAAAGCTGATAGATAATATCAAGCCATCCCTAACTGTTGAGGATATTAAAAAGGGAAATAATGATAGGCCTAAACCTGGAGTAGGCCTAGACCTAGAAAAATGCAAATTGAAAGTTTCCAAGGTAAGCATTGTAAGCTTATAACTTAGCTGTGTGTTTTAACTTACTAACAAACAAGAACGAATTAAGTTAGGTAGTTCAAGTGAATTCAAACTTTAATTCAAGAAATTTTCCATAGTTAACTTCATCCACTTAAGTTATTTGATAGGCTAACGTAGTACGGAGCAGCTGAAGTGAGCCTTTTTGGGATGAAGCAAGATGAAACAATGACGTCATCACACCTACTGTCACAACCTTACCTAACTAACCAAACTTTCTGATACTGGTAATGAAATAATCGAATGAAGGTTAAATTATGTTCATAAAATAAAATTATAAATACTTCAAATTACCATATAACTAAAGATGTACAGTTAAGAAGAAATGGCATTCCAAGCAAAATCTTTGACAAAAAGTTAAGTGTCACCAATGGGATTTGATCTAGATACCTCGTGCTCATCAGCCGAGTACTCTATTCACTAAGCCATGAACACCGATGGCTGTACATCACACGCCAGCAAAGAAAGTAGCAGACGAATTTGATTACCTGAGTCGTGAGAAACATTGATGTGATCATTATCATCCCGAGAGGCTCCCTTCAGCCGCTTTCTAACTTAGTAAGAAAAAGAGTTAGCCTACACCTTAGTAATTATGTCACAGGGTACGGTACCTAACTATTTTAATATTTCAGGTGACACCAATAACCGAAGGTTTGCTGAAGCTGCTTAATGGTTCCAGTAAAAATTCTAAACCAGAAATTTTAGATGTGGGCGAACCAATATTTTTACAAGTGGAATGTATTAAAATACCTATATGTCCTACAAAACAGCTACGGTTGTAAGTAAATTCTTTTGCATCTGAAGATAAAATAAGAGTACAAATAACACAAAATAAAATAATTAAAAATGCACGCCTATCTCTCATAGGATTATTGACACTTTGTTCAGTTTGTCTTATGAAAACAGTATTAACAATAGGCTACCGGTAGGCCCTACTCATTATATTGATGGTAAAAATAAGTGTTTTTTAATCTTTTGGCACAGTGTTCCCAGGACCGCGGTTTGTACATGTAGTGTCCTATGGGCCCGAGAGATAATCTCCCCCTTCTCCACCTAGGCTACCTTGTGGGGGAATCTTTCTCTTCCTTGTGCCCCCCAAAACCTAAACCCTCTTGATTATTGAAGCGGCCCTGAATGTTCCTGCATTAATTATGCCCCAAGGAATAAAATAAAATCTTTTGGCAGTATATTGTGATATAATTATCTATAGATTTCTTTAAATTTTGCTAAAGATAAAAATAAATAAAACATCTACCGTAGGTACTTATTAACCTAATGTGTTTACAATCAATTGACTAGACTTTTTTGAGGTTAAGACAAAGTTCTATTTTATATTAATTTTGCCCAGTAATGACATGTAGTAAGTGTTGCAGCAAACTTCCTCATCCACTGGCAGACTCCTCCTCCGATGTTCTGTTGATCACAGCTGATCTCAAAGGCCAGAAGATATATCCAGAAAAGGCAGTGGAACACTATGAGGAGTTCCTGGCAGACCTTGAAATCAATTTCATCAACAAGGTATACCTACACACATTTTAAAAGTCAATCTTGCAAGTTTATTTGCTGTTTTAGTCTCATTTTAATACAATACTAAATCTAATGTGGTTTTCTTCCATCCATATAGGAATTAAAATTTGAAAATACTTTGGAATGACTGTTTGATTTTTTATATTTTAGGTTAAAAAAATAATGTAATAGCCAACCTTAAATATTGCTCATTTACTTGGCTAAAAAGGTACGATGGGATGTTGAGCAAACATAAGTTATCCAATGCAAGTTTTTATTAACATCACTTACTCAGGGCTCCACATAAGCCTGGCAGTTCATTAAATTCTTCTCATAGTCGTTTCTATGATGTGGATCATGTACTGCTTATTCGATCCGTCGGCCTACATGATCCTTGCATTCCTGGTCACCCTTTCCCAGACTTGTAGATGTGGTTTTGCTCTACAATTTAAAATCTTTATCGGTGTGGCAGATTGCAGGTATATAAATAAAAATATATAGGTACTTACTGTCTTCACAATCCTTGTTTGGTTATAACACTACGGCCGTTTCGTAGATTACTCTATCGTCGCCGATTATCGTACGTGCACAGCTATAAAACTGGTGACTGACTCGGTCATCAGTTTTGTGTTGTGTCTCGTGTTGTATATACGTAGGCTACTATTTATTAATTGTCGCAATGAAAAAAAATAAATCCAGTGAAAAATGTAAATACCACTTTAGTAACTACAGTAGAACTCCAATTATCCGAACTCCAATTAACCGAATCGCCGATTATCCGAATGGCTTATTTCAACAATTTTAATCATGTAAAGCTACAGGAATAATAAGGTTTGGAAAATATCAAAGAATTGTTATTAAGAACAAGTTTAGAACACTTGTGCTAAGAGCATTGTATACTGTAAAAATGTTCTGATTTCATTTATTATTAATTACAAATTCATTTAGTACCGGAAATGAGGATTTTTCTTGGAAATTCCTGGAATTCCTGTAAAACTCTGATTATCCGAATTTTTTATTATCCGAATGAGGTCTGGTCCCAATTGATTCGGATAATCAGAGTTCTACTGTAATACTTAGTACTAATAGAATAAGAACGCTCAAAGAACCCGGCACTATAATATTCAAGTCGACTAAACTTGTAAACATATGACGCGGGACTGAGAACGAGCATCGGTAGAGGGGACGCGACGTCATCTCCAAATACAGTGTAGCCACCACAACAAACTAAAATATTTCCCTGGCTGCTTCTTGAGGTACTAATAACTCTATATATAACACTCGCCCCAAAATAAAATACTTATCCTCTGGCTTAGCTCAAAATAGTCCAAGGCCAATCCAAACATCTATAATATTAAAACGAAACAGTGTTTTTTTATTTCACGATTCTGAATCAACCACTCGACGGATTTTCACGATTTTTGTGTTGAAAGAAAGATAATTTTAAGAACTAGGGAATGTCGAAGCCATAATTTTAGTTTAGGGTCCCAGTTTTTTAGAAATTAAGTTTAATTTTTAAAAAGTCTAGCAGCCGACGCTAAGATTCTAAACTAGCTTTTGGGATAAAATAATTTGCTTGACATAACAGCTGTAAACATTCAGCTTTTGTGTCACAAATTCAGCATTTGGATAAAAATGTAAAGACATACTTAGGGTTGACTTATTTATACTATGTGTAATGCTAATCATTGATAATTTCAATTCTTCTGTAAGAGGATGACAGATTAATTAAATATACATAGTAAAATACTAGGATGTTCAAATTATTTTTTAAAGCAATCTTTATAATCTTCGATTTGTTTTAGAGCAATATAATTTGTTTGAACTAACAGCTGGTTAAATCCTAAACTATGGAACTATGAGGTTATTTTATTTACTCTTATTTTGTCATTGATTATAGGAAATAAGTAAGATTAATAGAGCTAATTAGACCACAGTTTAAAATAGGCCCTAGTTTAGACCAAAATTAATTAAACCACAGTAAAAATCGAGGCTCTGTACACGAGTCTTAATAAAAAAGGATAAATGCATATTATTTTACTGCTCCACTTTTCAAGGAAAGATTGGAAAAATAACAATGTTTACATGTTTTAATTCTTCATGGTAGCTTTTTGTTTACAATTCATGTTTGTCTGCTTTAACTTTGTTTGGATTAGGCCCGGAAATATTTGATGTCATAAAAATAAGATCAAGAATAATCAGGAATCACGTCATCATTTTAAATTGCCACCACAACCTCAGCCGGGTTTTATACAAAGATGGATAACATAGATTGAACACAACGTCAAAATTGACCTAGGATACTGCAATTAGACAAACCATCTTTTTATGAAATCGTGTTCAGTTGTGAACGTTTGGGGGTGCCTATATCAGCGCCCCCAAACGAGAAAATATCACTTTTATTTCAACTACGAATACATTGTAGTTTAAATTAACTAATACGGGAAATTACGATGTACATTTATTCAATGAGGGTGGGTAATTAATTATCAAGGATAGAACTGATAACGGTATGGATAATAAACATTGACAATTACGTCATTAGCTTTACTAGCGTGTTTACTTTTTATATTCCTGCTACATGTGACCAGTTCTTTTTTTCAAATGAATGTTATTTGAACCAAACAGCTGTTTCAAAACAAACTGTTATTGTTTTTACTTTTCTTTATTTACTCTTATTTATTTAGCAATTAATGCAGCGAAATTAGGTGTGATGATTAGTTTTGATGTTAGGACACCAAAGTTAAATTATGTGTACTGTGAATTTCATTGGATATTATCGTTTTATTTTAGGTCGTTTCTATTCAGACCTACTGGAAATTGTGTATAGTAGTTGTATTGTGGTGATAATAATTATGGAAGAGGCAGGTATGGTATGGAAGAAGGTGGTATCGTTGACTAGGTCTATGCACTTCTCAATTGACTATTACTCTCTACTGTAGACTACTTATAATCAGTGTGCGTTTGTGCGAATCGGCTGCAAATCTCACTTCAACGCTTTTCACATCGTAAAAATTGCAGAATTGCTGTTTTATTGTAAAATTATCGGATTTAAAATGCATATCGTATAGGCCTATGATGGAATAAAAACATACTTGGTCACACAACCTTTGTTTACAAGATGATTTTCACATTAAAACTGCAAGAAACTTTGTCTTTATATGTGTAAACTAGCTGATCTGAATTGTACACGGTTTTAACTGACTACTGAATTCCCGTACATAGGACGGGCTAACACCTCGTTTTAATTAAAATAAAATATCTCAACAAAACTTATACTCCAGTCATTTCATTAATAACTCAGTTTAAATTGTCTCTACTAAACCAACTTATAAAACTCTTTCAAAAATAAACTAAAAATCTTCTAATTTCAGTAGGCCTAATTTTACTACAAGTCAAGTTTCTTCGGCTTCCGTACGGTTCTTTGGGATCTTCGAAGTTTTGGTGATGGGCTGCACTGTACGCTGGTATATACTACCTCTTGATCCACTTGAGCTGACGAGAAGTCGGGAATGCTCACTCTTTCCGGGGACCTCCTTGGAGTTGGTTGCTTAGGAGGCTCGGGAGATGGTTGAGGCGACATCCTCATAGGCGACTTGACTGGAGTGGTTTTCACAGGAGATTGTTGCATAGGCCTATTAATCATGATTCCTTCTTCTTCTCCTCTAACTGGCTATGCTTGAGGTGATCCGCATGGCAAAACCTTGTTTTTCCCAACACCTTGACTACATATATGACAGCACTACGTTTCTCCAAGATTCTACCAGGGACCTATGACACTTGTTCTTGTCGCACTGTTTTGACCAGTACATTTTCCCCTTCCACAAAAGACCTAAAACTACCGCAATGTCTGTCAGCGGAATTCTTCTGCATTTCCTTCCTCTTCTCAATCTGTGACATTAAGCTGAGTTTCAACAAAGCCAATTTGGTTCTTGGCTTCCACTGAAGAAAGAGCTCGGCCGGAGACAATCCGGTTACAGTACTGGGTGTATTCCTATATACAAATAAGAAATTATCTATTTTATGCTGCAGTGACACAGCTGTAGAACCTTCCGCCAGGACTTGTCGCTTGAGATTCTTTTTCACCTCTTGCACACATCTTTCCGCAGCTCCGTTCGAGGCTGGGTGGTATGGTGGAGACAATGTGAATTTCACGCCATTATTTCTCAGGATTTCTTTAAACTCGGTGCTTGTAAAATTAGGAGCATTGTCACTCACCAATTCCTGGGGTAACCCAAACGATGCAAACAAGGATCGCAACCTTTCAATGGTTTTAGCAGAAGTGGTCGACTTCATGATAAAGACCTCGAGCCACTTAGAGAAGCTGTCCACTACTATTAACAACTGTTGTTTAGTTTGCGGCTCTTCGGCATAATCTATATGAATTCTTTGCCACCTACATGTAGTTAGAGGCCACGGCTGCAAGGGAACTTTTGCAACTGCATTTCTGGTACATTGACACACATGACAAGCTGAAACTGCATCCTCTATACATTTGTCTAAACCAGGCCACCAAACATAGCTCCTAGCCAGAATTTTCATACGGTTGATTCCCTGGTGCTGGTCGTGCAGCAGCCGGATCACCGCATTACAAAGTTTTTCAGGCACAACCACCCTAGCACCCCAAATCACACAATTATTATCCACCGATAATTCTTCCCTCCTTCTATAAAAGTCTAGTAACTCAACATCCTTAACATCTGGCCAGCCATGCCAGATGAAATCTCGAACCTTAGACAACACAGGATCCTTGTCAGTTAGCCTAAAAATATCCTTAGAGGTAATGGGCGCATCACTCACCAATTCAGAGCAGTTGAATACTTGCACACAGGTGTCTACATGTGACACGTGGTTGGTCTCCAGCTCCAGAGTTCGGTCGTCCGGCAGGGGCAGTCTGGATAGTGCATCTGCATGCGGCAAGTCAGCACCGCGTCGAAACTTCACTTCAAAATTATAGGCTGAAAGTATGAGGGCCCATCTCTCACAGTTCACAGTTCAAAAATCTTTATTTTCTGCATAAGATGTAAATACAGATACTCCCATGAACCACGCAGGGTTCGTGCGGGAAAAAATACATTATGTTTAGTACAGAATAGCTGTCTGGCAGCCTAAATCATTATAACGTCTATTGTTCCTTTCTTCAATATTAGGTAAGTCACATCACTTTTTTCACTTTTAACAATCTAGCCTATAACAATTCTTTCTTTTTTTACAATTAATTATAAAACGTGCACAATATAGCTATCCAAAAATACGCTTAAATAGGTACATTCATAATAGTTTTAAGATATTTTTAACATGCATATTTTTTAAATAATTCTAAAGTTATAGAAACATCCTTTACCTTACGCAAAAACTCTTTTGGAATACTTTGGTCAAAGAACAATATGCATTTGAGTTTTTCTGTATTTATCACTAGTTTATTACTCACCAGCCACTGTGAATTTTTTTCCAAATCACTGTTTACTTTTAGCCTTAAAGAATTCTTGTTGTAAGAAGAACATACAAGTGCTGTATCATCAGCATAAACAAAAATTTGTGAATTTAAATTCAAAATTAAAATTAACAAATCATTTATATAAATAAGAAAAATTGCAGGCCCTAGAACCCCTCCTTGAGGTGTCTCATGTTCTAATTTAAGTACACCACTCAAATTGTTGTCTATTTTTACTACCTGCATCCTGTCTTTGCAAAATGACATTCCAAAGCTTTCCCACCTATACCATACTTGCTGAACTTATAAAATACTAGCTGTTGTACCCGTGCTTTGCAACGGGAAGAGATCACGAAATAGAAACATTTTGATCTTGAACATTTTGAACCCGGCACTATAATATTCAAGTCGACTAACCTTGTAAGCATATGACGCGGGACTGAGAACGAGCATCGGTAGAGGGGACGCCACGTCATCTCCAAATACAGTGCAGCCACCACAACAAACCAAAATATTTCCCTGGCTGCTTCTTGAGGTATTAATAACTGTATATATTACAACCACAGTATTTGAGCTTAGTGTACGACTACACCCTACGATGGAGCAATCTCCGAAACGGCCTTAGCGTTATAACCAAACAAGGATTGCGAAGACAGTAAGTACCTATATATTTATTTCTTTAAATATGTTAAATATTGAACAGAATCTTTACACTATAACAGGTTTAACAATTACAAGTTTTTTTTTTGTGTTATTAGGTGATGCCGATTAGGATGATCAGGAAGGAGTATTCACAATACGAGATGAGGCAGAAACTAGTGGACCAGTTTGACATCATTCTAGCCGACTCAAGAATTCTCAAGTCATTGCCATCTGTCCTTGGCAGAGCTGTTATGTACAAACGCAAGTAAGTCAAATGAGATCAAATATTACAGAAGTTTGGTCTAAAAGCCAGGTTTGTTTTTTTTGACTGTTTTTTTCACCTTATGTAGATTATTGCAGGAGCTACATATCATAATGAAACACGGTAAATACTGTGTGGTAAATAAAGTAATTTCTTTATGTGTGTATAATGCAACCCAACCTAACCCAAGCCAAACAAAATCATCATCTTTGTGATAGGTCAAAAGTATTCAAGTATTAATTTAATAATTGTGATTCATTCATTTATTGACAATGATCAAATTATATGTACTTTGTAGTACTCTAAAAGAGACAAATTTCAAAATATCCTTTAGGCTTTTTTATCTTTGGACATGGCGTTTAAACACTATGAAATCCTCCAGTCTGAGACAAATTTGTATAAAGAAATAAGATTTGGAAAAGAAAGGGCAAAACATGACATAGGAGTTTGCAAAGTTGATAGTGTAATAGCTGGACTTCTTATTTCTAATATTCTCGTGATTGCAGAATGCCAATCCCTGTGAATCTCACTATGAAGAAACTTAGGTTAAAGAAGCACCTAAGAGACGCAGTGTGCAAGACCCAGATGACAGTGAAATCCAATGGACATTGTTCTCTGGTGCAGGTAAACAGCATTAACATTTTAAGGCAGGACTTTTGGACTTGTTAAAACTGTGATCATAAAATCAGTTTTAATTTTTTGAAATCATATGTATTAAATTAACTTTCTCACCAAAATCATTAACAAATGTTTTCAAGATCTGCATTTCGGCATTGGTATTGCTGGTCCCCAAGTTCTTAATCATGGACACATGGCAGTCAACAGTTAACAGAGTAGGTTTACCCATTAAACTATGAAAACCTTAACAAACTTAATAAAAAAATATGTAAAAATTTCCATAAAATTGTGGATAAACTGTGAATTTGACAACCAAGTCAGTAAAAATTAAAAAATAAATTTAAAAAATTTTCTATGTCTTATAGTTATTATATAGGCTAGCATTTATTACATTACTAAGATATAACTTTCTTTCAATAGGTCGGACATACCAAGATGAGCGGTAGTGAGGTAGCCACAAACATCGTAGAAGTAGCCAAGTCCTTGGAGACAATGTTTCCTGGAGGATGGAAGAACATCCGTTGTCTCACAGTTAAGACGGCCAAGAGTACATCTCTGCCTGTCTACATGTCTTTGTGTGAGTGACAATCTGTATACAATACTGACAAACTGATTGTTTCAAACCCAACCCTGCTTGGATTTGCTGTCCCCAATCGGTCTACATTATCTCGAGTGTCAGTTACACTGCAGGTGTTTACAGTAACATAGCTGTGTTAAGACTAAGAAAAATCAAAAATAGCATCAATTGTTTCTTTATTAAGTCTTTTAAGTTGTCCATTATGAAGCAAACATTTCCCATCAAATAGCACCAATTGTGAGGAAATATATTCAAACCATTACACAACTGTGGTTTTTTGGAGGCAGGATCCCATTGGAGGAGCTGTATAGCCCAAAGACTGAAGCCTTGATATTGTTTCCTATTTGGAATGTAAAGTTCTTTTTCTAGTTTGGAATTTGTACTTAAATATAGTATTTTCCTGACTATTGCACCTTTTCCTTTCTATTAGTAAGTTATTCTTAGCCATCTTTAAATTTATCCAATTTTGGGTTGTGAAACATTGTCACCGAATTGTAATATTGATTTCTGGGCTCTGTCTCCAAAGTAATCGCAGTTGAAACTCAAGGGTAGCCATGATGTTAGCCCATACGGTAATACAATCTTTTAATTTATAATTTAGAAGAAATTCTGTTTTATTTTTATTTTAGTTAGGCCTAGTTATTTTTCTCTCCAAAAACCGATTTATTTTCTGATAAAACTGTTTACACTATTTAAAACTAGAAAACTACCTAACAATATGTTATAATCATAATATAGCATAATGATAAAAAAGAGGCTGTGTAAAATCTTACACAGCCTCTTTTAAAGATGAAAAAATGTTAAAGTCCATTTAGTGTTGTCTAAGTAAGATTGTTGTGATGGCTTTAGTGTCGCCCAATGAGGTTAAGATCCCAGTGGAGGTTAGTCGCAGGCCGCAGCCAGTAGAGGACGAGCTGTCCACCATGCTGGGATACAACGTGGTCGTCGCCCACGACGGCAACGTCATGCTCAAGAAGGTGGCGGAGGAGGCCAATGTTGATGTGAGTCTATGTTTCGGATATAGCTCCGGTGAAACGTTTGTAAATGTTTTTAAAATTGAGAATCAACATTTCAATGAGTTACTTAAATGTTTTTTTAATCTTGATGTGAGTTTAAAGAGAGTCAAGGGAAATAGGTTGTAATAAAAATTACCTAAAATAAATGACACTTTTTTGTTTCTGGCTGAGCTAGTAATACAAAAAGTTATAGTTAAATTATAAATTATGTGATGGTTACAGCTAGTAATACAAAAATTCATAATACAGTAGAACCCCTGACATCTAATCTGCCTTAAACATACATTTAATTTTCATATTATAATATCCTTAACCGTAAATCTTTAGCTACAAAGTAATCTTTGAAAGTGTAAAGGATGCATTATTTGTTATTTCTTGGAGATGAGTATCTGATTGGCCATGCGCTATTACAGAATAAAATGTTTTATCACTAAATATGTTAAACTATTACAGGATTCTAAAGATGATGAGATACTGGAGGAAGCAAAGAAGTACATGGAGTCTTCAAAGACGGTGAAATATGACGAGAGTAGCGATGAGGAGAAGAACGAGGAAAAAGATGGTGAAGACAGTGAAGACGAGGGAGATGCAATAACAGAAGCTATGGAGAGGAAACTGATGAATAAATATCAGAACGAGAAGGCAAAAACAAAAAAGAACAAGATGCAGGACGAGGATGAAGAGGAAGAGGAAGATGAAGAAGATGAAGAAAGTGAAGATGAGAGTGAAATTGTTCCTAAGGCTGGGGTAGGCATCAAACAAGTTTGAATTTTAGAATATTTAACATTGAAGTAGATAGGGTCAGTATTTTCTTGTTTTTAGAGAATATTCCATATACACATGTATAACACCTTCCATTCAAATTTATAAACATATATGTGTGTGTCCAATAGGGCGATAACTCAAGCAAAAATGATCCGATTTTGAATGTTTATTTGAACAAGCTCACGAATCAGCATGATCAGACTAAGGGAACGGGAATTTATGGGGTAAAAATTCATTTTTCAAATTTTTTACTACAAAAACCTAAAATTTTACAGTTTCTTTCCAAACCATTTTATAGAGCTTAAAAAAGAAGTTATTTTGTATATTGAGACGTTCTTGTATACCTAATGGTTAGGCCTGGCGCACACGGTAGATTTTTTGATTGGCCGATAAAAAAATCGGCCAAAAATAAATTGCCCTTGATTTATGTCTAGCCGCACACGTGGCGATTTTTTGAGTGCGTTTAAGCTATCCTAAAATGGACTTTGTTGAATTAACCTGTGTTTGTGCTCTTCTAATTAGATCAAAGAAAAAAAGAAGACAACTTAAATATTGGGTTCATCCGATAGTAAGTCAGAGACTTTTAAATCGACAGTTTTATAAACTATTACTTTACGTGATGAAAGTAAAAAGTTCTTTAATTACTATAGAATGTCTGTTGAAAGTTTCAGTTTTTATTTTAACAGCTGTGGCATTTTTTTAGCAAAGAAAACAACACAACTCTCACTGAAGTTCACTAAATCCTGTGGAGAACAACAAGCGACTGGCCGATTTTTTAGTCGACTGTGTGCGCGGACTGATAACAATCTGTACGTTACAGATTTTCGGGCGACAATCGCCTCGCCTACAAATCTGTGGCAAAACCCAGATTTTAAAATCGGCGCAATTTTCGATCGCCTGTGTGCGCGTGCTTCCATTCAAATACATGATGCACAGATAGGCCGATGAAATAGTCGCCTCAAAATAATCGCTCGTGTGCGCCTAGCCTTATAGAGATACCTTATTTTAAAAAAATGTATATTTAAAATTCCCCTCAATACCTTCCCTGTACCAGCAAACCTAAGTACATTAATTAGGTTTGCTGCTACAGGTAGGCCTAAGGTAATTTAAAATAATTTGATAATTTGAAGGGACTGTTTTACTAGAAATCCATCCAGATAAATGGAAATTCGCTTAGTAGGCAGGTTTGCTGTGGCGGGGGGTATTGTGTTTTGCTCACATGAAAGTATAGTTTTTGATGTGTGTTAAAGTTAAATTCACAATTACAAATTTGTAACAAATTAAATGATAGGGCCTAATTACAGTTATACTTAGTGTAGGCCTACACTTGTTGTACTATGCCAAATTTTTCATCAATTCACAAACACCTACAAACCACTAGAAGCATTTAAAATTGAACTATTACAAAAGCCATTATTTTTGTTTCAAACTATCTTAAAGCTGTTTTTTTTTTCATTTTAGAAAAAGAGAAAACCCAAGGTAACTAAGAAGCAGAGTGGGCCTCCAGCTAAAAAAGTGTCAAGTGTGGCTGTAGCCAAGGGAAAAAGTAAACAAGTGGATAAACAAACTGTAAGTCTGGTGTGCAAAAAACGTAATTGACTAATTATATGATTTCAGCAGGGTTTATTTTAGTTTTATTAAGTTTTAATTTGCTCTGAATCCAAAAGTGCAGGCTGGCCTGCCTGTGCTTTTTCAAGGTAAGCTAGCTGCTATCCTTATTCTACAATTCATAATATTTTTAAAACAACTTTATAATAAGAATTTTGTGATTAGAAAATAGAAAGGCATTGTATATAGGTTGTCTTGATTGGTGGAGCAGCTGAGTCTATTGCAAAGTAAATTTCACAAAGGGCGTTCCTACCTTTCAGCTTTCAGGTGGTTAGGGGAACTGTGCAAGCACTGAACAAATACGGTAGTCCTTGTTTTTTACTTAAAGTTTGTTGTCATATCTAATGGATAGTTAACAGCTTTAAGATTAAAATAATTTCGAGCTGGTGAGAAGATCCATCCTGAAGGCTGCTACGCTTAGCCATGTGTGTGGTGGACATGTGAACAGACGGATAGCTTAAGTTTAAAAAACATTGCTTTGCTGTTTACGTTAATGATTTGGCCGAGCCAACCAAGCATAATAATAGCTTAGATTTATATTCTGGTAATAGAAAAATTCAACATTTTCCCAGATAAGTTTATAAAAGGTGTTCAAAAAGGTGGGGAGATAATTTATTTACGTATTGTAGTGGCTCATTGGGTCAAAATAAGCAAAAAGTTTATATAAAAATATGTCTGTCTCGTTCTGTCTGTCTGTATGTGCCTTTTTTTACAAAGATTACTTTTAAACAGTTTTGAGCTACAGAGTTGGAATTCTAGAAAAAATGTTCTTATTGACTAATATCTTTGTGGTAAATGTAAATAAAAACCCTTTAACCGTTTCAAATGGTAGCTATATTAAATATTTGATACCAAATACCACAAAAACCGTTGAACTTTACCTTAAAGCTGCAAGACACATAAAATTAAGTAAATTTTATGTGCAGATTTGGGCTTTATCTTATTAGCTTAGTTTGGAAAAAGAAATTAATTGATTTTTGCTACACCTAGATTTTTTCCTTTTAAACTTATGTAAAATTGGTCTCTGCAAAAATAAATTACATAGAAGTAAGAAACAGAGGATACAAGCTAGAAGAACAAACATGTTCTTTTAGCTCTGGTATGTTGGGGCGGAAATATACTAGTATCGAGCAAGACAGAGCCCGAACAGCGATGGCCACATAGCATACTTGTAGAGCAGAGTTGTAGCATACAGTGTCTTCCTACCGTGTGAGCGTCTAGTACATGATGGCGAAGGGGGAAAGGAGAGCGGAAGGGGATGGTGAGAGGGGACAAATAAAATTTTCTCTAGACACCAGCGATTGGTGTAAGACATCACTTAAGTGTACTACTGATTACTGAATGTATCTTCTGTTTCTTACTCTCTGTGAATAAATCTTCAAATAAATTTATTTTTAGAGAATACTTACTCTCAGGTATTACTTTTTATTTATTTTTTGCCAATAATTAACCTAGACATTTTTTCAAGGACAAGAAAACCGTTTCACCGGGAGTCAAGAAGCCACAAACGAGGGGAACACGAGCAGGAAAGAAGACTAAGTTGAGTAAAGACCAACGAAAGGCATTGATCAAGAGGAAAAAAGCAGGGAAGAAATAAAAAGCTAAACTCTCATTGCATGTATCCATGTTTCAGCAATCGGTACTGTACATGTGTTTACTATGATTGAAATAAAATTGTTTTCAAACAAGATTTGTACAGAAACTTTGATATGAAATTCCTAATTATATTTGGAATATATTTTATAAACGATTGAAAACAGTTTTTTCTTACTGGTTTTTGTTGCATTAAATTCATACACTTGTGAACTTATTTGCAAAAATAAATGGTTTTATTTCTGAATTGATACCCTAATTTTCATTCCCTATCCCTTCACGAATTTAACCTTGTCTCAGCTGTACTAGTGGTCAGGGGGAGTGTTGTACGACATCCAATAGTCCAATAGTTTTCTGTCGCACAACGTCCAGATTTCTCCATACCAGGTTAGGTTAGGTTAAATAGGTAGTCGGTAAAACACTATTCACAGAGTGCAGGCACTCTGGACGTTATGGGATATGGTACAACTCTGCTACTTTTTTAATGATGTAAAGTGCACTGTTTCACAGCCTCCAATATCATGACGTCCAGAGTTTGTAGAAAGACTATTTTATTGTAATTACTGTACTTTTGGACATGGTGAGATTTGGAATTCGTGCAACAGTCTAATATTTTATATTGGACACCATGAGACAGCTCAAGAATTATATTTTGGACGTCGTGCAATGCATCCGTGGTCAGGCTAAACCACGAAAATAGTTTCTGGAATATAAAAATATTTATACTATCATTAGATTTATAAAATACACAATTTCTTTTTTTTTTGTTCGGAGCGGGAACAGAGCCAGTCTTGTCAATGTTAAATTTGCCATCTTTACGTACACTTATCTTCAAAGGGTGTAAAGCCTGTAAAGCTAAGGCATTAAATTTTGTAGGCTAAAATTATCAACCCTTTATAAACAGACCCAATTTTAGAATTTTTAATTTAGTGACTAAAATAGTAGTGACAAAATAGTATGTTGTTTTAAGGATATATTACTTTATAAAACTTTGTAAGACACCAAAAAAGTTTACACATTTCACAAGACCTACTTTTTTTCTCCAAAACTAGCAATGTGACAGTTATAAAAATGGGTCTAAATGTTACTTATAACAACACAACAATGATGTAGCCTATCCTATAACGAATTTCAAGTCTAGGTCAGTTAGTTCCAGAGATACCTGTATTGAGTGTATTGTATTAAAAAGTTGTACTTTCGGAAAACGCTGTAAAAACAGGGTACATCCCTGTAGCATCTACTACAAGCAATATATATCATAAAATAGGCCTGTCCATTTGGAGGACCATAATGCTGCCTCTTCATCCACTTTCTGCATGAGCCTTTCTTTTCTTCTAGCCTACTTTAGTTAGTTATCTCTGGTGGAAGTAAACAAGTACATTGCCAGAATCATACAAGTACTATAACTCGATCATTGGCACCAAGCAAATCTTCGTAAAGGTGTGAAAGAGTTGTTGTGCTTAACTTTTTACAAAAGCCAGATCGTAAATTGAAGGCCATACTATAATTCCTTCAAAAAATCAGCTGTTCCTTTTTTCACAGTTCACAGTTCTGTCATAGATTGTGCATATTCAGGTATCTAACATCCACATTAAGTTTAAATTTAATGTGTTGTAGTCATTTAAAATCAATTCAATCGTAGTTTTAACACTCCTCCCACATATCTAAAAGTTTTACATTGTCATTTTGGGTTCTTGTAAAACTGAAATACTTACTTGTCTACTTTTTATTGAAACTAAAGTTATTTTTCTTTGTTACCAATCATAAGTTAATCGTTGTTTTATTTTCAATTATCTAATTAAGTATCCAAAGCGAGGTTTTAAAATTTCCTCAATCAGTTTAACGCCTACCTCACACTATTGACGGTGTGGCGATTAACTGGGGGACAATCAAGACATGTTTAAACTCACCGTGTATTTTGTGGTAGGCTGATTGCAGTTGATGGATTAAGCAGGTGTTTAGTTGTTGATCAGGTCATCAGTGTGCAGCTGATATAAAGTCAGCTGGAAGTAAAAGACTCACTTGTGAGAGATGAGGGGCTCAGTTCTGTTTCTGGCTTTAGCCATCGCCCTATGCCTGGTAAGGAATATTTTGGATTTGCATGTTAACACTTAAACTTAATTTACAATATTTAAACTTACAATTATAAATGTATCTTTAGTCTTTCACTAAAATTTATCATGTATGGGAGAGCGCTTCTGGTCTAGTGGTTAGAGCGTGGAACTTCCGCTGTGGAGACACAAGTTCAAGTCCCTCTGAGCAACAATGGATTTTAGCCATTGTTGATAATGCCATAAGGAGGTTCACAGTTCGTCTTATGCACTGGTCCACATATCTATAAAAAAGGACAAGTATCCTAGGTGAGAGCTTTTTGTTTTGAAGCGCCCTTTCCACAAAAAAATAACTGGCTGACGTGCAACAGCTAATTAATTAAGCTAATAGTGTATATGTAGATTTGGATGGAGTAGCAATAACATTAGGAAGAGTGAAAAATCTCCCATTGTCAAAACAAAAACTGAGTTTAGTAATATTTAATTGGGAACACCCGTGGCTCAACAAAACTATGGGAAGAATGGAAATAATTTCAACAGCTATACCTAAATTTTTGATTCATTAGATATCTCTTTAGGAATTATTTGCAATATTATTTAGCCTGCTCAAATCTGTTTTGATTCGTTTTAGGCCCTGCCATCCTGCAATGCCAGGCCGGTAAGTAAAGTTTGTTGTGCTAAATTTACGACATTTTGCATATTTCAGGGATCTATAAAGTTATAAGATAAAAGCAAATATGAGTAAGTAATAGCTTACTGTGATTCATTCATCAATATAAATATTTATTAAGGAAAAATTTTCTCAGTTCATTGCCAGATTCATGAACAATCTTCTTGGAAACAAATACAATCAAAAACAAAAAAAAACTATTCATTTTCATATTAAAAACCAGTTTATTAAAGTAGACATTCTCTTATAATTATAATAAATTCTTTAGAACCGATTAGTTCCGATTCATCAGCTGTTAAGCTGTGTGGACCTCAGTTATAATGTGTCCAGGGTGAGCTGGTTGTGAAGCAGAAGTGTGCCAAGGCAGCCAGTGCTGCCTCTAGCAGTCAGGAGGAGGAAAGTGAGACTTTGGTCAAGAAGGTTGGTGGCTGTGGATGTGGTTGTGGAGCCTCTGCTATCTCTTCCTGCAAGAAGAAGGCCAAGAAAGCTGCAGCTGTTGCATCCTCCAGTTCCTCATCCAGCTTGGAAGCCAGGAAGGTCGTCGGACTTGTAAGTCAGATCTCTATCTTATCAATAGATCCGAATACTGACTACCGGTACTGAGAGTTTTATCATAGACGAATAGAATAAATATAGACTGTCAAAGGAAGATTCTGTGATGTGCCGCTAGACCGTGCTCAGTATTCGTCGATTCGTTGCCATCGTCGATTCACCGTCTGCTACCAGTACTACCACCCTTGCAAACCAAATGATACCAACGTATCATACCCACTTTGCAATATAGTCAAAGCACAAAATCCTGAAATCCCATGATTTTAACAGAAAAGCCCATTTTTTTCAAAAATCCCTGGAAATTTTAAAAACATGGAAAAATAACAAACTCCTACTCCTCGGATTCCGTGGAATAATCCAGAGGTTGGCAACCCTGGCTCCAACTACCAAATTGTCATGGCAACGCTTGCTAGCACTTGACGCTGCAGTGGTGTGCGCCAAAACTAAACAGCACTCTTAGCGGTGGACACCAGAATATATGCTAACCGCAGCAATGCTGTCAGTCTATATTTAATTCTTTTGTCTATGGTTTTATGATGTCAAAACTAGTATTATACTCAAGCTGTTTGGAAGGTAATCTCTAGTCTTGAATATACTAATGACCGGTGAGAACCAAAGTTATTTAGCTACCCTCTATCCTTAATATCTCAGGTTGAGATCTTTAAGTTTTACTGGTAGGTAATTTTTTAGTTGTGCAATATATTTTGCTACGCATTTTTAAGCACCAGTATTTCAAATTTAAATTCTCTTCATCACAAAAGTGCTCAGGGCTTACCATCCTTAATAATTCAGAAATATTTTTATAAATGTACAAACTGAAAAAATAGCTAAATTATTTTTTTTTATTTAGGTAACTGTAAAATTTTCATAATAAATGGTTAAAATAATTTTCTCGTTGCTTTGAAAACAACATAGTATTGATAGTTTGCTACTCCCACAAAATATATGATACAATTAATACAATATCAAAGCCACATTTTATCACTACCTCACTTTAAAAAACGGTAGTTTTACACAACTCTGAAAGTTAAAGTAAGTTTTAAAAAATTTTTTTACAGAAGGCTCCTTGTGGCTGCCAAGCCAAGAAGGCCGTTGTTAAGGCTCCTTGTGGCTGCCAAGCCAAAAAGGCTGTTGTTGTTAAGGCTCCTTGTGGCTGCAAAGCCAAGAAGGCTGTTGTTAAGGCACCAGTGAGTATGAATTGTCTATAAACAATAGAATAGGAATAGAAATAACTTGCCGTTGACATTGTACATGCATTAACAACAGTCATGAACCTAACTAATTAAAGGCCATACACTTCTCCTAAGGAGATTAAATCTGCCTCTACGATTATAATACCAACCACTAATGTAAAATATGGACCACCAAAGAGTGCAGTTGAGGGAGGAGCCAACTTACCACGTGACTTCGAAGGAACCAACGAGGATCGAAGGTGGGCATGGGGAGGCGGTTTCCCACCTTCCAATTTTGGATTAACATATTATCTAGTAAAAAAGTGTAATGTTTGTTTAGAAAGAACCCCCATAGCTTTCATGAGGTTTTCGCTTAACTGTTTTACCCTTACTTGTAATGGTCGATTCAATCATAAACTCTCCTTTCTAGGTTTACACTTATCATATTTTGGGTAACACACGTTGCAAAATATATTTGCATCACGTTTTACTTTCCCTTTATTAGAAATGAGTCATGTGATTTGATCAGGTTTTGGGTGTTTTCCAACACCATTAGCATTTTTATACGTTTTTTTTTAAGGAAACGTCTACTCATCAGGATGTGTCTTAAGAATCAATTATGTTATAGTGTGGCTGCAAACTGCTGTCCGAGACCCAGATCAAGCAGAAGTACGCTAAGCTGAAGGATGAGTCTCTCGACACCTACTTCAAGCGTATCGTCTCCAGATCCTACGAGTGGACCTCTACCACAGACGCCTACGTCAAGACTCTGAGCCTGGTGTGGAAGGATTTCAGCGGCCTGGACCTCTGGTACAACAAGAAGTACGTCTCCCTAGTCAAGGACTTCTACTCTCTCTACTACGCCAAGCAGGCTTCTGAATCATGGGAGAGTTACTACAGCAGGTAAGCTATTATATTACCAATAAAGATCGGGATGTAACTGGGCATATTTGAGCGAATAATGAGTGTTCAATGGAGTGAAATACCTTTTATTAACCCCAAGATCAAGGCAAATTTGGAACAATCAAAAAAATTTCTGACTTTTCACATGATCAATATGGCAAACTTTTGATTGTCAGGCGAGCACTAACTTAGTGCTCAACAACTTAGCTTATCAAATACGCAAAGACAAGTGTGTTCAAACAGAAATATCTCAACAATGTTGAGCGGTATTTGGTTGGTAAACTCTCTATTTTATTCTCATGTAAGCTGATAAAGTTCCAAGCTGATTTACTCTATCAAACTGTGCTAGAGTTCTATGCATACCATGTATTTTATTGAACTGAATACACAAGCATCTTCATTTACATGGTTAAAGATATGTCCATTATTAACTAGATTTTTTTATTAAAAATTATCATCACACTATTCTCCTTCATATAAGTTATTTAACAAACTTAAGGTATTCACCTAAACAATTTGTTCTTTATCAAAACTTTTTCAAGTTAGGTTGCTAAAATGCATATATAATATATATAAAGTTACAACGATAACTGGACTATTTTGTATCCTGCTAGAGCACTAGGCACAATACATCACTCTAAGAAAGAGCACAAATCCAACAATATAGATAGATATATCAAGAGCAAAGATTTCTAAACTAAACGGTACGGTATCTTTGTTAAACGGCAGAAACGATTTTTTGAAACATCACGTTCTTATTTGTATTACCTAAAGTTAAGATAAACAAAGTAAAAACACAAAGTTTAACTGATTCCAATGTCAATGTTCAGACTTGTGAAGAGGGAGGCCTGGGAGACTGAAGATTTGTTCGCCAAAAGGATCACTGTCATCCGTGACTGCTTCCCTGACTTAGACCTGTGGGTCAACCCCGTGTGGTTTGACAAGTACACCAAAACCTTGTACTCTTGTGAGTTCAAGAGGTTTGCCCAAGAGTCGGATGTCGACTACATCAACAGAATCATCCAGGAAGACTCCCTCTTCGACTTCTCTAAGGAAAAATGGGCCAAGAGAATTTTCCTTATTCAGGAAGCTACCCTCTCCAGCTGTTCACTCTGGTACGATGAGAAGTACCTCTCCTACTTCAAGAACTTCTACTCGGTAACCTACTTTAATCCATACCACTTAGTCTTTGCTGTTTTGTTAATCTCGCAGTCCAACTTGTTCTGATGGTAGGCCAAAGTTAAATGATCCAGCAGACAGCTGTCAGTTACCTCTCGATTGATATATTTAAATTGGGTGTAAACAGTAAGGCTAGGATTACAGCGTCCGGGACGCTAGCGGGGCATTAAATCAAATGGGGGCGATTATACTATGGATGCTAGCGTCGGATGCTAAAAAAGCCACCGGACGCTCGAAGCTATTACCGTAGGTGGCATGGTAAGACCTAGGCCCGGGACCGACTAAACATTGAAATAAATTGGCAGTCCGAGAGGCTAGCATCCCAACACAAATCACGTCATTTATCGGCTCGAGGTGGGACGCTAGCCTCTCGGACGCTGGCCTCTCGGACGCCAGCGTCCTAGTATAATCCTAGCCTAAGAGAGTGTAGTCATACCACGTTTGATCTAGACACACTTTAACTTGTGCGTCCAAAATTTTAACAACTTTTAGTCAATCAACTTAATATTCTACTTACTAGATACTTTGTGCACCTAAGCAAGTTTGTCTACTGATGGAAAATTGCAAAAACTTAATCTGGATCTGTATGTATGTGTAGTAAGAAGCCAAGTAAAAAACAACACTTTCTAATACAATTTAACGTTTTGTAATGCAAGATTTTGGGCCAATGTTTAGCAAATACTGAATATACTTAAGTGTCAGCAGATTGGACGATTTTACTCAATAGTTCTTAACAGTGACTTCATAATAGAGATTGGATAGGAAATGGAGGAATATAACAAAAGTTAATTGTTTCGTTTTCAGGTGTAGCATTCTTACACCTTTTTTTTATTTAATCTTTAAACAAATTTAATTTTCTAAATTGTTTTTGCGTTTAGATCTGGTACAAGAAGAAGGATTCAGAGACTTGTGAAGGTTGGCTCCAACGTGCTCTTACTCCCCTCCCCGGTGAGTCCTTTGACAATGCCTTCAAGAGGATTACTTTCATCAAGCAGATCACTGGCGACTGCGGCTGCTGGAAACTTGACTACTTCAAGAAGGTCCAAGAAGCCAAGTGTTTCCAGGACGACTGGATTCTCAAGGTAAGTTAATAGGTGTTTGTTTATTACTATGCATTTTTTACAGGGATAGGGTTACAACTTACAATAGCTATCTTTTTTTAATGTATTCGGCATTTTTAAAGTTTTTTTTTAGGTAATTTTCCATACCCTGGTCTTGTTACTCTGCAACGGCGACCGTTTTTTACGGTAGTGTAAGAAAGGGAAATCATCAATAATCATTAGTTGATGGCCTATGTACAAAAATGGCATCAAGGCGTAAAAACAGTCTTGCTTAAAATCGAACCAGTGACCTTTAGGACAAGCACTTAAATCGCTCCGTCTCTTAAAGAAATTTCTCATTACACCTGTAGGCCTAGTTGTGTGGCTGCTAACAAATTTTAATAATATGTTAATTTAATAGGACGGTTATCAAACAAATGAAACATCGTCCTTGTTCACAAAAGACTAATTCATACTTGGTGATTTAATACAATGCTCCAATCATAAATTTGTCCTACTACCTGACAAAGCGGACTTTCTTGTACTGATTATAGCACACAAAGTAGCTAATGGCTGCATTTGCTGTACTTACTTTTGCCGCACTCCAGTATTCTATCCTAACCAAACAACAGAAAAAAGTGTGCTTTTATTAGGCTCATAGACTCGAAAATAAATTGGCAATACTTAAAGATACTATGTCTACGATCAGCTGGTACAATGTTTCCCATTTCGTTCAACGCTTGGATTTAACCTAACCTTAAACGTTTTGTTTGGTGTTTGGAAAGACTAATTATTTCTTTGTTAAATGGTAACTGTAATTGTTAAATGGAAAAACATAATGTGTAACTCGAGCGCAAAGTGCCTTTGCTGTACTCGAGAAACTTTCCACACTCGCCTGCGGCTTGTGCGTAATCATTTCTATCATGTGCAGCAAAGTGTCACTTCGCACACTAGTTACACAAATAACTATTTACTCCACTAGTATGCCTAAATTGTATGTTAAGTTCATTCAGAGACAGTAAAGTAGTGGCCAAAGTATATTGTTAAAAAAATCAGTGATTTTGCAATTTAAATAAAATTTTAAAAAGGCTTGAATAATATCATTCCTAATTATTACAGGTTAAAAAAGGTTTCTTCCCCTGCGGCTGCGGTGGTGGTGTCACCGTTGAGCGCTCCTCCTCCAAGAAAGCCAAGGCTGCGTCTAGCTCCTCAGCATCTGAGAGCTCCGAGGCAGTTAGGATTGTCAAGGCTTAGTTTTATGGGTAATTTTGATGAAAGTTACTTTTTAATTACATTTAAGTGTAATGTTATCCAATGTGTTTCTTATTTTATACAAAGCATTATATATTTAATAAAACTAGCTGCTGTGCCCGTGCTTCCCAACGGGAATATGTACCATACGTCCATACTGCCGAATCCAAACACTTGTTAAGTAGATAGAATTTATAAACAAAGTGCCACCAAATGTTCACAAAAAAAGTATTTATATCAAAGTATTTTTGAGCTGTGACGAAAATACAAGGTAAATAAACCACTATTAATATTTGTCTTACCAGCTCAGGGGCAAACCACAACAATGAGTAAAAAAAGTACAGTATGACCTAAATTTTAATTACCCTACTGTTTACATTAAAATATATCAATAACATAATACAGTAGAACCTCTTTAATCCGAACTAATTGGGACCAGGGGTAGTTCGGACTATTGAATAGTTCGGATTACAGAACATATTGTTGTTTTTACATAACAATAGCTAAAACATGGCTAAATTGATCAAAATTATTTTGGTAAAAGTGAACAAATGTTTTATAAAGTAAAATACAGTGTAAATTTAATACAGTAGTAAACATGATGAATAAACAGTACTGTAAATTAAATACAGTATACAATAAAGAACTGCTGTACTGTGTATGAGTACAGCAGTGAGGGGGGTTCGGATAAGTGGACGTTCGGATTACGGGGATTCGGATTAAAGAGGTTTTACTGTATTCATAACTTATGGTTATAGAATTTTTCTTTATTTCCATAAGTTATGACATAAATAAACCTATGGAGAAATACAAAACTTTAAAGGGCCCCAGGACCTCACTCCCTAATTATTTCCCTAAAAAGAAAGTTTCCTGCATAGCTTCACGTTACGCTCTTTCCAATGACACCAAAAACATGTCAATCAGATAAGTAGTTTCGGAGCAGTAATTGTCACAAAAAACCTGCTTGCGTATTCAATAAGTATAGATGTACAATGCTGGAAAAGCCTAGCTACCCACATTATTAATAAAGGTATATGAAAAGTTTTGCATAAAACGGATTGTATAAGTGTTCTCAGGAAGTTTGAGGTATTTTTGCTTAGTAATTATTCATTGTGAGTTATTATGTAAATCAGTTTGAACTGAGAAGCACCTGAAAATGATTTCGATTTTTACAGCTAGTATAAGGTAATCTCTTCTACCATCCACAATTGAAGCCACTTATAATCTAGTCAAGATAATGCAAATAAACTACAGATGATTTTCTGATCAAATACTTACCTTTCACTGCTACATCCCTTAGAATTCATCAAAAATGCACCTATCACTTACTCAACGTAATTATGGTACCATACTTGCAATAAAATAAAATGTTTACTGACATTTTGTGTTAATAGTGTTAACAACTTTTTTTCATTAACTCGGGTCTTGATAGGTTAAAAAAAAGTATTTAATTTTTCTAAGAATTCCTTGATCAACTTGATAAGCGAATTCTCATAAAAAATTAACTAACCAACTAATTGTTATATATATTTTAAAGTATAACTGATTAAATTGTTTATGATTTTAGGGTACCCATCACTATCGTCTTGGATCTAGCTTCATCCTCAAATGTTTCTCTAATGTCAACAAAAACTCACTCTTATAAACTAGTTTCAGCACCTTACACTGTGTTATTTATTTTCTCCTTGTTTTTTTATTAATCTAAGTTCATAATTATAGAATAACATATATTTGATATGAATCCTGATCAAATGAAAGTCCTAAGAGTCTGGCTTTCTATTTAGCGAGATGGGATACTAATATAGGTCGAAAGAGCTACTTATAAGCTAAATTTAGCTAAAACTTAAGCAAAATCTATTTCAAGAATGCAATAAGCTGAAACAGATATTTTTCAAATGGTAGTAAAGTGCATTCAGACCCAAACTTAAACATCCAAAGTGAAAGTTTCCCTTCTGACTACAAACTGTTCAATATGGTCCCTGTATTGTTTGGTAAAAAGTTACACCATTTTGAGGGGTTTTGGGGAGAGAGTGAGGGGAAACTTTACAAAATGTGAATGTTTTTTTACTAAATGCTTTGGAAACTATGTGGTTTAGCGAAAAATATGTTAATGTCTATAGAAAAATAATCTACAGTAAATTTCAAACGAGAATTATCTTCTTCATAATTTTTCTGGAGAGAACTGTTACTCAGTTACAAAAGTTTGAAAGTGTATATTTTTATGTGTTTTTAAAAATATGACTATTACTTTTAAAATATTTTTCTAATGCGGTATAATATTCTGTGTTTTGTAAATGCAAATTGTGATTTTAGTAGCAAGTCCTTGAAGGAACAACAACCTTACCCCCTTCTCAATGGGTGCTACTTTTTAATGGAAAAGAAGCTTCCATGATCCATGGAACTCTACACTGAATCAGTTTTCTGATGAATGTTATAAAGAATTAAGCGACCATCAGACAATCACAACCACACCCAATCAGACTTTATTCAGAGCTCATTATTGGTTTTAGCGAATTTCCCATATAGGGAATAAGCTATTACCGTAGTACTCCTGGTAAGACCTGGACCCGGGACTGATTTACTTTCTCGTTTTGAGGTCCCTAGAGGCCAAAAACACCATTCGTTCAAATTCATATATGTCCGTTAGCACGACAACTCAAGCAAAAATGATACGATTTTGATGAAATTTGGTACAAACGTTTAAACCTACATTTATTTGAACGAGTTCACGAATCAGCATGATCGACTACGGGAACAGGAGTTTATGGGGTCAAATTAGGTTTTTCCCATTTTTGACCCTAAAAACATAAAATTCTACAATTTCTTTCCAAACCATTCTGCAGAGCTTAAAAAAACAAATAATTTAATGTATTGAAGCGTTATTATGCGCCTAATGGTTGCGGAGAAAATTCCAAAAAATTGAATTTAAAATTCCCATGTTATTCTTATGGAGAATAAGTCAACTGTTGTAGTTTGCTTGTTTATGAACAAATTTTGTTCAAATTTGGAAAATACATTCATTTCTTACTAAACTATTAAGATTTTACAACAAAAAACACTTTATTACTCCCCCCCCCCCCCCCCCCCCCCGTTGCAGCAAACCTAAGTACCCGTTAAACTAATTATATTAAAATAGGGAATAAAATGTGATATTTTTAAGGAGACTTTTTTTATCAGGCAAATGGAAATTCGCTAAGTCTGCAGGTTTGCTGTGGCGGGGGTATTTATTTTTCTACTGTATATAAAATAAAATTGATATGGTTTTCTTGTTCAGGAATTATTGCTGTTTTCCTTTTTTTTTTTTTTTTTTTAAAAAAAGTGTGTTGTGTTTTTATACTTTACTTTTATACTTTTTAGTGAAATGGCGACCATCGCAAAGTAGGTATTTTAAGCCAAGTATAATTTGGAGATGAGTAAATCCACCAAATTGCCTGTGATTTGGGTGACAAGATTGTCAAATGTGTGGGACTGAGCAATCATCTCAAGCGATATTCTCCCTGCACAAGCGCAGTGATGTCTGACTGGCGTCACCTGAGTGTTATAATTTCCTTTTACATATATTGTTAAAAAATTAATAATGATGGTCAAGGTCAATATTGGTCAACAGAACACTACCATCACCAAATAACATCAAAGAAATCATGTTATTTTATTCCATTGCTTAGCAAAAGATTGTCCAACTACTGTCGGGGGAAAAAGTTTAGACACTCGAGTTTGGAGCTGTACAGAAAAGTAACTAAACTACTTAGAAAAACACAGACTATATCTACATTTCCGTCGTTTTATTCTACGTATTCCTGTGAAAACAAAAACAATTTAGAAAATAGAAAAATCTTTTAGAAAATTTTTTTATGAATATAAGTAGTTTCTTTTATAAGTGTATAAGTGGTTACTTTTCTGTAGAGCTACAAACTCGAGTCTAAACTTTTTTTTCCGACAGTAGGTTCTGTTTATGGGAAGGCCTAATTTATTAGACAGAACATAGATACTCCAAAACAAGGAAAAATCCAGTTTAGGACAGGGAATAGTTATTTGTGCAACTAGTGAGAAAAGTGAGCAATTGACTCACTCGAGAGAAATCATTACTCACGAGCCGTAGGCGAGTGAGGAATGGTTTCTCGAGTGAGGCAATTGTACTTTGAACTCGAGTTGCACATTATACTTTTCCTACAGTTACCATAAAACAAATAAATTTGTGAAGAAACATAACCTATTTTTACACAGAAGTGAACTTTTAATATAACATTTAATGTGAAGTGACAAATACAACAGTACAACAGCTGACCAGCTGATTTACAGCCAGTGCTGCCAACGTATTTCGCACGCATACGACGTTGCCTGCATGTTACGGGCTCACTATTTCGTGCCTTCACGTTGCAAATCTGGAGTGAGACAAAGTAATTAAACATTATTGTCTCACTGATGAGTGAATTGGCCACTTTGCTTTCTCAAATCAGTGAGAGAACATGTACATTGTTAGGTAACTGTAGGAAAAGTTCTTTTACTAACTGGTTCAAGACAGCAAACAAGCTTTCAACCAGCCCTTCCTCATGGATGTTCAATGGTTTCATATACTATTTTAGTCAGTAATAATTGTCTATTTTCAGACAAGACTCTCAATATGTTTGGATAGATAAATGTTATCTAGGTCATGCTTGAAGTGGCTATGATAGTCAAGATAATGAGTTTTTTGATAACACCAAAGAATGTGTTTCAAATAAGTCTTGTATTAAATACAACCCAAGTTTACAGCTTGTGTGCAATCTGTACATGCAAATACAATCTGTACCTACAACTTTTGAATTTTAAAGTTAGACGCCATATTGGAAAATGGCAGCCAACAACTGAATCGAACTAAATGCCATATAAAAATAGTTGGAGTTCTCCATTTAATGTTTTTTTCTCAATTCTAATGATAAGCTTCTGAGATACAGGTGGCAAGTTTTTAATTGTTAACCCTGCATTGACTAATTCATAAAAAGTTACAGTATATGTGTGTTATATAACAGTACAAGTATGTGCATCATGAAAGTAATGAATCTTGCCAAAATAAATAAGCAAATGCCTACACTTGCTATGCATTGTCGTTTTCCCTCCACTTTTAGCAATGGTGATTCACATTTACACTAAGTTGGTATTGGTAGGCTTTTGGCACAGGAGATAAGTGGTATTTAATTATGGTAGAGGAATACCTGCAGTAATGCCAACAGCATAACTTTACCAGCGTTGTTTACATTTACCATCTATGAATCTGTTCTTATAGTTGACAAATTTCAATACTGTATGTACAGGGTTTGTAAAAAATACTTGCAAGACGTCCAATATATCAGACGTTGGTTCTATTGGCACAAAAACACCAAATACTTTTTTGGAGGAGGGGGACACATATCAAAATCATGGCCCGATAGTAGTATAGAAATAAATAAGTGCTGCTGAGTACAGGATGGCAGCACCTAAAAAAATAAAACCAAGTTCTTTTTAATAATAAATTTTCCTTTTGATTTCTTGGGATTGGAGTATGAAATCATTTTTTAACTTTAACTCTACTGAACCCCATGAAATGTGTTAATTTAACCTAAATTGCACATATTCACATCTTGGGTATATCCAAAGCTTGGGTTACATTACTTCAACATAATTTAAAAACCTATCCTATCAGTGTCAAAAATGTTAGCGAGTAAAAATTCAGGTAAGTATGTAGTACTCTTTAAGGATATTATCCACATACTTTTTTTGGTTGTTCCATTTTTTTATTATATATTTAAATATTTTATTATTCAATGATTATTTTACTAAGGCTTTTTGTGCTCTTGTAGTAAAACTTCACGCTTCTACAATAATAGAAAATTCTCACTTTAATAAAAGCATTTAAAATAATGAATGTTAAATTAACTAAACAAATGTAATAAACAAAAAACCTTCACTAATATAACAGTTGCAACAGTGAGAAGACTAAAGAAATTAAAATTTAACTGAAATCCACTTTCACATCACCAACCAAAACTTACCAAAAAAGCAGCACAATTTTGCTCATACTAAAACTATAGGGGAAATTAAAACAATTTATGTTCATAAATAAAATTTATTCATAAAGCATACAATTTGGACGTCTTGATTCCCAAATATTCCGTACAACAAATGTTAAAATACCCAAAAAAGTTACCCATTCTTTTCTTCACAGTCCCGACTAATGTGTCCGGACTTTCCGCAAACGTAGCAAGTCTTCCCACTCTCCGGGCAGTCCCGCGCAAAGTGCCCAGACTTGTTGCAGTTGTAACAAGTGGCGAAGTTACCACGAGACCCAGAGTCAGGGCAGTTGCGGGCAATGTGACCAGACTTGTTGCAGTTGTAGCACGATGGTTCGTCAGAACTCTGCGAGCAGTCCTTAGCGATGTGGCCGACGCCACTGCAACGGTAGCAGCGATCCTCCTCCTTGCACTCCCTGGCGAAGTGTCCAAACCTGTTGCACTTGTAGCATTTCTCCCTCCCTCCCCTGGAGCTGGACGAGTAGCTGGAGCCGCCGCCGCCGCCTCCTCCTCCTTGTTGGGAACAGTCTCGGGCAAAATGACCCGATTGGTTGCACCTATAGCAGACAGTAGCAGACATTTTTTCTTCTCCTCTTTCTCTCTCCACCACTTCCTCTCTCTCTCTCCTTCAACAAGAAATTATCTAAAAATATTTGTAGCACATTGCAGTGCAAGATTTCTGCGACCTAGTTATCACAGGATCAGAATCCAACCGATTGAAAGTTAGTAGTAATTTTTAAAAACATAGGCTATTGTAATTTATTGTTAGGCTAGTTAAATTAAGGTAATATCCTTTTAATATTAAAATTTAAAAAATCCAAAAACAACCAATCAATTGTCTTATAAAAAATATAGCCTAAAATATTTATGGTTTAGGTTATAAATTGTTTGTAAGAAAAGTATTCAAGAGGTCTTTTTCTACAGAAAAAAAATTAGCTGTGATAAAAAATCAACCACTTGATGGTAACACAAGGAAAAGCTTTTCCTCATTGTGATTGTTAGGTAGTGGTACCCTAACCATCTGTAACATGTAGGCCATAGTCGTGAATGGTCAGTTCAATTGCAATCAAAATGATGTAACTGCACAGGCTTCCAGCATAAATTACTCGACACCTGCAATGGAAAGTATCAGGAACAAAGTAGGTAATTTTCAATAAGTTTTTAACCATAGTAACTCTTTTGACATTGTGGATACAGTGAGTGATCATACGATGACTGACCTCTAAAATCTAGAATTGTAAGAGTATCTTGAACATTCAACCTGTGACTACTGATACAAGTACGGTATCCGATAGTCAATGAGGCTAGATAAAGTGTCGGACACATATCACCTGTTTAACAGTAATAATCAAGTGATCGGGGGGAAAAAATAGTTCTAAGTCTAAGCACCGTAATGCATTTGTTGTGACTGGACTGGATCAAATCAAATTACGTTTATACTGATGTATCAGTCCTATGTTTATTTAAAATAACTTACCTCTTAAGATAAGCTAAGTTAGTGTATCAAAGTAACAACATTCGAAAGTGCTGTTTGATAAAAAAAAAGGTGAACCGTGCTTATTTAAAATTGGTTTAGGCCTTACTTGAAAAAGCCCCTTTTATTTGACCTAGCGTCCGTCCTATATCCTTTTAAGAGGCTATGCCACTGCCACTTCAATAACGACATGATTGTCCTCATTTCAACCCTAAACGTCTGACATAGGCCTAGTGCATAATCCCATAGAGCATAATGTCACAGTGCATAATCCCATAGTGCCTAAAAGTGAAAGCAGGCCACAGTGATAATTTCATCTATCAGCAACTAACTTAATAAATGATATATCATGTTAATAAGGAAACCCCAACAATGAGAGATTCCATGCTTGGTAACAATATTTTCTTCAACCCTAAGGCATACTGCAGTAAAGAACTTATTATTGAATACCATTTTATATTAAATTAAGCTCAGCTCAGCTAAACTAATCTAATCTAACCTAACCCCAATCTTAACTTTCAAAATTCCATTTGATGACAGAAAAGACGTGTGAGGAAGATAGGTCCGACTTATGCGGGTTCTTGACTGTATTAAGTCCTTTGAAGATAGGTTAGATTAGGTAAGTTAGAGTTTAGGTTATAATGAATCGAAAACTCATTAATTTACCCACTATTTCAATTGTGCAAAAACAGTCTGGAGGTAGCGTAAATTAATGAGTCGGTTCATTATAACCTAAACTTTACCTTCCTAATCTAACCTAACTTCAAAACACTTAATACAGTCACGAATCCGCATAAAACCCGACCTAAGTTAACTTACCTTCTTCACATGTCTAAATAAGAGCTGATTATTTAGTTTCAAAACGAATAGATTTCATTCTGCATTAAGTCAAGTATAAAACGCTGTTTGCTATCCTCACTCAGTCCTCAGACCACAAACGGACCCGTCCAGACCACGCCATATTACCATAAGTAGGTACCGCTAAATGAACCTTAGATTCGTAATTTTAACCTTCGTTTTACAGCCATTTAGTAATCTCTCCGACAAAAACTGATTGAATTTTTGGATTCAGCGTGAAAAAAACTGTAAGTAGACATCTCAAAATTGTGTCATATATCCCAATGTAGACGTACTAAATAATTGCCAATTTTAAGTTTAATAAGACTATCTAGCCTATCTAAGTTAAACTTACCTCTGCAAGTTTTAGGAATATAGCATAATATGTTTAACTTAGGCCTAGATATAAAAATAGAAGGCTATTAATTTAAGTAAAATATTTTTAAGTTGGTTCCTTAACTTATTAACAACACGTTCGCTACCGAGCGTCACATGTATATGCGACGCCACGGTCATTGCCACAGACAGAGGTATACAATTTAATCTTACACATAGACCGGCTGTCACTTGGTTAACAGTACACGCAGACCACGGGCAAAAACTTGTTAAAAAGTTATCATTAACTTTGTATTTTAGGCCTACTCTGCAATCGTGTTTGTAAATAATCTTCTTGTTTTTTTTATATTTTTGATAACATTTTTGCGAGACCCGGTGTATAGTTAATTGAACAAATATAAAAGCTAAATAGGATAATGCAGCATACATACAGCAAACTGTGATGCAGCTAAGTAAAGAACAGTTACTTCCAACTTCATGTGACATCACCAATCATCATATCTCCACCAATCAAGCGACTCAGTTGTGCAACAGATATCCTTGTAGACCACTTCAGAGAATTCAGGGTTTTCAAATAAACCGTTAAGTAAGTCTCATAGCCTATATGCGACTGCAGTCTATGGGTAGAACCGGCTATCGCATATGTGCGTCGCTGGTCCATATGAATGAAAAATTTTGTACTAGGCCTATTGCGGTAGCGAACGTGTTAAATCCATGATTTTTAGAATTAACTGCCTTCTTAACCGTACCAATTTAAGTTTTTTTTAGTCTTTTTATAGAAATATTTGTCTCTAAGTCAAGTATAGTAGCCTATTATCTGATAGGACTAACTGTGGAAATCTCTCACTTGCGGGCAGTACTCTACTTATGTGAAAGGTTATTTCCTAACATTAATAAGTTACTCAGGCCTAGCCTATAGTATCGTAGGCATAACTTAAGTTAGGCCTAGCCTAACTTATTTTAACAGCATTAGGCCTAATATACGTTTAGCCTAATTTTACTGACAAAATACTGTAACTCAATACACTTTAGTCTAGGATGCCTCCACAACATGTTGCACCACAGTAAACATGCTGTACTTTTTGGACCAAGTTATGTGCAATTGGAAAGTAAGATGGGTATCTGAAGTGGGATGTAAGTTAGGCTAACACTCAACAAAAAACAAAAAACATGTGATAAGAAGACAAATTACAGTTGGAAACCTTGTGCATGCTCATATTTTGATTTTTTCTGACAATAAACATATAATTGAAAAAATAAAACATGGGTCCCAATTCCCCCACTCTACCCTAGGTTAGGTTATGATAGTTTAATTGTATAAAAAATATCGATTTAGGCTATTAATCAATATTTTCAATTTGATAGTTTCAATAAATGTTAGCATAGCCCAGTTCAGAAACTGTGCCCAAAACTAAGAAGGCGATCCCAAGCAACTGGGCTTTTGTCTTACACAAGGCACACACATATGGCAACTCATTCTAGACCTAGACAATTACTTTCCAAATCTAACAATGCTCAGAAATGCAATTCAATAAGTGAAGACAATTAAACAGAGTTTACATCATCCTTCTATAAATATGACAAAATATCTGTAAACTTACAATCTACAAGGAGCCTGTTGGAGAGCTAAAAGACTATCTTAATAGCCTAAGAATTGCGTTTCCTCATGGCCCAGACGTTGGCCACTTACAAATTAATTGGGCGCAATATGAGTATTCTGCAACCCCGCAATACAACTAAACTAATAGGCATAAGCCTGGTACTTTAAATTTGAGTAAAATTGTTAATTACCTGAATCAAAACTGAAATATTTCAAATTTTAACACGTGTAATATTTCCGAATGATTTTTCTGTTGTTTATCCTAGTGACGTGACTGCGAAACAACGAAACGAAGAGAAGAACGAACGTAACGAATGAACGAAAACGTGCGGTGCGGTCCGTGCGGTGTTTGGTGTTTGTAAATCTATTTCATTATTGGAGCATGCTGGCCAACTGTTAAAAAACATTGGCTTTGTACAATGCAGGGGAATATACTATTTATACGCTATATAATTCAGATGAAAGATAGAAAGAAATTATTGTCGTTATTAATGCATAATTTTGTAATTATATTACAACTTATACAAGAACAGTAGTACCTAGCACGTTTTCTTGACTTGTTATTGAACGCATAATCCTGCTTAACCATGCCCAGCATGGGTTTGAAGCGGGCGATCTACTACCACAGCCCTTTTAAACCTTGCTGAGATAATAACTGATGAGTTCGAAAACAGTGAGTCCGTACAGCGTACAACTCGACCTATGTGACCTCAGCAAGGCATTTGTTGTGGTCTCATATGACATTCTGGTTGCTAAGCTAAGCAAGTATGGAATCAATCAGGCTACCTTGAAAACCGGAAGCAAATTGTATCGCTGAGTGAGGCCTCATCTAGAGTTGGTGTACTGCTACACGGAGTGCCACAAGGATCGGTCCTTGGCCCATTACTGTTCACAGTGAAATGAAATGCTTTATTGTGGTTAAAACTAAGTACAAAGTTCATGACAATCGTCAAAAAGTGATAATCAATGACTTATCGCTAAAAGGTCACACACTCAAGGGCGATCCTTGACATATATTTTGGGGGTGTCACCGGGGGCCTGGGGGTATGGAATACCCCCCATCAAATGAGGGGTTCCGGGGGTTCCCCCCGGAAAATATTTGGAAATAACGTGCTAAAATGAGTGGTTTTAAGCTATTTTGAGAACCTAGTTTAATGTGTTCAAGCTTCCCAGTTTATTTAAAGGTCAAAGAAATGTCTAAAAAGCTTGTATAATGTCATGTTTTTGCATTATTGAGACTTGGGGTTTTAATATCAAAGGAATGCCGCAATATTACAACACATTCAAGCATTATTGATTTACGAAAACCCCCTTTCAACTGGTGCCGGTGCATGCTAAACAGAAAATTTCCAAAATCAGACCCAAGATTTCGAACCAGAGAACTTATTTTATCTAAGAAGTGTTTAAGAACTTGCACCTAACACGACTGCATTATATCTGCCCAGTAAGCACTACCTACCTATTTTTTAAAACTACGTTATTGCCGTCGGGGTCCCGTCACTGCTACCGCCTGAAGAATTGGTTCTCAGTGTTCTAATTTTTTCTACGCCAGTGCCAGTGGCATTTTACAAGGGGTCAACAACGTGAGAACAAATTTGTTGTGCAAGGTTTTTTTTTGTGTTGGGAATTAAATCTCTCCCTTCCACATCTAAGCAAATCTAAGTCTGAGACACAACCATTTTGTTGTTGTTTTGTGGCTAGCAACGCCAATCGGGTTGTGGTATTTTTAAATATGATATCAGGTGCTCCAAATATGAATACTATTTGATATTGAAAGTTTTGAAATTTGCTACGGTAATCATTGAATTACATTATTGTAATTACAAATTCCTGACGCTGAACTCAGATAAATTAATATTCAACTACCTTTCAATCTTTGACTATTAATACAACTTCTTTTCTTTATCTTATCCAATACGCAATTCAACTTTTCAATCATCTAGGTTAAATGAATGATAACATTAAAAATGCCGAAAAATTAAATAAGAAGAAGAATGCGGCCGAACGTTGAATGTCAGCATCGGATGGTGAGCGAAATAGGCTATCATACAGAATACAGAGCAGAGCGGTCACTGTTGTTTTGCTGTATGGCTGAAAGCGTCCGTCGTCTGCCGATCTACCCACTTCCCTACTTTTCATAACGTACAAAAAAGTCCAGAAAGTTCAGAAATACCGAAACTATAAACACAAAATGACAGGTTAAATCGTAGTTATAATAGTCAATCAGCTGCTCATAGTATTATTATCTTTAAGTGTTGCCAACCTATTTCCAAGCGTACACGGATTACGTGCATAATAGAACCACGCTGTTTTGTGTTGTTTCGTTGGAATCCTGATGTGTGGCAAAGTATAAACCGTACGGCAAAGTATAAACCGTACGGCAAAGTATAAATATGCAGCAATTAGCAGCTTTCTGTACTATAAACAGTACAAGGCCAACTTTGTCGGGTGACTGTAGGAAAAAGTAATTTTACATTCCAACGGTCAGCTCAATAATCCATATTAATAATATTTTGTAACAAGTTAATGAATGGAAATAAATTGTATTTTACCAAAGCTTTCATGGCATGAACTGTGTTTACCACTAAAACTGCACAGTGATCAAACATACTATATAATATCTGGTATACAAAAAGTTGTTCCTGATATTTTATATATTACAGTTCCGGGGCTACAACAATGAATTTTAATACTATATAATAGTAAACATATCATAGAGATAGGGACACCGTTAATTGGGTCAGTTACTTAGTTTAGTGGTTTTTGGAAGCAAGGAAATCAGAACAATATCTAACCAATAGCAGACATGAAACTTGAATTTTAAATAATTAAACAAGTCATTCGAACTGGAAAACATCTAACCTTGCTAACGTTAGTTATGGACCTCGGTAAACTATTTTTATCAGAAAAACAAAAATAATTTCCTAACTAGCATTTCTATAAAGCCCGGGAAGTTTTTTATTAATTCAATTATTTATAGTGTAGTAGTGTGGTTACATAGTACTTTAACCAAGCCAGCTTTTTTAAGCAGACTAGAAAAGAAGAAGAACCCGAGAATTGCAACAGACTTCAGACCCTAAAACAACATAACCACAACATAACCTTACTTTCATTTCATATTTCATTCAGTTCAGTTTCAGTTGTTCAGTATTTAAGTTAGGACTACAATTATTTCAGATTAACTGGCACAAATGGTTAAACAATAGTAATACTGTAATTTGCAAATCCTATCTCAAAATATTATCCAGTGAGTATATAGCATACCTTACCACCATTTAAACTTTTTAGTAAACGTAAGCCTAGACCGTGCAAACCTAGGCCTAGGCATGGACTAAGGAAATAAAAGGAAACTTTTGTTTCCCTCGTCTGTAGCCTAGGTCCATGAGTTCCTTGATCAAAAGTCTATTAGTAAATAAAAAGAAAACAAACCTAATATCATTTTCAACCAAACAAAAGTCAAATTTGAGCCAAATATTTTCTTAAAATCAGATAGGCATAGGCTAGAATAGATCAAGTAGGCCTAACTAAATTTCTTGGTTTAATCATTGATGAAAATCTCTCATGGGATGATCACATCAACCACCTCGTAAAAAAATTATCTTCTGGTAAGTCATCTATGCTCTGAGACAGATGTCCGGAGTCTGTGATTTGGAAGATTTAAAAATTATTTATTATTCATAGCCTACAAGCGTCTTGGCAGCCAGTGCAACTCCGAGGATCGTGGATCAGAACACCCACCACCACCGCACCATGTCGTACGCTTCCGAATCATACCGGTGCATCAGCATAGCCTAACTGTTCGCGGAAAGTTGTTATCTCTATCACTGTCGCTGTCAAAACGTATCGTTTGTATAACTTATGTTATATTAAAATTAGGTAATTATTCTGTATAGGTGCCTCCAAACGAATTTTTAATTTTGATATCTTACTTTATAGTTTTTTACCTCCTGAATCCAAATATACCATTATTTTTCACAGCTGATGAATATTTCTCAAGATATCGCCGTAATAATATACAACATTACAATAAACAAGGTATGATGGATTACATTTACAAGTGGAATGAACTAGCCTATGGGTTAAGTAAGCCAACAGCTGAATGTTTTCAATCATAGTCAAGCAAATGGAAGTGACAACTTTAATTAGCTAACTCTGATTCTGCAATATGAAAATCACTTGATTAAGTTACAATTTTCACTTTCTAAGACCAATAAGTTAATAATGTATTATTGTTCCCAGTATGTTTTTATCCTTATTAATGATTTATTGATTTATATTTCGCCGTTTAGAAAATTACATAATAAAATGGTGCTATTCTAACATAACCTAACCTAACCAAACCTCTATAATGTAAGCAAACTCCTTTTGATGTCAGAAAAGGCATGTCAGGGTGATAGGTCGTGCTTTATGTGAATTGGTGACTGCATTAAGTGTTTTGAAGTTAGGTTAGATTAGGAAGGTAAAGTTTAGGTTATAATGTATCAAGTTGTTAGTTTATGTTGCCTGCAGACTGTTTTTGTAAAATTAAAATCCTGAGAAAAACACTTTAAATTACCTTTTCATAAATGCTTGCATTTTTGAAATAGTAAACATGCCTAAATAAGAACTAGCCTTCATGTAATTAGTCCACCAGTCCATCTATATCTCTATAATGTGACGAATTTCCTATTATAGAAAACATTATTGACTACAGAATCACTTGAAATGTTATCCATCCTACCTTGTTTATTGTAATGTTGTATGTTTTTACGGTGATATCTTGAAAAATATTCATCAGCGGTGAAAAATAATGGTATATTTGGATTCAGGAGGTAAGTTAAACAACTATAAAGTAAGATGTCAAACGTTTGGAGGCACCTATATGGAATAAATACCTAAAATTTAATTAAAAACTGTCATAACCTAACCAAACTCACCAAACTTGCTGATAATGAAAAACTCGAATGAAGGTTAACTAATCGAAATAATAATTTGTTCTGTTCTAAAAATAAAATTATAAATGTCTCAAATTCAATGTTATAACTTTTTAATTATACTTAAAATTAAACTGTCATAACCTAAACAAACCAACCAAACTTGCTGATATGAAAAAAATTTTGACAAAAAGTTAGTGTTACAAGTGGGATTCGAACCCGGCACCTTCAGATTATCAGCCCGACACACTATCCACTACACCACCAAGGCTCATGACTAAACTCCGTATCGTTGCCGTAATGGTTGACGTCACGCCATCGCACGGAGCGGTGGTGGGGGCGTTTTCCGATCTGATCCATGATCCTCGGAGTTGCACTGGCTGCCTAGACGCTTATATTATTCATTAGTTCAATCCACATTTCATACGGAATCACAGTCTATGGTGGAACAACAAAATCAAATCATGATAAAGTAGGCTACTTGAACAGCAAAAAAGAGCAATTTGCACTATTATGAAATTACGGAAAACCATCTCAGTGAAGAATCTTTTTCATAAATTGGACATTTTAACTGTGTATAATTTATATATTCTTGAAACCATAATCTTTTTGAAACAAAGGGAACTAACAACACCCTCCAATTCCGGGCATAACTATAATACTAGATTAAAAATTAGATTGCCTCAGCATAAATTAGAATAAGTTATTATACAAAGAAAACCACTCATGCAGGATTTAAATTGATACAATATTTACCAATTAGCATCCGGCAGGAGACAAATTTCAAAAAATTCAAAAAACTTTTAAAAGATTTCTTAGTAAAAAATCCTTTTTATTCATTACAAGAATTTGTAGATAAAAAAAAAATATTTCATTTGAATTTCCATTTATTTTTCATAATGGACATTTGCGTAGATTTATGTTTTAATGTGTATGATTTGTATATAGACTTTCACTCTATTCAGATACATGTATGTATATATTGAATAAAGACTATTTGAATCTTGAATCTAGGTTTACATTATAGGTTAGAGTGCAGTAATCCTCATAATATAAGATAGGATTAGTGCAAGCCTAGGTTGCAAGCTATAGGTATTAATTACGAATGGCAAAATATTGTTGGTGTTGATAGTAAACTACTTAGGAACACTTTTTCGGGCTGCTTACACAATATTATACATTAATTATGATAGCTAGCAAAAAAACATCCCCCCAAAATCCCTCCAAAAAAATTCATGTGGTGCACCCCTGATAAACTTTAGCCTATTCATTGGGTGGTTTAGTCAGTTGGGTGGCAGTCTGTAAAACCAAGTCAGCAAAGCGACGTTGCGGGTCATCCTTCCAGTGCTGCCAATTGTTTATCAGTACTGTTGGCTACCAGCTCACCCCTTACTTTAGTTTCTACGTTCCACAAACACACAAACACTGTCTGACGCATTGTAGATGGACCAATTCTAGGTTTAGTTAAAGGTAGCCTACAGTAGGCCTACCTCTTTTCAAAATAAAAATAAAAAATAAACTCAAGAAGCCTCTCAGTAAGTAGGCACAGACCTACCCAGAGAATTGTAGCCTATACCACCAACAGACTCAAGAAACTGGTGAAAATCATGCTTATTAAAAGAATTATCTTAAATGTTTAGGCCTACTAGAAGCCTTATCAGTCCATCAGTGGTTTTAGTAATATATATGTTTCAGCAGACCTGGATAGTCATGTACCAATACTCGGAGCTTGTCAAACTTACCACAAACTATGCTCGTCGGATGAACAAACTTCGCTGTAGAATATTTGGAGAAGTTGTCCGTGATACTGATATACCTTCAATGAAAGTGAGTTAAAAGTTACTGATTTGATGATATGAAAGCTAGGATTACTTAAACATAGCTACTGTCAGGTCTCTTTTTACTCTTTGAATTTAGTTTTTTAAATATTACCATTGACTATTGGATACAGACTATTAAGTTGTATTAATAGTCAAAGATATTACTTAAAATAGGTGTAAAGCTGGGTTTTCCTATGCACGGAAGCGGAAAGCGGAGAGAGGAACGCGGAGAGCAGAAAAGAGATAACATGGTGTTCCGCTCCGCTTCTAGGAAAACAGTAGCCTAACATTAAATTACCTAAGACAAGTGTAGTCCGCTCTCCACGTTCCTCTCCCTGCTTCCGCGCCTAGGAAAACCCGGCTTTAAATTAAATTAAGTAGAAAAGATCAAGAGATTTGAACTATTAAAGTGGTAATATGATACTTATAAAGATAATGCAGTAACTTGTTACATCTGAAAGTTATCAGTTCACGGATACATTTACCAAAGACTTAGTTACCTACAACTTCTGATGTATCTTTGAATATTTTTCACTATATCGTTATGATTCCCTTGTCATGCTTTTCAGGTAGTAAAGATGATGGCTCGCCAACCTGACAACAAGAACCCAGAGAAGATGGTATGTTATTACCCTCGACATGTTGAGACGGGACTCCTAATGATGAAACTCAGGGAGTATGGCCTGTTTCGAGACGAACATCAAGATTTTAAGGATGAAATGAAGAGGCTAAGAGCACTTAGAGGAAAACACAAGTACTCTGTTGCGATTGATGGTTGGCCAGAAGGTTTTGAGAGAAAGAAGAAAAAGAAGAAAACTGTAGAAGCTTAATTAATTGTGGTTAATAAATGTTGCTAGTTATCGTGTTCTATATATTCCTGCATATTTATTTTATCACATGTTTATCTTAGTGGTGTTTAGAAGACAAATAGTTTATGGATATGCCATTTTATATAGAGCAGGTATTGATTTATACAAAGAGCTACTGGCACTTCAATTTTTACCCACTTGAAAATTTTAAACAAAACTCTGGCCATGGATGCGAAAGCTTTAAGAAAGGTGATTGTGTTTACTAATTTGACCACAAAGCCACAAGTAATATGTTGTAAGCGTCAAAATAAAGTTATACTTTATTGGAAATTGAACGAGACCGTTAAAAAATGCTTCTGGTGTGAACACAAAAAATAAAACTGAAATGCACCAGTACAAAATGATACATTTTAGACTATATATTTTAATATTACTTTGTTCCAAGTATTGGCCACACAGACCACTTGGTCTTCAGTATTTAAGCACCCTCTGAAACTGAATTCCATAACATGTTTGCGAGAGTTTGTTACATTTCCTATACATAACTTCATCTTTGGTCCTCGACCACTGCTCCCCAAAGCTGCTATGCCAAGCATTCAGTGCGAGAAAATAAAATATATAAAGGGTTGTTTCCTCTCCACCATATTTCCGTCATAAGATAGGCTACTTTGGCTCAGTAACTTCACCCCTCTTTAGCTTATTTTAGGTAAGTAAGTGGCTCAGTTGGTAGCGTCACAGTCTTCGGGCCCAAGGCAGCAATGTCTTGGGTTCGGATCCTGGTCACTGCCGTAAACATTTTATCAGTACAGTTCACCTTCGTACTGTACCGGTTCACCCCTTGCTTTGCTGGATACGTTCCACTGACAGATCAGTAGTCTATGTGGGCGGGCAAATGCATGGTTAAAAGAGGCCACTAACTTCTTGAAAAATCATCATCTTGTTTAAATTTGCTCAAAATCCCCTGTGTCAAGTACAGTAATAAAATATGACCCTTTCTTTTAAACCCCAATATGTTCTGTTTAGTGCATTTGTACCATTACATCCCTTAATTCTTCAATCTTGTGTCATCCTCTCATCCCTAGTTTACTCCTGCTCTTTTGTATTGATAAAAAATCACTGCTGAACTGCTGATTTCCCTGTATAAGATTATTCACAACCCTGGTCATTGTTATACCAAGGGATAGGTTATTTCCCTATCATGGCCTAGCTGTTTCTCATTACACGTAACACATACTTCCATCAATCTGTAATAAGATTTGGGTTAGAATTAGGAAGTGGATATGGCTAGATTAATGGTACAGTAGACTCCCTCTATCCGGACACCTTTTAACCAGACATCGGTTTAAAACTGGACTACACTCGGCGGAAATGACATCTCTTTAACCGGAAAATTTTTATTAGCACATCGGTTTAACTGGGCAAGATCGGCAGGAAGTGGGCAGTACTGAGACGACTGTTCTCTTGGGAAAGATTTGAGACCAGTGATCACGTGTCTAAATACGCAATAATCATTATTGGGTCATACGGTATGCATTTAAACGGTCTGTTTTAATGAGTTTTTTGGGAGAACGGTTTAACCGGAAAACCTGTTATCCAGACTGGCCTCAGTCCCGAGAAGTCCGGATAAGAGGGAGTCTACTGTATTCTGAAGTAAAAAAAAAAAAATGGTTTTTGAGTACTGTAATGAATGGATCAAACCATAATGAGCACTGTAAACAACTATTTAAAGAATATGAGGTTAGAGAGTGGTTAATTTGTACATGTACAATCTCTTGATGTACACTTTAGAACTATAATCTGAAATTAAACAACCACACAGTTAAAACAAAAATACTGCTGGTTTAGAATCACACTGTTAAAAAACCTTGTAGGCCTATCAGAGCATAAGTTGGAAACATGTACATGCCTTCATTAGAATGAGTGTTTTAATGATCATGATAGGTTTGTTTGCCTATTTATTATTCTTAAACCTTAATAAACGTTTTTAACTTTATTGGAATGATACAATATTGTGGGGAAAGTTAGGTACAATACAAGAAAAAGGGAAGGGTTTGTAAGAGTGTGTTTATGTATCTCCTTGTGTCCTGTTTTTGATGACATCAAGGAATTTTTGTTATCCTCACAAGTTTTTTAGAAACAATTTATTTTAAAAAAATCATTAAACCGACCCCAACAGTTTAATTAATTGTTCCGTGACGTATGATTCTACAAACAAGCCATGATCTGCGGATAGTTAAGGTACAAATTAAGATGTGGTTTGGTAATGAACAACTGATAGTTGATGGCTGTTTGTCCTATATATTGCTCCCTCTAACTGAACAGCAGGTCTTGATTACTATTTGAAGATTCAAGCCCGCGGATGAGGATCTTAGCTCTCTGTCTGATCATCAGCTATGGGGTGCTTCTGGTAAACTGTTTCGCTGTACCAAAAAATTTAAATTTTTAATATATCATACTAAAAGCTATACTTGATAATTTTTCAAATTAAATCAAGCTTGTTAAAACAAGCAAGCCAAATTTTTAAAGCTAAGCTCAAGTGTGTTTTTATGCTTAATGTAACTAACTAACTAACTTAATGTAATTTAACTACTAATTTAATTATAAGGTCAAAAAAGGATTTCATAAAGTGAGTAAAAACAAACTGCATTGGACTATACTAATCTTAAATGCAAATGCAAGTACTCTATTTCATTACTAGGGCTTAAAGTGACTATTTTTTAGAAAAATTATCAGTGGTTGTAAAGACTTGACTCAACTGATATAATTATACATTTTTCATATATGAGGTTATTTTTACTGAAGTTCTTACACCTTTTTTAAAAAAATAAAATCAAAACCACATATTTATATTATAATTGGTGTATGTCTATAAGTTCTAAATATATTACTCTCATCCTAGAACTTTTGGAATTCTTTTTCTTTTGTTTATTTAATCTGATGAATATTTTTTCCAAACATTACAGGCTCTGCCAGAGGCTTCCGGAGCCCCAACCAGTTGTGACGCTAAAAAGGTGAGACCTCATTTTCGGAATCCTTTAATATAAAATCTATATTATAGAACAATTAAACGTGAACTTTCTAGAGACATGTCTGGAGCAACAATCACAGTTAATCCAAAACTGAAACAGTGTTTCCTTCAATGAATAGTTATTTTAAACTAATTTTATTAGCTTTAGAATGGGACAAAAATACTTAAGAGAATAATGTTGTTGTCTAAATCTACAGTTTTTCTCAAAAGTTTGTAATAATTATTAGCTTTGTGTTGCATGGTCTTTTCTCCTTGATGTAATATCCCACTACCAAGGTTGTTGTTCACAAAAAAAACGATCGTAGTTTAATTGATGTTGTTAGGACATGTTTCTATACAACTCATATCAACACACATCCTGCTTTACAAGATTACAAGATCATTTATTGAAAACAGCTTTGCATTCTCAATCTCATTATGTGTCATTCCATTTAAACTTTAACAATTAAACATAGACTCCTTTGTTATATTGTAATTAAATTTAATATTTCCACAAATATATCCTGGTTTGAAAAGAAACATAGACAAAGAAGATGATGCGTAACTGTTTGCTAACTATTTTCTTTGGATAAACGTTTTATTTTCCAGCAAATATTTTTGTGTTTTATTTGCTGTATTCAGGGAAAAACAATTGAATTAACATGTAATTTCTTATGTACTTGATCCTTTATTAGAATGATGACCTGATTTACAAGAAGACCGAAGAAGAGAAATCAAAATACCAATCAAAATCGGTGTCTGAAGAACGTGATGTTGAGTCCGAGGACAATGTGTGCAGTAACGTAAGTCAACCTTATTAGAACCACTGAGTGTGTTGTTTATTAATTATTAGTCACAATTAATTTATTTCAGCATTTAAATTTAAATTGAGCAAAATGATATTTTTCAAAAGTCATCATCATGCCCCTCTTAACCCTTCCTGGACGGGTGACGTATATATCCGACTAAATCTTTGGCGATAAAGGACGGGTGGCGGATATATCCGCTTATGGTTTTTGATGTTCCCGACGGGAAGCGGATATATCCGCCTTCTCTTCAGACAGACTGGCAGGTCCTTGAGCAGTAACCAGATGTTTCGCGGTACCAAGGCACCACTTTCCTGCTCTCTCCATGGCTATGCTCTCTCCCGCACTCCCCCTTCTCTCCCGCACCTGCCCCTCTCCAGCGCCTCCCCCTCTCCCTCGCACCCCCACGCCTCTCCAACACTCCCCCCTCGACGTTTCGAGCTCAACACTACGTTGTCTTTATTTATTGTTTACATATTGTTCTTTATTTATTGCCTAACATTGTCATGGTGATATCTTCATAGACGGGTGGCGAATATATCCGCAGCTTTAATTTCTACTCATCTGCGGGCAGGTAGCGGATAAATCCGCATAGTTAAAACAAGTAAAAAATTATTTTGACATTATAAAGTGATCCATTGTGTTTATTTTATGTATACTTGTAAACACAAGGAAAATTAATTTTTATTTTTTCTTATAATTTTTTCCCATTCTATGTCACGATTTCGCCCGTCCGGGAAGGGTTAAGCAACAGAACTAATATGAAATATTTAATCAGCCTAGTTTCTTATTTTTTCATATCATCCAATAGTTAAAAAGAATAAATTATTCCATATTATTGTTAAATTTTTCTTCCAAAGTTTGTTATATGGAATAATAAGTAGCCTACATATTGGAGCAGATAAATATCATTAAACAAAAATGTAAATATAGTTAGTACATACATTTTTGGCTCTGAATAATATTATCAACATTTGATATGGTGATTTAAAAACTTTAGGGGTTGTCCAGTGGTAGGCGAGAAATCTCTACCACAACAGAAATGACAGCAGAGGAAATGGAAAAATCTCGTAAAGCGACAGAAGTAAAAACCGCAAACGGCTCCGAAAAAGCAGAAGAATCCGCTAAAAAGAAGACCCTTGTTTCCGCCAACTCCAAGCAAACGGTGGTTGTTTACTACCTGGTGTCATACAAGAAACTGGTAAGCCAAGCAGTTTGAAAAAAATATTCCAGTTAAAATATTTAAATAACTTTACCTACGACCTTTTTATTTAAGTAGCCGTTTCAGTTCAGTTCATAGAATTGAAAAGTTTCTCATAACAGCATTGTTTACTTTCATAACAGCATAGTTTTACTCATAACAACACGGATAACGGACCAATGAGGTTCAAGGATTTAGAGAGAAGAAGTAAAATTGTAATGATTCAAACTTCAACTAATAAGCTGTTCAAGCAAATTTAATTGTTGAGTGGTGCAATTAGTGTTTGGTACAATGTTTTGTTGCATCACTGTCAGTGGCAATGAGAGGTTAAACAAAAACATAACTTCTCTTAGAAGTTATGAGTAGTGATTTTTAGTAATGAAAACACTGTGGTAAGTAAAGTAGTGTACGCAACTCAAGTAAATAGTGTTAACGACACTCGTAGAATTTTTATTTTCTACTTGTGTCGTTAACACTATATTTACGCAGTCGTTGCGTAAACTACTATTACTTAATCACCCATTAGTATTTTGTCAACATAACAGAGATGTATTGGCAACTGTATTGTGGGAAATGGATGTGACCCCTTTTTAAAAGTTCAGTACTACTCCAAACAATAATAGCAGTTTACAAAAATGGGTTATTCAAAAACTTAAACCTAAAAATAATGTTTAGTCGTTTCAGTTTTGATTTTTTTCAAGCAGCAAGATATACAAATTTTGTAACTCCAAACTCACATGTCATTTCTATGTTTATTAAATTGAGGGGGTCTACATTAGCCTTAGACCCCTGTTAACCTCTAGACAGATAGCTTCTGTTTATAATAGTATAATTTTACTGAGGATAAACTTTTTAAATATTTCTATTTACAGCCGAAGTTGAAAGAAAATGAATGCAAGATTGCTTACTTCAAAAGAGTTTTCCCCAAGGAGAAAGACAGCAAGGTTTTATACCACAAGGTAACATATAGTTAAACACTTTTTATCCTATAACTGTTGTTGTTGGTAGGACTACTCTGTTTTATTATTTATCTTTATTATCTTTATTTATTAAAAGAATTTGTTGGATTTCTGTATTCAGCAAATTGACACCTAAATATTTATTTTTATATGCATATTGGGTATCAATTTAAAGCTCTTTTCCTCTAGATGCACCTTTTGCAGGTTTGGATCATTTAACATGAAAGCCCTTCATCCTATAGACTTTTAAAATTTCATAGTTTGTTTTGTGCTGAATTCCATTGCCAATCGTGTGAACTTTATCCAAGTTTTCATTTGTGTACATCAAAACAGATGGCCATGATACAATTTTGTTTACACCATACAAAAATGGGGTTATAATTGAAGTTGGGGATGTTTTAGTGAATTCAAGTAAACTATTGTAATGTTATTTTTGTTTAGTAAAGAAGAAAATGACTTGCGTTAGATTTTGTGTTTTTATAGTATGTTTCATTAGTATTTGTTATAGTTCTAAGATGCCTCGATTAGATGGCGCGCTCAATGAAAATAATAGGGATATGATGATAAATAATTGTTTTTACCCTTATTAACTGCCCTTAGCCATGGACAATTAAATCCTCCTCTTTTTCATCTTGGACTAATTAATGAAGTATGAAGTTTTTGTGATACCTACTTTATATTTTAGACGTGAAAAACTGCTACAGTTGTTTTTAGTAAATTAATTCAAATTCACGGATTTTCCGCTCTCCGTTCTCCTCTTCCGTGTCTAGGAAAACTCGTCTTAAATGTTACATTTAATTACTCAACATTTAAAAGTTATAATTAAAAGTTTGTTTGGTTAGAGATGTTTCATAATTTTGTCAATTTAATTGGCCCTGCAGTAATATAGCTATTTACATTACAAGTGTAGTAAGACCGTTTTTACATCACGCAGGTGAATGTTGTGCAACGAGCGAAAGCGAGTTGCATAATTCACCGAAGTGATGTAAACACGCTCTTGCGTAACGTGTAACGTACAAGATTTTACCTGACCCGACAATATACAGGAGGTTACGAGCAATATGCTTGCTTCATTATCCATTTCACTCATCTTCTAACAGTAACGTTCATTTACAAACAAAAGCTAGGTTAGGAAAATTCTTCAAAGCATAACAATAAAATTCAAGCACACAGCTGATTTCTAGCGTTGAACGTCGTTGGCTCCATAGAGGTATATTTTTTAAGTTATCCACTCAATGTTATTTAAATGGGTTCATTACCCCACCGAGAGAGTTTTTTTCAACTTTACATCACTCGAGAAGTAACGAAGTTGTATACATCACGCTTGGGATAGGGAAGTTTAAAATGGCGGGTTAGGTAAAATATCATACAGGATGCCCATGACCTCTACCGACCTTTTAAAATGATCATTCATGGACTAAAGACAAACTAAAATATCATGTTTAAAATTTCATAAACTCATAAGCTATATAGTCACAATTTTTTCAAAAATATTGTATTGCTACTATTTAAACAATCTCACGTAATTATTTTTAAAATTATAAGAACCCAATCCCAATTTAAAGACAAAAACGATTATTGATATTCAAATCAGAAATAGAGACTCATATAAAATGGTCAAACATGGCTTAGGAAAATAATTCTTACAGTCGGGACCACGGAAGTTTGCAGTTGGCGGCAGCCAATCACAAGACAAGGCTAGTGCGACATTGCCATATCGCCCGTTGACGACACTAATTAAAATACTAAACAATATTTTCAAATCAGCTGGTATTATTAGATTTGGCAACACTGCACTGTCCTCATTGGCTCCTTCGAAGTCACGTGGTAAATAGGCTCCTCCTTCAACTGCAAACTTTCGTGGTCCCGACTTTAGATAAGGTTTCTAATTTATAAGTTAAAAAAAAACACACATTGGAAATGTCACTCAAATGCTAATAAATTATTTTAACAGATCTTCAAAGTTTATGAAGGGGAAGAACCCTTACAGTACGTTGAAAGGATTGAGTACATCTTCGACAAGGTTTACCCCGAACTGGATCCCAGACTTGATGTCAGATATGTAGACTTCTTCGACCACTACTACACCCAGAGATACTTCAGAAAGGTACGGTATTAAACTGGCTTAATCAGCATTACATCATTGCCATTTTTACATTTGACTACAGTATCTCATCAAGAATTAACATAGGCTAGTTATTGACATGTTGTTGTTATGAAATTTAGCTGGAATTGCCATACACAGTGAGTTTATTGTTCGTTCTTTCATTCAAAAACTATATAAAATTATTATAAAGTACTATAAAAAAGAATATCTTTCGATCCTGAGAAAAATCATTACCTTTTTGATGGTTTGAAACTGGACCCAGCTGTTTCTAATCAATAGGCGTTAAATAAATGATCCTGACTGATGTAACAGCTGATCTTAGTCAGTAAAAGCTACATCTCACACCACTCTACTCTCATATTTGGGTTAACATTTGCACGTAGGTGGTGTCCCCATCTAAATTATTTTTACTTGGTAAATGAATTGGATGAGTACATATCACTATGTAGAGGACGGTTTCTAGGATGTTGAGTGAGTCTATTGTTAGTATTTAAGGGCCACGAAAGCTCAGTTTCTTATTAGCTCTTTTATATGTAGTCAGCAATTTTAACGATTATTGATGCAGGAGCTTTAAATTTAAGTGTATCAGCTGTTATGATTTCTGAAAAAGTTGTGGAATTTGACATACAATGCTTCATATTAATCCAACAATTTCCTCTAGATAGGCGAGTGTGACGAACATTACTACAAGAGAGTGCTGAAGAGGTTCGATTGTGAGACGTTTGATCACTACAGGAAGAGAATGCAATGTCTGGAAGCTTCGCTGGACGAGGAGGACTTTGAACACATCACCTTCGTCGACACAGAGCTTGGTTTTACCGTGGGAAAGAGGAAGAAACCTGTCACATCTGTCTCCAGCCCTAAATCCAGCGTAAGGCATTAATAACTACTGTTGTGTGGACATTAAAAAAATTTTAATGTAAATTTGTTAAAAGAGAATAATAGGATAAGTATTGTCACATGTGCTAATAGATGAGGGACTTTAATGTCTTTAATGTTTTGTGTTTGATTATTGTTCGTATTTAATCATTCAGATGATTTAGTTGAGTTTGTTCCAATTGTCAGCTGTTCAGTTCTAGACGTTTGTGTTTGACAACAGTTAAATACCATAAAACCCACAAAAGGCAACACTACAAACAACATAGAATTTTGCAAACAGTAGTTCTTTCTAAAAAACTAAGCATAACTTCAGTTCATCACCACATTGTTTTGATTTTTAGGGAATCAAATATGGAAATTTCAAAAATGAAAAGAAAAAGACCAGGAAGCAAGCTAGGAAGTTGGACGCAACTGAAGAAGTAGAACAAGAAAAGAGCAACAAGGGAAGTTCTGTAAAAGCCCAGAGGAAACTTCATACGACAAATGAAGTGATTGAGAAAGAAGAAGAAATCAAAATGTTCTCTTACAAAGTAGCTTACACCAGACTGGTATGTTTGTAGAAACAGTAAGTTTTGACATAGACACAATTAGACTTAAGGATTCTGTAAGTAGTATAGACAAATTGAAATGCTCTTTCCATTAAATCCTTTTTATTTGATTTTTTAATGAAAGGTAATAAATAGTACAGAAAACCATAATGACACCAAATTGTATTGCAGCCCAAGAGGAAGATCGGCCAATGTGATGCTGACTATTACAGAGAGTTCTTCGGCAAGTACGACCCAAAGATTACCAGCGATCAGAGGAACGAAATGTACCTCCGTCTGCTCATCCAATACAAGGACGAGAACTTCAAGGAATACGTTCAAAGAATTGACTACCTCTTTGACAAGGTCTACCCTGAGTTAGACGTCAGGACCAACAAGATCTTCGTCAGCATGCTGGAGCATTACTACAGGTAGGTGAATTATTTATTTCCTGTGAGTTATAAAATATTGTGAGCATTTCATGGAAGTATATGTAAATTTTAGCTGCTTAAATGCACTTTCTGAAATACACAGAAGTGTTGAAACGTCTACACTGTAGCTGTAATTTTTGCTCGAGGTTAAATAGTTCAAGACTCTCACTTCACCCTCAGTTTTAAATTGTTGGTATGGAATTAATTAATCATTTCATTTATTCATTTTCACATGATAAATTTCAGACACCATTATTATGTTCAAGTAGTGTAATCATTCATTGCCTTTGAACTTAGTTTTAGCTAGGGAAATTAATATTTTGGATCCCTAATTATTTCAGATTAGAGTTGTAATTCATACAGAAACATTCTTCTTCTACGCAGTGGTGTACTTTGCCGATTCCTTTGATCCCAAAACATGTTAATCCAATTGCCTGTGTTCCAGGGAGAAGTACCTCAAGTCAGAAAAGGAAAGTGAAGATGCATGGTTTGCTCGAGTGCTGAAGAAGCTGCCAAACGAGTCTGCTGAACAATACAAAGGCAGACTTTACTGCATTGAAACAGTGTTCCTTGATGCTGCTGATTGGTCTAGGGTTGTTATTGATGCAAACTCCAGCGTCGGCTACACTTTGAAACCGATTGCTGGAAAAGCTCCCCCAAAAGATAAGAAGAAGAAAAAGAAGGACTGTGGTTGCGCATGAAGGTAATTCACTTTGAATGTACTTGAGCACCAAATGCCTAACTGTGTAATGTTACTTGTATCAACATTTACTGTCCAAAATGTATAAATCGTAGGCTTGATCTTAGCACCAAATACTTACCTGTGTATTTTTCTTGTATTCAGCGCTTGATTTGTAAAAAAATGAGGTGCCAGGACTGTAACCTATTTATTTAATGTGATTAGTACCTATCTATGCCAATGTTTTTATCTTCCCGAAAGAGAGGTACCGGTACTCCATTCCGCCGCGTCCCCCGCAAATCGAGCACTGCTTGTATTAACATTTACTGTCAAAAATGTATTAATCGTAGACTTGATCTTAGTCCCAAAAACTTACCAGTGTCTAGGTATTTTACTCGTATCAACATTTACTGTCAAAAACGTAACGCTAGTGACTCAGGAACATTTTAAAATAGAAAAGCTAAAAACCAACCAAACAAGGAATTGCTTCTATTGTATTAAAATGGAAATTTCATTCATTTAGAATTTTGTCTGGTTCCTTAACTGTAGGCATTAACTGCTTGATGTTCAGTTTTATTTTGTCTCTTGATTAAAATTGCAAATGCTGACAAAATATAATCTTTGACATACGGGGAAACTGGGAAACTTATTTCACTGATGGACAAAAACAAAATAGAGCATTTTGGTGTTACTTTCATAAAATGCTACCACTAACACAATTCCTTAAAAAAATGAGGAAAATTAATTAGAGTCTAAATATACAAAAAATTTGATATTTTGTGATTTTTGTTCTTATTTTAATGTGTTCTGTTTCAGATAAGGAGTAAGTGAGGAAAACTATATGAAGTTACAAAATAGGTTAACCAACAAAACTCTGGTTTTTGAACAGTGATCAACAACCAACTTAATGATTATTTGTAAAAAAATATACAAACATCTAAATTAATTAGTAATCTCTTAACCCCTATACTACCTATTACACTCCTTTGTTTAATGATAAAGGATAGGCATAAGGTTGTACGTTTAAGATAAGATAACAAAAGTGGTGGGGGTTGGGACTTTAAATTTGGTCAAAATATTCAAAATTGACTTGTGCATGTGTACAAGTTACTATACAAAAGAAAGATGACCCTCATTGATGATATTTAAAAATTTAACAAATTTATAGGGCGGTTCTCAAAAATTAATTCACTACTTCATTTTCATATGTGTTGTAAAGAACAGCGAATTCTTCTATATTGTGTACACTAGAGGAGTAACTATCTGCCATAATTTCAGACCAAATAATTTTATTACCTACTCAACAAATAACAACATTTTGTAGAATTTTAGTTAAGAAACAAAAATAAGTTACTTTTACAGTAGTTAAAAATAAGGATACTGATAAACATGTTTTGAGTTTTCGGACAGAATAGTAAAATAACATTCTTAATATTGTCTAAATAAGTTGGGTTTTCCCAGGCGCGGAAGCGGAGCGGTCTGCCATGGAAATGGCTTTTCCGCAATCAGCTCTCTGTGTTTAGCGCTCCGCATCTGCGGCTAGGAAAACCAAACTTAATGATTTTTCATTGTTTTTATAGCAATAGAAACTATTGCAGCAGAATAGTATATACTGTATATGGCAGTTTGAGTTCAAGGTCGTGTAATGCAAAGTGAGATCAGGTTACTGGATCCTAAGAATTTATTAGATAACAAAATAAATACAAATTGTATAAGGTCTGGTTGGTAAGGTACTGGAGAGGCAATAAAAGGCCTTATTCGCACAACAAGAAGAAAATATTATGTAATTCTTAGTGGTAGTTGGATTTATTACTCAAGTTTTCTAATAATACGTCCTTGAACACATAAATTAGTCTTATCTTTAAAGAGAAAAAACTCATATTTATGTGAAAATTTAGGAGTTTTTTATTTAGTTTTACAGCACCTACCTTTCAAAATTATTTCACTTTCTAAAATAAAAGAAGGGTTCTCTAACATTAATTATTTAAGAAACAAACCCTTCATACATTTGGCTAGATGTTTCAGCATTCATTCTCTTGAATTAAAAGAGTGAAAAAAGTAAAGAAGCTTAAAAGGTTCTTCTGGCCTTTCTGGACTGGCTGGTGCAGAGGAAGTTTTTACTTGAATGAGGGCAGTCCTAATTCACTCACCAGCAAAACTGCCAATCAGTATTTATTCACAAATACATTGAGTACAGTGTTGTGTCAAGCTCGGCCCAACACCATGAGTGTTGTATGTTTTACTACAACACCATGTTGTATGTAGTAAAACAATCTGATTACCGTACTCTTTATAATTTCATTGTTATGAACTTCTTAACCACCAAAGGCATTCCTGACAGTGAGTGCATCCAACTTAAAACTAGCAAAAAGTCCTAATAGCTCTTTATAAGTGGGAGTTTCCTTACATGAAGCGTTTGACATATTGGACCCTAGCTTTTGGCCTAGGGGTGTGTTAGTGACGTTTTTCTAGGATTTATGACAAACTTTTCATTAAATAGTGACAACGCAAGTCTTAATCATAGTAATGTGCTTAGCAAATGGACCGGTTAATTCAAGTCTAGGTCGATGTACAAACAGTACATCCTCTAAGTCTAAAGTACACCAAGTTGCTGTGACTATTGTAAACCTAAATGTCCAGTGTCAGTGTCTCAGGTTAAAGTCTGCTTTTGATGGTCCTTCATTTGTCAGGGAAGTTTAATGTGATTTCTAGTGAGTAACATTGGCTAGAGTTGAATGTGATTTTTATAACTACTGTACCTTACTAAACTTTAATTAGTACAGCGTCTTAGTACAGAGTGATGGGGTGTGGCAATTTTTGCAGCTGCCAATTTTACATGCAAAAGAGTTGATCCTAATCCTAAAAGGTTTAGTGTTGAGGCAATCTTTGAAATGGCGTCTGTTATTAAGATCATTGACATTCCCCCCCCCCCCCCCCCACATATAAATTCCAGCTGTATTCTCTAAGGTACTTGAGACCTAATTAATTTGACTGACCTCATCACAAAAATACCTCTGTCATTCTATGGTTATGTGACCTAAAAAGGCATTTGATGTGCTTACAGTGGAATGAGGTCTTCTCTAGGGCCCATGGCGTACTCCATAGGATCGGTGTTAGGTCCACTATTATTTATCATTATTATGATAAATGTTCTTTGTCCAAGGGGTGGCACCCTCCTTTTTGCAGAATTCACCACCATGGTGACCACAGGGAAAAACACACTGCCCTGCTGAGAGTAGTGAGAGAATCAGCTGACTAACTACTCATTGAATCTTAATCCTGGTTTGTATAGTGAGTACCATTAAGTAAATGAAGAAAAAAACCAGTCACTGACTTTTATCTTTGTTCTTCATTCTTATAATACGTTCTGAGTGTTAAAAACCAGTTTAAAGTAGGTACTTAATTGAGAAAACTCGCGAGTATAGTAGTTGCACAAGCTCGCAGGAGTAAGCAAATAACCAGGGAATCTAATTGAAACTCGCAACAACTACACGCACAAACTCGCGCGAGCATGCTGTTACTCGCATCACCAGATTCTTTCAACAAAATTTATTTGTTTTTGAAGCAAGTACATGCACCCAGTGTGTAGGTTTTTTATCTCCGGTTTCTGCTTTCTTATCAAATGGATGAACATTTAATTGAGTTTAAATCTCTTTTGTGCGATAAGAATCGAGGAGAAAATACCTCGTTCAGAGACACAATCCCAGTCAAAGAAAGACTATCTGTTTCCCTACGTTTTTGTAGGGTACCGGCAACACAAAAAACGTTTGCAGTATTCGTTTAATTTTTGTTTTGTTTCAACTATAGGATTGCGGATATCCGAAAAATTGGGTCGATTCGGTTCGACTCGGATATCCGTATGCGAATCGAGCCCAAATTTGATATCTGACACTATCAGTTAAATATCCAACTTTTTCTGATTGACTATAAATTTTGACATTTTGGACTTGTATCACAACTATAAGGCAACTGAGACATTAACGCCTTGCCATATAAACTGTTTGCATCAACATACAAAGGTATACTTGAAGACATTTGCCATATAAATAAATTGTTTAAACTTTTGGTTGTAAACTGTTGGTTGTTAACTTTTAGTCGTCAACTTTGGTGTAAACGTACCTTAAATGTTGCAGTTGTTCAGAGCTGTCTGGTGTGGTCTGTGGACAACGACAGTTTGTGACGCGTCGTGACTCTTACTGTGGTAATGACTACCAATATGTTAGTAACCATTGGTAATGCATATCAATTAGCCCAACTTGCGGGAAACATAATATATATAGAGGAATCATATCTTTTTCTCATTTTACCCTAAGGTAGAACCAACAGTTGCCATCTTTAGTTTAGTACTGTAGTTCGATTTCTCGTGTTCAACACAAAACGTGGATGTCTATATTTATTCCAAGCTAATATGTGCGCGCGCGTATGAGTGAGCGACAGGCAAGACTTCAAGACACGTCCGTCCATCCTAAACAGTAAAATAAAGGATAAGGAGAACCTAGATGCAAATTTTTATAAAAATTGAAAATCAGTGCTGTATGGGATAAACACAGCAAGACTGGACTAAAGTGATCATGTTGAGTGAAACTGGATTTTTTTGAGATAGGAAAACTAAAATTGGTTTGGGACAGGCAAATGCACGTAGATGTGCAAATACGTCTCAGAATATTAACAAAGAGTATCACTTAAGTACAGTTAAGGGCTAAAGTTTGGGAACGGTGGTGCTATCTGTTGACATTAGATCAAACTCAATTCCCTTTGTTTACAACTAAACATATGGGTGTAGTTTGAAATAGTTTTTATAGTTAACCACAGACTGCAGTATTATTGCTTCCCGAGCAAAGCCAGAATTTATATTTTTATTTAAACATCTATTAAATAAGTCTGGTTTATAAAATAGTTTCCTAGCAAGACTTGATAACAAATTGTTCATAATGTTTGAATTCATTTACCTTTACAACGTATTTTTGAATCATCATGTAGTTTTAGTTATAGTTCGGTGTGATGAAGTGAATGCTTGAAAGTGATTATTCACAGTGCTGCCCACCCGTTTCATTACCATATCACGCAATTTACAATATATATCAAAAGTCTGTTGTAGTGTTTTCTGTTGTTTGACTTACTTGAGTGAAAATTTAAAAACGTACGTTTTCATGTCCCTGGCCTTTTACTTCGTAGATACTGGATTTGTAGTTTATTATTATGTGTTTTAATATTTTTTGGGACGGGGGCAACATGTTACACACATTTATTTGGTTTTAAATAGGTTCTAGGTATTTTTTTCGTATTTTTAAAGTCTCGAAATTCACGACCATGACGTGTCCCTAGGGTACATTTTCCAACTTTCACGCTGTTTTTAGACTAATTATTCATGCCGAAATATATAAAGCCATATTTTTATGTCATTAATGGTTATTAAACTTACAAAAAAGGAGCATATTATAATTTTATTGTCATTGCAGACTGACTACCATGACAAAATAAGTCTGTCCCTCGATTTGGCGTCACGACCATTTGGGAAAAATTTTCAACTTTGGAGCACGACAGTGGCAAGCCTGGCGTCGATGGAGTCAGTTGGTTTTAGAGACTAGTTCGGGGTGTACGTCAGGATTGTAGTACCGGTCGTTTTGAGTTGAAAGGAGGAATTACAAGATTAATAAAGGAAAGATTGTGTTTTTTGTAATTTTGGTGTGTCCATGACCGTACGTAGTCATTCGATGAAGTAGACATGGTGTTAATTTTTGTTTATAAGATATTTCAATTGCTAGATTAACCTAGAAGTCCACTTTGTATCCTCGAACATGAGGTGCAGGGCTACCGCCAGAACAGAGCCAAATAACACGTAATTTCACGACCAAAGTTTCACGACCATCGCGGTTTTTTTCACGACCAATCCAGCCTTATGGATTATAGTGTGTTTGGTCGTGACAATAACTTTTATATAATTGTAAATTGAACAGTTTAGTTCAATTGAAACACATAGTTTTATTATAACTAACAGTATAATTGAAGGATTGTTTAGAAAGATTTAGATTATTCCATACAATTCACGACCGTACCGCATGTCCCTGACCATCACGTTTATGATTTCTATCATACAAATTTCAAAAATTAAAATATCGTCATATTTCAATGTTTTATACACAAAAGAAGCACACCTCTATACAAACATAACGATTTTTCGGGTATCAGGTAAGTTTTTTTCGGAGTTATACAAACTTAAAAAGATGTTATTGGCTTTTTTCAATTTTTTGAGTTGTTTTTATTTTTTTCTAGAAAGACCAAATATACCAAAAGCTCAGTGACCTTTTTATTGTATAATGGTCATAAAAGTAAATTAGTTTACAGCAAAACATAGTTATAAAAATAATATTAACTATTTTTAATATTCATTTAAACGTCCGTTATGATCGTGACAGGATTTTGTGTTTTTCTACTAAAGATGCTCTTTAAAAAGAAAACTACCAAAGATATTGCGTTACCATGGACATTTTATGAAACTTCAAATGTTAATGAAATAAAAAAAATAATAAAAGTTTTGAAAAAAGGGGAAAAAAATTTGCAAAGTTCTTTTCCTGAAAACGTACGTTTTTAAATTTTCACTCATTTACGTATTTTATCCAAAATTTAAAATTAGTCCACCAGTAAGACGAAGAACTGTGAGTGGTTGAAAGGAACGTGGACGTGACCGCTTGCATCAACCTACCAATGGAACATTTGAAGGATACAGAGTGGCAGTACCACCGTGGTGTAACCTATAACCTATTTGCCTAATCTTTTAAAATTGTGGCAGTAATGTGTAGGGACGAGAGGTCCGAGGAGTCAAGTGAGATTCATGTGCATAGTAAGAGACAAATGAAGTGACTTTCCTCTCTACAATGATACTACAGTTAAATAAATGTTGCAGCTATTTTTAAAGCTGAAAACATTGCCCCACCTGGCCAAATAAATCTTAGTTCTTTTTCAAAAAGTAATAATGTTAAATGTGAATCCGTTCTAGATCCGTCATTAGATTCTGTTGCTTACCCTGTTCCCAGCCGGAGACTTTAGTTGGCACCCCTAATTTAAACACGCCTAAAACAGAACATATAGAACAAATAGTTTAACAATGTGCGTGTCATACTGGTTGGCATCAAGAGAGGGATTTAGCTTGCTACAACAAGTCTAAAAAGCTCACTTTACAGTGTGTGGTTGACACAACGCATTTGCTCACGTTCTAAAAGAGGGCACCCACCACCAGTACATAAGAGACAACCAAAGCATTATGAGAGCGGATCTATATTTCAATATTGTAGACTATTTTTATAACTTTTTCACGACATAATATTTTTCATATTTCTATAATCAATCAGAAATTAATTTAGAGTGACTCTTTGATTGAGGTCTTGCTGTTTATGTTTTTGTTGTTTATTCTTTTATTACAGCTTACAGTTTTGCTCGATTTCGAGCAACAGGTTATCTAGTAAAAGTAATGTCTGGGACAGGCAAACTGTCCTTGATTGGAAATCAAAGATTTTTTTAAAGCTCAGCTGCATGGAAATGAGCAAATAAATCACACACGATCTATATATTAATAGGCAAGCATGTTCCTTTAAAACCTTTTTTCCCGCTTGTGTGCATCACAGGGAAAAACTACGCATACTCTGATAGAAAGATATTTTCCTGTAGATGTGCGGAATACCATTATAAATTAAAATACCAAGGCTAAAAATAAGCACAAAAATTAACATGGGCCTTATGGGTTGCCATGCTGAATGGTGACGAAATAACAACGAAATATAAACAAAAAATCAAAACAAATGAAAAAAATTCCAATCATATGTTTTATTTACGGGGTGGTGAAAATATAGAGAAGTCTGTACATTACACATTTTTGGAAACGTTTGTTTTCAGTGTGAAAGAAAAACAAAACACGAAGCTTGAGTAACGACATTGACTATTTTATAGTCAATGGTAACGATGACATAAACTAGTTCACGTATCAATCATGGTTTTTAAATAGTGTGTTCTAGGACAACAATATCTGTGTTGTAGAAGGTAAACAAAATTATGACCTAAAAGGATTAATCACCCATACAAACAATGAAACCTTTGCGTACTTGATTTGAACTTTAATCACCCCAGGTGACAATGAATGATGGTTGACAAATGAACATGTGCTTGTTTCACGTATATATGTGTGACAGGCCTTGTTCTTTTTCTTCATCCAGCCATGAAGACAGCGGCATTGCTGTTTGCGGTCACATTGACCGTTTTGGTGGTAGGTTTAACCACAGGCCATAGACCATTATGGTCAATGTCTGTTATGGTATACCATAATGGTCTATTGTCTGTGGCTTAAGTTACAAAGTATATACTTAAATTGTAAAAAAATAAAGTAAAATGATTGAAATTTTTTAGAAAAAATAGGACAAACATAACTTAGTACTGTAGTAGTATTATATAAACTATTATATAGCAATATTGAGGGTATACACAATGTGATATTCAAAATGTTGTTATAATCTTAGAAAATTAACTATATAGATTCTAAATGGTGTACATAAGTACTTTAGGACGGTAATTAAATTCACAATATACCGGTACAACCAAGCATGAGAGAAACTGATGATGAAAAAAAAACTCAAATAAAGCAAAACTGACTGATAGTATAGTAACAATAAACTATTTATAAACTATAAGAATTCTCAGTTAGAGTAGAAATGACAAGGCGACTTGTGGTTTTGCTTGTAAAATTCTGCCTGAATATGTGTGACATTTTCTATACTGGTAGTTCGATGCCTGTAGTGTTATTGCAATAAAAATTGCTATTAAAACATAATCATCCAAAAAACTATTTATGCACAGTATTTGACAATATTGTTATTTTTCAGTTGGTGCATTCCACATCTGCCGATGTAAGTATTTAAAGTACCCAAGTGTAGCAAACCTGCAAATTAAAAAAAACAATTTAGTCGTCTAATTCTACATATTAAAATATGCTACTCAAAATTCAGAAAGTTTATAATAACGTAGAAATTTTATCTAGGGAATACTTAACTAAGGTACCACAAGATGAAGATGTAAGTTACCCTAAGGTGTTAAAATATAAGGAAAATGTAGAAATTATATGTTAAATTTATTTTACCGAATGCCTTTATTATTTAAAAGTATTATGTATTATTAACAACTAGAGGTCGTCCAGTGGTCGAAAACTCAACCAAAAATATTTAAATGAAATGAAAAAAAAATAAATTAAATGAAAAATTCTTTATTTATTCAGGCAAAGTTAGGGCCACATGGTCGTTTCTTACACTATGTAATGGACAGTATTAACCCCACACTGTAAATAAAATTATGTGATAGGAATATGTTTTGATTTTCTGTTTATATTTTGTTGTTATTTCGTCACCATCATGGCAACCCATAAGTCCCATGTAATTTTTTTTTGGTTTTCAAATGAACTTTTTGAGCATATTTTTGAGCCTATTTTAATTTATAAAGGTTTTCTGTACATCTACAGGAAAATATCTTTCCAACAGTATGTGTAGATTTTCCCTGCGATGCACACGAGCTGAGAAAAAAGGTTTTAAAGAAACATGCTTGCCTATTAATATATAGATAGATAGATAGATACTATTATTAAATGTTTATAGAAACAGAGAATAATGTGTTAATATTAAAACTAACAAATCAAAGCAACTACAGTTTTTTATATTCTCTATAAATGAAAATATTTGAACTATTCATTGCAACATGCTAAATTTTACAACATTTTCTTAGAGCAAGAAGAGCTGTAAAAATATTTTGTAAGATAACAGATCAACTCTTCACAAATTCACAGACGTTTGTCTTTGACTTGTAATACAGTATATTTGTATTTTGTAAATTAAATCTAGGTATTCTTAAGCTTTGTCTAGTAAAGTAGTAGCTTTTAGGAGGAAAGTTTTGATTAATAAGGTCTTATGTACAGTAAAGCCTTACCCGGACTTACTTGGGATGTAAAAGTTGACCAAATTATGAAATGAAATGAAAAATGATTTATTTAATCAGGCAAAGTTAGTACTTAATATGTAGAAAGAAGTGGCATTCCAGGGACCTTTGGGTGTCCCGGTATATTAAAGACATATTTTACTAGAAAAAGTTTTTTAAGTGTATTCTGAACTAAAAATTGAACTACTGAAGCACTGTAAGTTGTGAACCAAAACTGTGTAATTTACAGTGGCACTGGCACATTGCTAACTTAGCTGTGTGAAGCAAACAGCTGTTCAGAACAAGAGTAGTCTGAAGTAATGGGGTCTTGAATCATACTGTTTACTGTATTCTTTCAGGCAAAATCACCAAATTTTGAATTTTAATGAATATTTTTTTTATTCTGTTTATTTTGCAATTATTGTTATGATAATATTCAAATTAAAATAGTACACGACAATGATTTTGCAATAAAAGTTCTTTTTAACAATCAAAACATGCAAACGTTTAAAATTATGACTATAAATCTTAATTGCTTTTTCTTTGATTAAACTTGGAAAGTGCATTTCTTGCAAACAATTTTTAAAATTTAATTTTGTTTAATACTTTACAAAACGTAAACGATTCAGGAGTAAAAAGGTAAATAGTGCCAACATAGGAAACTGAAGAATTTGTTATTATGCGCATGAAAAACTAACCGGATCAATCTGTCATAGGTACTGTACTGATATATTTAATATTACTGAAATGTTTTCTTTTTTTTAAGTGTGGCTGTCCATGCAAGAAAAAGGCTCCTCCCCCTCCTCCTGTAAGTGATTTACATTATGTTTACCAATCAATAATTCAGTAATTAGGTTATCTCTTATTTTCACATGAAACCTATCCATCAAGCAACCTTATCTAATTAATTATTAACCAACTTTCATTATTTTGATTCTTCTTTATTAAAATATTTTATTTTTACCATAATTTTACTTTTGGACAGGGTCTGATTTTTTTACTTTATTTCAATCAACTTAAAGATGTAAAGTTGTTTTTAAAACATCAAATTTTGACAGAGTCCAAAATAGCAGTCATAATATTAACAAAGATTTAAGTTTTTTAGGTATAACTAACAGGGCCATGATCCGACTTAAATAAATATTGAATAAAACTTGATATCTCCAATAACTCATTTAAATGAATAAATATTTTGAAGACAGTGTTTTGCAAAGTGGTCTAATACTAGCAGTTGATCTACATTAATAAAGAAATGGATGAGATTATCCCTCTATTTTTAAACAAAATAGTAGTTTACGCAACGATTGCAGTGTCGTAAAGACTATTAACGCGAGTTGCGTACACTACTTTACCTACGACCGTTTTTTAATTACTATCAATCTGGATTTAATTACTAACAATCACTACTGATAACTTTTTAGAGAGGTTATGTTTTCGTGTATTGTCATTGCCACTGAAAGTGATGCAACAACTTGTATAATCAGCTGATTTCCTGTAATTACGTGTTTGTTAAACTTCGTTAAATATTACATTGCTAGCAGCATTCTTGCCATAAATAATATTGTATCAGGTACAATTCGGCAAATATTTCATTTATTTTTGGACTTCTTCCAACTTAATTAAGAATACGCGAGTATCAACATGATGAACAAGTCGGATCAACAATTAAATGATTAGTTGACGTTCGAAGCATTACAATTTTAATTCTTTTCTCTCAATACTTGAACCTCATTGGTCCGTTACCTGTGTGGATATGAGAAAAACTATGCTGCTATGAAATGAAACTATGCTGATATGAAAGTAAAGAGCTGTAAAGTAAAACTTTTCAATTCTAAGAACTGGACTGAAATGGCTACTTTAAAAAACGGTCGTAGGTAAAACTAATTTACCTTATTCAAATAATGTGTTAAGTTTGTTCAACACAATATTTGGTTAAAATATGTGGTTTCATTCCCCTCTGTAATTTTAGGACACTATCAAGCTCACTCCAGTTCCAATAGCTAGTAAATACCAATACATGCATCTAAATATTTAAATAATAACATTGCTACATGTATTCTGCTTTTAGCCATGCGGTTGCCAACAGAAAGCTGAAAAGGAGCGTAGAGAAAGAGAGGAAAGGGAACGCCGAGCGAGAGAGAGCAAAAAGAGCTGCGGTTGTCAAAAGAAGAAAGAACAAGAACGTAGAGAGAGAGAGGAGAGAGAGCGCAGGGAAAGAGAGCAGCGGGAGCGAAGAGAAAGAGAGGAAAGGGAGCGTAGAGAGAGGGAATGTAGAGAGAGGCAGGAGAGAGAACAGAGGGAAAGGCAAGAGAGAGAACGAAGGGAAAGAGAACAATGCCAATGCAAAGAGAAACAGGCTAGAGAACAAAGGATACGACAAGACAGGGAACGCAAGGAGAGGGAAGAAAGGGAACGTAAGCAAAGAGAAGAGTGTGCAAGAAGAGAACAAGAAGAAAAAAAGAAAAGAGAACACGAAGAAAATGTGAGAAAGAATGAGGAGGCTCAAAGAAAAAAGAGAGAACATGAAGAAAATGTGAGAAAGAATGAGGAGGCTCAAAGAAAAAAGAGAGAACATGAAGAAAATGTTAAGAAAATTCAGGAAGCTGAGAGAAAGAAGAAGGAACACGAGGAAAATAAGAAGAAATATGAAGAGGCACAAAGGAAGAAAAGAGAACACGAAGAAAATGTAAAGAAATACGAGGAAAATGAAAGAAAAAAGAAGACCCATGAAGAAAATGTAAAGAAATACGAGGAAAATGAAAGAAAAAAGAAGATCCATGAAGAAAATGTAAGGAAATGGGTAGCTGCTAACTACAAACAAAAGTGTGGAGAAGATCTAGAAACATATTTCAAGAGAATTACTTGCAAAGAAGGAATTTCAGATGAAGAGTACATTAAGAGGCTAACCATCTGCAGGAGCCTCTTCTCTTCCTTGGATCTTTGGTACAGTGAAAAATACTTCAGTCAGGTTAAGCAGTTTTACTCTTTGTACTACTCCAAGAAAACAGAAGAAACCGAAGAGTCATTCTTCCAAAGGCTTGTTACAAAGGAGAGTTTTGAAACTGAGATCAACTGGGCCAAGAGAGTTAACATTTTGCGTGAGCTTTACCCCTCCTTGAAGCTCTGGTTTGATGAAACCTACTACAATAAGTACACTAAACATTTCTTTGAAGTGTTTTATAAGAAGGAGGAGTCTGAATCTACAGAAATTTATCTGAAGAGGGTATTTACAAAGTTCACTGGAGAAACTGACGATTGCTTCTGGAAGAGAGTGAAGCTTGTGCAGAAAACATTCCCCAAGTATACTTGTTGGTATGAGAAAGAAAACTTGAAGAAGATTGATGCATGCAAATGTTTCAGTAAGGCTCAGAGTGAAGAAGAACTCAAGAAGGAAATTGAGTCAGAGAAATCATGTGGATGCAACAAAGCCAAATTAGAGTGTCTTCAGACATTCTTTAAATCTTCAAAATCTTCATCTCAGTCATCTTCATCTTCTGAATCCAGCGAAGAAACTGTTGTCGTCAAAAATAGTTGTTAAGTAAAATATGTTATAATTTCAAAAAATTTGTTTTATTAGAAAAATAACACCCTAATGCACTCAACTATTGACATAAAGAGAAGGAAATTTAGCAATGTAACTGTGCTATATAGACAATGTTTTAGAACAATTGTTCACTATATAAAATGTATAATACACGACATGAAGTTAGTTGTGACATTTGCTGTGCTAGCTAATGTTAAGGATGTTTAGTCAGTGGTTTTAAATTTTCTAATAGACTCAAAAGTAAACATTTAATAAAAGTTACTCTATGAAAGGTTACCTTTTACAGCTACGTTGGTGGATTGTCTCGGGCTAGAGAATGTCAGATGACAAAAAAAATTGCAAATCAAATCATTTATCAAGCCAAAAGACGCAAAACTCAATAGGCAAAAAAAGCAGGTATCCTTATTATTAATTTATTTGAACATAACATTTTTTACATCCCTAGGGCCGAAAATCAGCTGCCCGCTTATTTTCTTAAAACATTAATGCATATTAAATACCCAATCGGTACCCATACCGTTGCAATAGAATTGTTTTATCGTCACCGATGCCTAGCAAATTTTTATTATTATTTTTCCTGATTCCTCAAATTATTTCTTCACATAACCTTAAAATTGTAGTTGTTTTGGACTATTAGTGTGCATTATTAATGTGGTGAATAATGGTAAAATGGTATAGTGATGAAAAATAGCGTTCGTACCATAGACCGAAATGGTTTTGCAGCTCTCGATCATTAACCATCTCGAGCCGGCATAACCTCATTTTTGGCTTTAGGTACAAAATATACTATTTCATCAACTCAATAAAACGATAACCAAGTGATAAGGATTAAAACTTCTCTAAATACAACATATATCTTGGTTTTTTTGGGGCAGCTCGGAACTCCAACAAATCAGATTATGGTTACGTGATAAAGCACCTGTTTTGTTGTTCAAGAGTCTATAAAGCATGTATCAAGTGTGGGCAGTCTGAGGAGACTGCAGACCATGTGCTATTTGATTGCACAGTACTTGCAGTGGTGAGTTGATGGAAACCTCTCTAGGAAGCATGTAATTATTTATTTTATGCAATTAGTGAAATACTAAATATTTTCTGCCATATTTTTCTTCCTAAGTATGAATGGTTTCGCCAATTTTAATTGGAACATCTACGAGTACCACAGATGGGAACGATCCTAGTCTTAACAATAGTGAAGGGTTTGAGCTTTCCAAGTTAAATAACAAATTGCAAATTTCACTTGGGCTGCAAGGCAATACAAAAAAATACAATACTATTTTGCCTTTCAAAGATTATGCTCGATTCAGAAAGCTAGTTACAGTATTAGGTGAATAAAACTATTGATTTACGATAAATTCAATTTCTTGATTGCAGATTACCCACCTCAATCAGGTACAATGGTAAATGAAGTAGCTTGCTTATAATTATTTTCATAAGCTGTTTTGTCTCTGGTTTACAATCTAACTGTAATTAAAACTAGGGATGGACGAGATTGGATTTTTAGTTCGAGACGAGACGAGACGAGATTTTTTATTTCTCATAAAATTTCGAGACGAGATCGAGACGAGATTTCTCTTCTCATACACAACGGGAAATGCACGTTCGAAATTTTTACCTGATTTTGTAACATTGTTAGATGACTGTTTAAATACTAAAATAATGATAATAGGCAAGAATATTTACAATCTTTTATTAAATAACATCAGCATAACATTTTTTTATTAATCACGCCTAACTTATTAAAAATGCCTACGATTAGGAAACATGGTGATATCAGTTAGGATAGATTTCAACTTATCCTAAAATAAAATAAATCATAAAATAAAAGCAATATTAATTTTTATAAAATAGTTACTTGTTTTGACTTTTTTATAGTAATAAAACATTCCTCACACTGCTTACACTTAACAAAACTTCTCAAATGTTATTAAAGTAATATTATTAAAATAATGAAAGTAATATTTACATTAAAAGAATTAAAGTAATATTTACATTAAAAGAATTAATTAAATAAGAACGCCTTCGAAAAGGAAACGCAACTACAACTTGCTCCTGTATTGCGGGTATTGCATTGACTTTCTGCAGGCGTTTTTAATTTTTTTTTTAATTCTCGTCTCGATAAAAATCTCGGCCAAAAAGTAATCTCGTCTCGTGTAACGAGATTGAAAATTTCCCGAAAATTTCCCGAAATTTCGAGACTTGACCATCCCTAATTAAAACTAAACTTAAACATCAGCTGATAAATAAAAGACATTTCAAACCATTATAAAGAAAGTTGGTCAGTACCACTGGATCTTTGAAAGCAAAGTCTAGAAATTAGGGATGGACGAGATTGGATTTTTAGTTCGAGACGAGACGAGACGAGATTTTTTATTTCTCATAAAATTTCGAGACGGGATTTCCCTTCTCATACACAACGGGAAATGCACGTTCAAAATTTTTACCTGATTTTGTAACATTGTTAGATGACTGTTTAAATACAAAAATAATGATAATAGGCAAGAATATTTACAATCTTTTATTAAAAAACATCAGCATAACATTTTTTTATTAATCACGCCTAACTTATAAAAAATGCCTACAATTAAGAAACATAGTGATATCAGTTAGGATAGAGTTCAACTTATCCTAAAATAAAATAAATCATAAAATAAAAGCAATATTCATTTTTTTTAAATAGTTACTTGTTTTGACTTTTTATAGTAATAAAACATTCCTCACACTGCTTACACTTAACAAAACTTCTCAAATGTTATTAAAGTAATATTATTAAAATAGTTTAAGTAATATTTACATTTAAAGAATTAATTAAATAAGAACGCCTTCGCAAAGGAAACGCAACTACAACACGCTCCTGTATTGCGGGTATTGCATTTACTTTCTGCAGGCGTTTTACATTTTTTTTTTATTTTTTATTCTCGTCTCGATAAAAATCTCGCCCAAAAAGAAATCTCGTCTCGTGTAACGAGATGTAAAATTTCCCGAAAATTTCCCAAAATTTCGAGACTTGACCATCCCTACTAGAAATAAATCAAACGCTAAGAGGCAAAGCCCTAACGGAAATGACCTATATGGTTACCAGTTGTCACTCCGCTAGATCATAAGATTTACAATGACACCTCAATTGTAAAGATTGGTTAAGTAGAGAAGACAAAAAAGGAAGTTAGTTACACATAAACCACCTATGGTAAGTAAATAGATAGATGATAATGGTTTAGTAATGCTACATCATGAGGTTTTATTCCAGTAAATTTATTTATCAGTCTTCTATAATTAATACAAACAGTATTCTATTTCACTAAATGTTGTGTATCACTTGTAATCGAATGCATTAATGATGATCTATGTTAGAACTACAACCATCCGGATCGGTTTAGCCTGAAGCCCATTGGATAATCAAGTCTGGTTGGTTCAATTGGTAGATTTTCAAGAATATGAAGTTGGCAATAACATATGACTCATAGCCTGCTGATGGATGATACTACAATAGATTCACAACTAGTTGGACACAATTGATATAGTACATTAAAATATGTAACAGATTAATGCAAACTGTGACAAACTAAATTTTTCTGGCATATTTTATTAATTTCATTCTCTATTCGATGTCTCTAGACCGATGTTAGCTCATATGTAATGTATTGACATCACGTTTATATACTTAATTGCCACAGACTAAAAATAACATGGATATTACACAATCTATTTTCAACCTTATTAAGAGTTAAACATGTTTATTTTACTTATTTTCATTCAAAACTGGATAGTTTTAGATCAATACTTGAAAAGGACATAGAGGCAGTGAAATCATGTAAATCTTGTATATTCCAGATTTAATCTTTATTTGAAATTAAATAACATTTTCATGTTTATTCCCCGGCTAGAATCATCAAAAACACATATATACAAAATATAAACAGCAAACTGTACAACTTTCAAAACAATAACTACAAACAAAAAACCATTACAATAAATGAAAATATTGTTATTGATTTTTTTAAGCTTAACAACAAAATAGGAACAATTAATTAATTTACTTATTTTTTAATTTATTAATTTTAGGGGTCTGTGGTACAGAAAATTTAAGGTGGGACAGTTTGGTACGGTACAATATTTTGTATCTCGGTTCTTGGTACAAAATCGGTACGGTACGCGGCTATCGTTATTTTGTGGTTTTCTTCTCAGAATTGTATTTAAACCAATATTTTTGATTTTAATACATTGACATTAAGTACTATGAAAATTGACCTAATTATTTAGGAGAGTGTATATAAATTGAGTATCAAACAATAAGGGTAACAAAATCACTATCATCATTCTAGTTCATAAGATTTAGATTGCGTTAAGTGGCCCCTACACACATCGAAATAAAACAAATATAAGAAACAAAAAACATTTAAGCCTACAGAAGATGCAATGACATTATTTGAGACTGAGTATGCTTGCATAACGTAAAAAATCATGCAAAGATTGTGGAGTTTGCCATAAACAGTTTTATAGCAGTAGGAAGGCCAGCAGCACTGACTAAGTGAGAGATAAAATTTAACAGCCATCATACAACTATAATTTTGATGATAAAATAGAATTGGGGAAAGTCGTAAAGGAATAAAAGTGATAAAACTCTTTGAAGTACTTGAGTACAATAACAATTATTGTTGTTATAAAATATAAATGGATTTGGGAATGCTAATGGGGTTTTTATTGCATCATCACCCTAGTCATAAATTATGAAGATCCAAACAAACACCTGTTAAGCCTTTTATGTGCTCAGAACTAGATAGTAAATTGAAAGTAATTTATTATTATAATAGGCTGTACCAAACCGAATTTGTAAAATAGACCCCCCAATTAATTTACTGAATAACAATATTCTTGTAAAATAATAGGTAATGCATAGCAGCAATACTGCACAAGTGATTATGAATGAAAATACAGTAGAATCCCTCATATCCGGCCACCACGGGACCAAGCCCCTGGCCGGATAAACCAACCTACTATGAAAATGACAATTCATACCTAATAATAGGTAATCAATATATGCAATCAAAAGTATCATTTAATTCTGTTCTGGGATCATTTTTAGAAAAATAAACATGTTTGTAAAAAGAAAAAAAATATTTGTAGGTTAAAGTCATTAAGTAATAAATGTACAAATATTATGATTTCAGGTAACAAACCCTATTAAATGGAGGTAAAAATTACAATAAATTGTACTTGAAGATCATTAGGACTTAAATGGTACATGCATTTCTACTCAACATTCTTATCCATTTTGTGAAATACAAAAATTAATGTATTGTACTGTACTAACCCCACTTTGGAAATAATCAACCAACTGATCAGAGGTTAGGCCTTCTAGCTCAACTGAGTATAGTGACTCAGCAAATAAATGTATATACAAACAGATAAGTAAAGAGAACAATTTATTTTATGACTTGAGCGGTCACAAAGACTAGTGCTTGCATCTAAACGTCTGTAAGCTGTGAGAAAAACATTTTGATATTGGCTTCTTGGAAGGGGCCGGATAAACAGAGGACCGGTAAAACCAAGGCCGGATATGAGGGGTTCTACTGTATATGATAATCTTAATTAACCAAAGCTAACTTTGAGAAAACTGTACCGTTATAAAAATGAAGAAAACTATTTACAACATTTAAATATGATATACATGTATTAACTACAAAATAAATAGAAAAATATCTACCAAAATCACTAAATTTACAATTCAAAACAGAAGTGTGCAATAAGTTGCTGTCAAAATAGATTTAAATTTCCATTTCTGTTCTAAATATCTTCCCTGTTTGGATAAAATCATAGATTCAACATATTGGATCAGCTGATGATAATTTTAATGTTAGTTGCATAAAGTTCATGTTGGGAATAAAAAAAGCTTTGGGAATAAAACCGGTAAGAAACAGATTGGGTCTCACGGTCTTTGATCACCTAATAAACCATTAAAAAACCATTTAGGACCTTTATTATTTTATCATAACAGGTTTACATGATTTTCAAACATCTTTGTAGTGTTCAATATATAACTCTGAAAGAACAATGTTTAGCAACAATTGAACATTTTAAATTCCTTCAAACATTTCTGTAAAAGTGTATAGTGTTATTTTGAATAGGTACTTAAAGCTTAAAGCAGAAATTGTTACTTGAAAGTAACATGACATTCTAATTTTACCCGTTTAGAAAAGCATTTTTCATTGTGACTTTGAAGTACAGATAATTGTTAATGTACAACACTTCGTGTACTCATAGTTACCTCAATAATGAACTTGCACACCTCTAACTGATAGCAAAACACATTTCACATGATCAGCTAGGACACAAAATTGTATACATTTTCTCTTTTCGTCATGAACCTTTCTCTGGCGATAGTACTTCTGTTTTAATACGTCTGTTTTTCCCGTTCACTTTTTCTCCACCACTTTCACTGTTCCGTTTCTTTCGTTTACTTGGACTACTTTCACTATTGCGTTTCTTTCTGCCACTTTCTGCTCCACTTTCAGCGTCCGAACTGAAATAAATAAAAACTTTGTAACAATATTGTAAAAAGACAAATTCACCATTACAATTAGGTAATTATGATAAAACTGATACAAGTAAAATAGGTATATATAATAACATTTAAAGCGCTTGCTTGCTATCCATCCAGTGTTTATGAGCTATAGAGTATAAATAAAATATATTTTCAATCTGATAGTACTTGTCAATTTGTTCTTGCTATTATTTTTGTCTTTTTTTAAATCAATCAATCAATTTGTTTATTGAACAAAAAATGTATACATGCATTTATACAACAGGTGCAAAAACAGGTACAAGTCTGCACCAACATGTTAATGAAAATATATATTTTAATTAATTATGTCTATTATGTTGTCTTAGAAAATAAAAGTGACACTATAAAATTACGGTATTACAGGTTTCATCACCATTTAACAAACCCCCCCTTCCTCACACACAGATGTGATATACTCTTAGCCAACCACAAATGAATACTCATAAATGTAGGGACATACATTCTAATGATAAAATCATGGCTCTAGTCTCATTCACTGCTGAGTTATGTAGAATGTTGGAAATACTTATTAACTTTGTTAGTACACACCTGAACGAAGAGTCTTTTCTGTGTCTCGGACGAATAGTTTCCAAATCAGATCCACTCATGGAGGACTCCCTTCTCCGAGATCTCGTGGGTTTCTCCACTTGGAAAGTCTCCATGAGTTGTTTGTACTTGGTAGCCCAGGCTCTTGCCTGCCGCTCAACCACCTCTGGGTTTCTATAAGGAGAATTGTAATGTAAACATGCAATAGAACATTAACATGCTATTGTTTGGAACATTAGTACATTTCTAAAATACAAAAGAATTTATAAGAATATTAGTAGTTTTTAAAAACCTTGCAAAATGACGATTTGTATATTGGATAATCAACAGTCTTCTACAAAGAGTAACTCTGCTGATTCAATCCAACCAAAATAATATTACTACCTATATGGATTTAAAACTCATAACTAGTTGGTAATTAATGGTTACAATTAGAGATGTGCATGTCTAATGTTTTATCAATACTCAAGCAGCACTCAAGTTAAGCAAAGCTATTGTGTGTAATGTATGTGTCACATTTCCATTCAATAAGATGACCTGACACAGTTAATTCTTTTTTCCAAAATGCAGTTTTGTGTAGAGATGATTTACTTATCACAATGTTATCTATCGTAATAAAATTCATGATCACACAACCATCTAGATCATCTACCACAATCGCAAAAAAATCGTCAACATCCCCTGCAGTTGTAGAGACATTATCATCGTCTCAAACCATTATGGTGACATCGGGGATGAATTATCGCACAATCTTATGTACGACTTTACGCATGTTGCTCAGTAACTCAAGCTCATACCCTTGGCTTGGCTCGAAAATAAAGAAACTCGCACGCCTCTATTTATAAGACAGAATCATGATTCTGGTTCTTATGGTACCAGCAAAATTTTTCAAACTAAATTATTCTATCAACAGACCACCATAAAGTTGTCCGTTACCTCTGTATGAAGTCATTGTCCGGAGGCAATGCCAGCTCCCAGCCTTTGTTTCGCCTCAGCTTTGCCACTTGAGACAACAAATCCTTGAGTTCCTCAGGAGGCAGTGCCACCATGGCAGCCACCTGCTTCCTTTGAAGAACCTTTCCCTCAGAAAATTGGTACAACTGCAGGAAAAAGTTCATTTTAGTTACTTTCATCTACTTAGCTCTCTAAGGTGATTTAGTATTAACAATTCAATCAAAACAAGAGTTGTATTAGTGAATATTATCCAAATAGTATTGATTTAGAACTGACGATATATAGTTCACTTGGCTCAGTAACTCAGTCAGTATCAAATCAAATCTCTATCAAGCATTAAATAACATGGGTTACAAATAGGGGTGTGCGAGTACTCGAACCTTCGAGCTTTTTGGTCGAGCTTTTCATTATTCGGCTCGGCTCGAGGCATTTTGAAAAAGCTCGAAGTTCGAGCCGAGCTTTTAATACTAAGTCAAAACTAAAAAAAACACTTAATTTGGGTCGTAATTGGAAACAATGTTATCACAATTCTTTGTTCAATCATTCGAGGTTTGATAAGCACGAACCTCAACTCAGTCAAGACGCAATGATTATCGATCGTAATTTTGAGGAGATAGTAAAGAGACAAACTACCACCTATCGCGTTGTCTTTCTAACACAGCTATTCGTATCGTAATATACAACGCAGTGCGAGTGCGTGATTGGCTCGTCGCTATGACGACACACGGTTGCCGTGACAACCTACAGTGCGCACTGAGCACTGCGCCTTGTGTGGGAGGGGAGATTATACCAACAAACAATTTCAGGAATTCTATTTTGGGACGGATGAAAGATAAGGAAGAAACAAAAAGTGGTCACGTGTGCAAATGTAGTGGGCGACACAATAAGGCTATAAACAAGTATCAATCGTCGTGTCGTTGTTCCTTGTTTGTTTACTTTTTCAGATTCCTTATCAAACGCCCCTATCTGCTATCTCTCTTTCTCTCTCTGCTCTCTCTAACAATGTACTGATTAAACAGATTGTGGTTGACGACTTTTCTACTTATAAGTTTCCCTGCGGTTATTTTAGTTCAATCAATCCCATAACCTTTCTAATGTTTATCAAAATAATTAATTATCTGTTTTGTATTTTATTTCCTTTAAACCAACCCCTATTTACCATCTGTATTTTATAGAATAAAATGTTTGTTTATAAAGTTTGACTGGCCACACAATTTTATACCTATTTTATTTTGTATAAAGTAACAGTTACTTTGATGATTATTTAAATATCAATAAGTGGTGCGTGCTGTAATGAATGCTTTTTATTATCAAAATAAGTAATGGATTATTAATTTTTGATAATACATGGGTCATTGAATACCATAAAGTGATGTAGTTTCCTATTTGTAACTTGCAAATAATAATAATTGAGAGTTAATCCTGGAAAATGAAAAATAGTGAATGCATTCATAACCCTGTTGTCAAAACAGCAACGCGGGTGTAAGGGTTTATTGTTTCAGAGGCTAGGGTGTTTCAAGGACAAAGTGCTGGGCCTCCCGGCTCAGGGGGGGAGGGGTGGTGGTGAGACTGAGAGAGAAATGGGGGAGGAAACTGGTTTTGGCTATTTATTGATTAGTTCACCGACCCTTCTAGGTAACAGAATTTAGTGACAGTGTTAAATCATCGTGTTCATTATTTCATTTCTTGTTTACTTTGTGTGTTATTCTATTAATTTTAGTGTTTTGGTCTATTTCCTCTATATGTCAATTATATATTTTTTAATATATAATTTTACTTTTTACTTTGTCTCTTCACCTTTTTGGATCCAAACCAATCATGTTCTTTTTGATTAATACGATTCATAAAACAAAAATATTTTGTGCATGGAAAACAACAAGAATAATCATGTGTTTTTATATTTATTTATTTATACAAAATGGAATAAAATATTCATAGTAGTTACAATATACATATTTAATCGACTTGCTAGTTGTTTTGTTGTCATTCAAGATAGCTCTGTTCTGTTATGAAAGACAATCTGATTGGCTATTTAAAAATTGACTGAACATTATTATTACTATGCACTTTTTGAAGAAAAATGTTTAATAATTTATTTTTTGGATAATGTTCAGAATTCAGAATTATGTTTGAAATTCCAGATAGGGTTAGTTGCAAAACATTTTTTGCTGAAAATAAAATCATAACACTATCTAATATTTTCATTTTTTACAATTTAGTTTCCGTTAAAGAGAATCTGAATAAATTTGTTCCTTGCAACTCAATCCATGGGTATATCACCAGACAATCAAAAGATTTATATATTCCTCAAGCCAGGCTATCAAAATTTATCAAAAGTTATAAATACTTGCAAATAAAACTATTTAATAAACTTCCAATATATTTTAGAAATCAGGAAAGTATTCATTTGTATAGGTCAAAATTAATTATCAGATTGGCTTACAAGTCGTGCTTTTTATTCAGTTGATGAGTTTTTGCAGAATGAAGATTTTTTAATGCTTAAATGTGAGGCCAAGCAGTCTTGATGATTCTTTGTTCTTGTTATGGTCTTTTCCCTGTTAATTTTAAAGTTTTTATTATTACTGATGCTTTATCCTTTTAACTTTATTTTAACATTTTCTGTAGAATATTTAATATTTTATTTAACATATGTAACAAAACATGTTGACCTTGTCTATTGTAATGTTTATATTACCAAACGACAATAAAGATTTATTATTATTATTATTATAAGGTGACGCTAGGAAAAGCTCGGCTCGAAAAAGCTCGAGCTCGAAAATATTTTAAAAAGCTCGGCTCGGCTCGGCTCGAGGTTGAAAATCACTATTCGCACACCCCTAGTTACAAAATAGATTTTGTCTAGTTGTAACTAAGAAAGTCTGTTTCATATCTTTAAAGAACATAGACACAACAGAGTTAAATCACACCTGTTACTTAATGGTCGATTTATTGACTGATAAAACTACACTTAGGAAACATCAGTTGAAACATGTTAATCCTGTCACATTTCTTGCATCTCAAAATGGAGGTAAAATAGACGGGCAAGTAATGTTTTTGGGGGTACTTTAACAGAAACCTTGTGAGGAATGTGATTTCAACCAAACCTCGTTGTAATACACAAGGCTTTTTTTTAAATACCAATTTAGCTTAAATTAACTTGTTTGCAGAAAACATCAATGAACGAACAATTGACAATCATAATCCTAGAAGTGTGACCTTCCAGGGAATCTACTGTTTCTGTTACAAATCTGCGATTCTCCAGGCCAAGGACACACCCCTCGGTGAAAATTTTTTTTTTTGTTTCTCACTCTGTGGAATATGATGAGGCAAAATTATCCATGGCAGCTGAACATATAACATCTTTTATTGCCTAACCTGTCTTAAGAAGAAAAATATGCACTTACACAAACCCACAATTAGAAAAGAACGGCAGCTACAGTTTCAACCATGTATGAAATAATCATAAATATAACTTGTTACTCACAATGTAATCTCGAGCACGACACATGAATTCAGCAGACACTCCGTTGTGAGGACTCACAGTGTCTTTGGCATAGAGACACTCACTGCGGATCACCCAGTTGCCTTTGACTAGAACTGCCACCTATACAAAAATATAATGTCCATTTTAACTATTGGTAAGTTGATAAAAGTAGGCTATATTAATAACCAGTTGGTGTGGCCACAATCAATAGCTATTGGACTATGTACCTAATTTTTTAATTGCTCAAACCCTAAGCTATTGGATTGGAACCCAGAGAGAGCTTACAAGACTCTTAAAATATGCATTAGTTAGTTGTTCTGCTGTGCTTCACTACAGGGTGAGAATGCAGAAAAGAAAAATTCGTTTTTTTTATCTACTATAAGAAAATGATACAACACACTCACCAGGAACATATTGGCAAAGCTCAATCGTACTTATTGATTATTTAAAATTGTAAATATGTGGTTTCTCTGAACACTAAATTAAAATACCTAGCTCAATAAAATAAAAGGGCAAACTGAATTATTAAACTCAACACTTTTAATTGAACCAACTAAAGAAGACATAGATTAAAACTATTATTGTTTTTAACAACACATTTAACAATTTAACCATCTGGTATTCATCATTGAAGTATAACATTAAAAACAGACATGTGGCAAATATTAAATTGCACTCAATACCCCTCCTCAATTTAATAATTTTACATTTGACACAATTAACAAACAAACAATCCTAACATCTTTCTCAAATTGCCAAACCGAGGTGCAGGCAGACTTTTTGTAAAAATGTCTGCAATCTGATTTTCCGAACATATATATTCTGCAGACATGATTCTCCGCTGGTGAAGTTCCCGCACAAAATTGTATTTAACATTCACATGTCTCAATCGGCGATGCTCCCACTTCTGTAGAAGTCGTATGCAAGATTGATTATCTTCCAGGATGCGGATTGGTAACTTAAGCAAAATTTGAAAATCTTCTATCAGATACTTCATCCAGAGTAATTCGGCTGCTGCTGTTGCCAAAGCTACATATTCCGCCTCTGTAGATGATAACGCAACACTAGATTGCTTCTTTGTTGCCCAACTTACAGTACTTCCAAACACTTGTATGAGATAACCTGAGGTCGATCTTGAATCTCCACTTTTATTCCAGTTTGCATCAGCGTAAGCCAGAATAATGTCATATTGTTTGCTCTTTCGATAACATAATTTTAAGTCGATTGTTCCTTTTATATATCTTAGGACTCTCTTCAAACATTTCCAGAGTTCTTCTGTTGGGTCACTTTGATGCCTGCTTAGGAAATTTACTACAGCACTCAAATCTGACCTTGTACCTAGCATTGCATACATTAAGCATCCGATTACTTCTCTGCACGGCTTATCAGTCCTTTTTCCGCCTTTGATTTCTAGTTTTACTTCCATTGGCGTTTTGACTGGGCAACAATCTTGCATGTTAAATCGTTTAAGAAGACTCTTTAGGTAGGCAGTCTGACTTAAGTACATTTCCCCCTCACTCCTGGAGATTTTGATTCCCAAAAATGTTTTTGGTTCTCCCAATTCCTTGATTTTAAACTTCTCATTCAACTTTACTTTAATTTCCTTGATTTTCTCCCTATTATTTCCTGCCATGAGAATATCATCAACATAGAGCACAAGATACACGACAATATCATTTTGTATCATAACGTAAAGACATTTGTCGGATTCTGATTGGGTGAAACCAACTGAAATGAGAAATGAATGAATAGCTTGATTCCATGCTAATGGTGCCTGTTTCAAGCCATATAGCGCCTTTTGCAATTTGCAAACGGAGCCGGGTGTTCCTTCAACTCCTTCAGGAATGGACATATATATTTCCTCCTTCAGTTCACCATGAAGAAAAGCATTGTTGACGTCTAATTGTTCAAGAATTAATCCACGTTCGTTTGCTACAGCCAGCAACACCCTAACTGTTGCAAGACGAACCACTGGAGCATATGTTTCTTCATAGTCAAAACCCTTTCTCTGTGAACATCCTTTGATAACAAGTCTTGCCTTGTATCGTTCAATATTTCCGTCCATGTCTTTCTTCAATTTGAAAACCCATTTACTGGAGATAGCTTTCCTTCCAGGTGGTAGTTCAGTGTAAGTCCAAGTTTTGTTTTCCTTTATAGAGTTAAGTTCTTCCTTAACAGCTTGATACCAATGATCCTTATCATCACGTGCTGCAATATCCTTGTAACTTTGCGGTACATCATCGACAAAAGATTCAGCATTCAGAGCAAGAACTGCATAATCCTGTAAGTATCTTGGCACATTCCTCTTTCTGGTAGAGTGTCTTATTGTTTCTTCTTCACTTACATGATCTTCAATTTCTTCTTCCTCTTCTTCAAGATCTGGTATAGAAATTCTTTGATTTTCATCAGACAATGATCTGGGTTCTTCTTTGTTCTTGTCTTCCTTTTTACTCAATCTGGATTCATGTACATGATCGGGAATCCAGTCTTCAATTGGTGTGCTCTCAAAGTTAAATTTTTCCTCATAAAACACAACATTTCTTCCAGTGATTATTTTTCCTTCTTCAGGACACCACAGTCGATAACCATTAGGACAATATCCAGTAAAGTAACACTTCAAGCACTTGCTGTCAAATTTACTCGATATTAATTCCTTAGGTAACAGCAAATATGCTGCACAGCCAAAAACTCTTAACTTACTAAGATTAGGCTTCTCATTGTACCATAAAGCAGCAGGGATCTTTCCTCCTAAAGCTGATGTCGGACTTCGGTTGATTAGATATACGGCAGTTCGAACAGCTTCTGACCAAAATGTCTTACCTAATTCACAATTAAGTATTAAACAACGAGCCCTTTCAACAATAGTCCTGTTCATTCCTTCTGAGACACCGTTCTGTTGAGGAGTATATCTGATTGTGAACTCATACTGAATTCCTTGCTCCTCAAAAAACTGCTTCAACTCATTTGACATGTATTCACGACCATTGTCACAACGAAATCTGCTAATCTTTAGATTGAAATGAGATGTAGCCAAAGCATGATACATCTTGACGTATCGTGTGACTTCCGCCTTCGATTCTAGAGCATAGGCCACCGTGAAATGAGTAAAGTCGTCAATAAAAGTGATGATATATTTCTTACTGTCAAATGAAACTGGTGAGATTGGACCACACAAATCACTGTGAATCAACTCAAGAGGTCTGGTGGCACGTCTCCTGTTCTGATTGTAAGAAAATTGTGATTGTTTCCCTTCAACACACTTTGAACACTTTTCTAAGGGTAATGTTGAAGTACCGGTATTCAACTCCATCCCATCTACCTGCGACCTGAGACTTTTAATACAACCATAGCTCAAATGACCAAGCCTGTCATGCCACAGCTTCATTTCTGTTTCAGTTGAAGACACTGACAAAGCTTTGTGTTGCAAAAAATTTAACATATATAACTGAGCATTGTTTCTTTTTGCAACCGCAACAGTTTGATTATCTTTCTTAATCAAGCCACATGAATTTTGAAAGATAACACAAAAACCATTCATTTCCAATTTTCTTACTGAAAGTAAATTGTAACTAATTCCAGGTACAGATAAAACATCTTTGATTGTTATTTTAATTTCCTTCCCTTCAACAACACTAGTGACATACAACTCCCCTTTACATTTTGCTTCAAGATAAGTTCCAGACTTGGCTACTTTGATTTTAATAGGCTGTTCTAATTTCTTAAAGTTAGAGAGACATACCTCATTGCTGTTAACCAGATGTTCTGTTGCTCCAGAGTCTAATATCCAATTTATGGTATCTGCTGAACAGTCTTCACTTGATGCTCCAAAACAAAATGCGGCATCTTCCTGTTTGGTGTCGACCACGTTCGCAGAATTATTTTTCTTTGATGGGTTCTGTGGTAATTTGACTCTGCAGTTAGCTCGTTTGTGTCCAAGCTTTCCGCATCTGTGACAAGTGAAATTGAACGAGTTGCCAGAAGTTCCTTGATTTCCTGGAAAAATTTTCTTTTTCCCTGGTTGAGACTGGAAGGCAGTAGGAGGTGATGTACAATCAAATTCAATTTTTCCAACGCCCCTCCTCTTTGTCTCCTCTTCCAGCAGTCTGACCTTCACAAAGCTTAGAGATAAGTCCTTCATTGATAGAGTCTCTATGGCCGTGACAACGACGTCATATTCTTTGGGCATGGTCAGTAGTAGATGACAAACAATGTCAGATTCCTCGACAGTTGCTCCTGTAGATCGTAACTCTCTTATGACTTTGTCAAATTTCAGAAAGTGACGATTTAAAACATCATTCTTCGCATCAAACTTCATTGTTAGTAACTGCTTCCTTAGTAGAAGTTGGCTAGCTATTCCTTTCCTTTCAAATGTGTTGCAGAGAGATTGCCATAGTTCAAAAGCAGTTGCCTTGTCTTTTGCATATTCCAAATGGCTGTCGTCAATACGCTGTATAATCTGCGACTTGCACTTTCGATCTTGTTTCGCTAATTCCAACAACCTTGCTTCCTTCCTCTCTCGTTGTTCATCTGTGTTTTCTTCCAGTAATTCAACTTTGGTAACATAAGATTCCTTTACGAAAAATAATAATTCTAATTCCTCCAGCAGAGTTTCAATTCTAAATTTCCAATTGCTGAAATTGGTTCCATCAAACAATGGTATTCGATACTTTTCATGTTCAGTTGCCATATTAATTCAATTTGATTAGCCAGGTAAAAAAAATATTAACAAATTCCGTATTTAAACAGCCCTGGGCCCATAACCTGTAAATATGTGGTTTCTCTGAACACTAAATTAAAATACCTAGCTCAATAAAATAAAAGGGCAAACTGAATTATTAAACTCAACACTTTTAATTGAACCAACTAAAGAAGACATAGATTAAAACTATTATTGTTTTTAACAACACATTTAACAATTTAACCATCTGGTATTCATCATTGAAGTATAACATTAAAAACAGACATGTGGCAAATATTAAATTGCACTCAATAAAAATAAAGATCCCTTTTTGTATTACCAGCATTTTATATAGGCCTAGTGTATTGGATTTAAAATACATGCAAAAGTTTAATTCATTAACTACACGATACCATAGATAAAACATACTCCCTTAGTAGATTTCTCATCCTTATGGAACAGCTGAAGACAATTTTATTGTTAGTTCATGTACGGTTTATGTAGAGGTCGTGTTTTGTTTACAATTTGTTTCCCGTCATTACAGCCATTTAAAACCTCGTTTAACCAAATAATACGATCTAATCATAAACAATAACTTGTCCCCTAGTTATATAACCAAGCAGTAAAGCACAAATAAAGAAATTAACCCTAAAATGACGGAAACAAAGTTTCATCGACACTAGCGCCTTTGTGTCACTTACATGAACTTGACACGAAAAACGTGCTTCAAAATTTACAATGGGATGAGAAGTCTACTTGTGTTGGTTAGTCTATGACGATACCAAGAAATAAATCTTCATACAAACAAATATAATTAAATAGCAGAACAAAGCATACCATTGATTTACATTACATCACATGTTTTAAATTTTACTTTCATATGTTTTGTTAGTAAACGAATCTAACTAAAATTCTTTCAAAATCCCTGACATCGTGGGTACCTTTGAGACGGTCGCAGGACTGAACCCTGAAAGTCATCACAGAATTGATAAACCCTACTCCATAAAATTCTACATGTATGTACCAAGTTTGTATGTAACCAGTCATGCTTTTTCACTAAAGGCTTCCTAAGGTTTCAATTTTCATTGCACTTAGGACCTTCTTTTTTAAGACTGGTGTAATAAAATCTGTGTACATAGTATTATTAAATCAAATTAAATTAATTAATTTTAATTTTAAATTAAATCAAGTTAATTTTAATCAACTTTCAAATATGGCCAAATAAAAAAAAATATTCTGCTGGGCATTGTATTTATTACAAACTGTCTAAAGTGTAACATTGAGTCAATCTACTTTCCGTGTGAAATTCAATAAACAGGGTGGCCAACAACTCTGAGGAAAAATCCATGCATTTTTCCCGCTAGCAAAACCTGGTTTTTCCAAATGCCAAGTGACCTTTTAACTAGGGAGTTTGTTGGTCCTAGATATTCACAAGTCAGGTCGGGCCAAAACAAGATGTTCACGATTTTTCTACGACTGCAAAAGATGTTCTCGATCTTGTAACTGCAGATGACGTTCACAATTTCGCCGTGACCACAGACCAGTTTTTTTTTTAAGTAACATGGACCAATTCAAGATGAAGAAGGCTGGAGAATTAGGAAGAATAGAGAATTGAGAGATGTGTATCACCATCCAGATGTAGTAGCAAGGATAAAAAGCAGGAGATTGAGATGGGCTGGACATGTGTGGAGGAGAGAGAACTCATCATTAATTAAAGTTGTGGACCAGAACAAACCAGAAGGCAGAAGACTCGGCAGGCCGAGACTGTGATGGAGGAGTCAGGTGCTGAAGGATGTGGCTGTATTGGACACTACTCCTGAGGCAGCGGAGGATAGAGAAGAGTGGAGAAGCATCGTTGGCGAGGCCAAAAACCTTCTGAGGTTTCAATGGCCAAGGAGGTAAGGTAAGTAACATGGACATTTACTCAAGCAATAACGTCACTGGCTGGGTATTTAACTATGGTAAATTTGTCTTTATATTACAAGAAAATTTCACTAAAATCCAATTTTCTGGCAAATTTTCAAAACTCACTTATAATTCCCAGTTTCCCCAGAATTTCTGTGGCCACCCTGAATGAAATACTACTGTAGACAATATGGATAGTTTACCTGTTGTATGCTGCGTAACAGCTTCACCTCATCAGACCCTCCTGCACCGGCCAGCAGTGATGACAACTGACGGAATGTTATTATCTTGACTGGGAAAAGTTTTTAATTAGTTTGTTTTAAGGAAGCAGTTTAATTATTCCAAACAAAATTGAATTAATTTACTTAGCCCAATAATTTTATTTTTAAAACTAGCTTACCCCATCGTGGCTTCGCTCACAAAAATTTAAGTTAAACACGTGACCACTTAAGTGAATTAAGTTAAACCAAGAGAGAACTTCTTCATTTACAACATTAACTGTCCTTCTACCATGAGCTTCAGACTGCTCACTCTGAAACCCCTACATAATATTTTGGCCAGAAAACTATTCCCGCTGTATCTGCTTTTACATAGGTTTACATGCTTAAACCTTATTATCCAATAGTACTGTCAAATCTCCCATAACTTTACTGTGCAGTATTATGTCTTATCTTAAATTAACATTAAGTGACATAAAAACCTTGGACGATGTTTTATTGTGGTTCTTATAACCCTCAAAGGGCCTAAATAGTTGCAGGTCTAGTGTATGATGTTTTAACCAAGCAGAATGTACGCACATAAAAGTAACTTTTCTCAATGTGTGGCTTCATTGTATGCATATCTTTACGAAAAAAAAAAATAAATAACTGCATTATTTGTAATAGCGGTTTCGATTGAAACTTTTTTGTGCGCTCACCCCCATTTTAATCTTGGACAAATTTTTATGATTAAAGTGTCAAATTGGTAATGTCAAGCTGGTAATTTTATGAAAATTTCATGAATAACAGTTAAATGGATAGGCTTAGCCACGTTTGACATTTATTTTATAAAAATTTACATTTATTCCTAAATTGAAAGAGTACTGTATACAGGGTGAATAAAAGTCAATACCCCCCCCCCCCTCTAATATTTTTCCAAGTAAATATACAGAGATATCCTTTTGGTGGTCGTGCAATCTAGCAGGAATTTTCATTTTATGATTTTAAAATTTGTGAGTGTCCCCCCAAGAGGGAGCATTTGGGGGGTAACTCAAAAATGTTAAATGTAAACCCCCTTCAAGTGACACATCATTTTGAAGTGTTTACAAAAACTTAAAGAATGGTGAAAACTAGAGGTACCTCGCTATCTCTTCTCTATCCAAAATGGAAGCCCGTCAAATGTTGTGGAAAATCAATAGTAAAATTGGTTCGTAATGGTTATATTAGCTACCATTTTGGATAGAGAAGAGATAGCGACCTCTAGTTTTCACCATTCTTTAAGTTTTTGTAAACGCTTCAAAATGAGGCGTCACTTAAAGGGGGTTTACATTTAAAAATGTTGAGTTGCCCCCCAAATCCCCCCTTTTGGGGGGAGACTCACAAATTTAAAAATCATAAAATGAAACTTCCTGCTAAGATTGCACAACCACCAAAAGGATATCTCTGTATATTTACTTGGAAAATATTAGAGGGGGGGGGGGGGGTCTTGACTTTTTATTCACCTGTATATACGAATAAGATATTTATTATATCTTGTAAATGGTTGAACCAAAATAGTTACATCATACTTTTAGTTACATACTTTTCTTGTAGGAAATTTAATATTCTTTAATTTCCTAATTAAATAGTGTATAAAAAGTTTATAGTTTTTAACATATTTAGGAAAAAACCTACTAATGGATCCTAAAATCCAAGATGGCGGCCACTTCCTGACCCCTTACCCTCGGGGCTTTTTGGTGTGTTAAAATAGATACCTAGGAGGACATTTTAGCAGTTTAAAAAACTATAAGATATTTTTTTTAAGGCATTAAATGACTTAATTGACTTACATTGCCAACTTCTACAGCTTGATGTGAATATGTGAATTTAATGATCAAATACACTAGGAGTATTTTTTAAAGGCCAACATATTGATCCCTAATTAGGAATCATAGTTAGGAAATCTATTTTAAAAAATCTTTTTTTCAAAAGGACCCCTTTTCTCATCATGTGTGCACACTGACCTTGTTTCAGTATTGTCAACACAACATCAGGCAGTGGTAGATTGCTAAGTGAGGTTAGTGAAGTAATGTTGCTAGGCATGCTCGGTAACTCCCACGTAGGGTCTACTTGCACTGGGACCAGACTGTCCATGTACTGTCTGGGTGTTAAACACATAGAGTCCATTCGATCCTCTAGCTCTACAGCTGTCAGCTTGGACCTCTCTACCTGGAACATGTCAAAATAAAAAATAAAGTGGAATGCGGATGGTAAAATCTATAATCCAGATTATGAAAATGTAGCCTGAGTTTAGTTAAAAAGATACAGCTAAAGCTTGGACAAAAAAATTAGCAGATCCGTACCTCATTTGTAATATCAAACTGTTGTATAGAATTTCAACAATGAAGTAAGGTTAAATAAAAACCAAACTGTACCAAGTCAACTATTATTTTACTCTGTCCCTGACTGTAAATATAATGGGGGGGGGGGGATATATATAATAACAATAAGTTTAACACTCTGAACTTTGGTGTCTAGAAGGTCAACCCATAAGGTCAAAGCTATTAACCAATTTTGTGAGCATATTGTTAATTTCGTACGTCTTAAACTTGAAGCAAACCTAGTCTGGCTTAGGATATCCCAAGAGGTCAAATCGTGCATGAAGGTTATTACCTCGGCCATCCTACTGCTGGATGGGTGGTACTGTGTATGGTACCATTTCTCCTCGGCACTACGTTTGCTCAAGAAGTTATATGACTGTTCCCTCGCTTTCTTGACTCTGTCGCTTTCTTGCCGAGCAAACTTAACAGTAACCTGCTTCTCACTTTCTTCTTCCTCACCTCCCGATACATCTGTGATAGCAAAATATGTAAGATTAAATTCATCATCCAACTAAACATAATGAGAGAGCGTAACTAGTTCTATTAACACTAGGGATGGACGAGATTGGATTTTTAGTTCGAGACGAGACGAGACGAGATTTTTTATCTCTCATAAAATTTTTAGACGAGATCAAGACGGGATTTCCCTTCTCATACACAACGGGAAATGCACGTTTGGAATTTTTTACCTGATTTTGTAACATTGTTAGATGACTGTTTAAATACAAAAATAATGATAATATTTACAATCTTTTATTAAAAAACATCAGCATCACATTTTTTTATTAATCACGCCACAAGCCTAACTTATTAAAAATTTCTACGATTAGGAAACATAGTGATATCAGTTAGGATAGAGTTCAACTTATCCTAAACTAAAATAAATCATAAAATAAAATATAAATTTTTATAAAATAGTTACTTGTTTTGACTTTTTTTATAGTAATAAAACATTTCTCACACTGCTAACACTTAACAAAACTTCTCAAATGTTATTAAAATAATTAAAGTAGGTAATACATTTGAAGAATTAATTCAATAAGAACGCCTTCGCAAAGGAAACGCAACTACAACACGCTCCTGTATTGCGGATATTACATTGACTTTCTGCAGCCGTTTTTATTTTTATTTTTTATATTCTCGTCTCGATAAAAATCTCGGCCAAAAAGAAATCTCGTCTTGTGTAACGAGATTTAAAATTTCCCGAAAATTTCCCGAAATTTCGAGACTCGACCATCTCTAATTAACACACATATAAAATTTATGGGAAAATCAGTTTATTTATTTAATTGAACAGCATTAAATTGAGAGTACAAGAATATATACAGAGTGAGTTTTAAATGAGTTCCCCCCCTACTTTTTTCTACATTTCTTAAGATATCAACTCTGGACCACATCAGATCATTGTAGAGTAGTAAGTACTTCATTTTGACTGGGTATAAATTTTTGGCCGCCATCTTGGATCCGCCATATTGGATACAAAGTTTTTTTTCAAATGCAAAGGTAGGGTTGTGACCCATCGTTTCAAACTAGATTTTTACGCTGAATACGATGCTGCAATCCGTTTTTAAAAATCTTGATCCGTTCTAAAGTTATGAGTACTGTTTAAAACTTTATTTTTAGCCAATTTTAACATTGTGCAGTTACAAACTAAGACCATAATCGTATCCAAGTGATCATAACCAAGTGAAAATCGGTTGACAATGACTGGTGGTGTATACTTATCTTTATCTAGCTCTATTTTACGATTATAGTCTGAGTTTGTAACTGCACAATGTTAAAATGGGCTAAAAATAAGTTATAACATGTTCTCATAACTTTAGAATGGATCAAGATTTTTAAAAACGGATTGCAGCATTGTATTCAGCGTAAAAATCTAGTTTGAAACGATGGGTCACAACCCTACCTTTGCATTTGAAAAATAAAACTTTGTATCCAATATGGTGGATCCAAGATGGCGGCCAAAAATTTATACCCAGTCAAAATGAAGTACTTACTACTCTACAATGATCTGATGTGGTCCGGAGTTGATATCTTAAGAAATGTAGAAAAAAGTAGGGGGGAACTCATTTAAAACTCACCCTGTATAACTGGGTAGCATGTGCTGAGGAATTATGTATAGGCTAATTAATAAAGACCTAATACAAATGACTAACAATAATATATTTTGCCAAAAACATGGTTTTGTCACAAAACAATAAAAAGTAGATCAGCTGACAATCCTAGGGTGTCCAGCAAACCACAAAAATAAAATTCAACATTTGCAGGTTTTCCAGGTCCAAAGTTGAATTTCCTCTAGGTCAAAACTTACTGTTAACAAAGGAAAAACTAACGCATTAGTACCTATTACATGTAAGTTGAAAATTAAAAAAAAAACCTTGGGTAGCTCCAAAAACTATTCATACAAAAATTTGTATACATTGATGATATGATAATGGTGAAATCTAGGAATTTGAAATCTTGTCTTGATTCCAAATCCATCTCGAACACAACAGAAATTTTAAAATTCAATTAGTTAAGCAATTTACTATGAAAACATATTCTTACTTTTATGAAGTTGATTTTGAATTAATTCTAGATCTTAAATTGGTTTTAAAACAGTTCACTGTACATTAGTAGCAACATCGTTAAGTCCTTGGAGGCTAGCGGCGATCTTGGATAGTTTGAATATACCTATTGTAATTTAAAAATCTAGGGCACTATGAGGTTAGAAATTGTTGTTGTAGTTTTTTAATTGATTGTGTGTTAGAAAGTCTAGGCTCCAAGGACTCGTAACATCTCTTGCGAGCTCAGTGATACCTCAATCCTAATTTTATTTTTGTACACAACTACCCCAAGGGAACTAACAGAATGCTGTCAATGAATGGGCTGCGGTCATAGGCTATTGGCAATTATTCCTAGATCCAACAGATATTTTCATAGTCACCCAAATTCACATATGATTCCCGGTTTCCTGGACACCCTGCTAATACACAGAGGGCAGTCATCATTAGATCATTCAACAAATATACAAAATTTTGATGGAGTATATTGTAAAATGGTAGGCTACTTTGGTTTACGAATTTAGGACTGGAAACAGGTTTAAAGTTTGACAATGACTTTGTGAACATGAAATTTTTAACCATTATCATGTAATTCATAGAATTTTTCACGATATCACAATTTTTCATCAAGATAATCCAAAACAGTCTAATTGATGAAACTAGTAAACAAGTTGCAATAAAAATAATTTAGTAAATTTGTTACTTAAATACCAATTGTTGTTACTCAACTTATGAATCCTAATATAAAATAGGTTAGGTAGTAAGATTAACCTAAATAATTTCAGTTAGTTTGATCATTACGCCTACGTTTTAAAACCATCCCTTGACATCCACATCCAACACTTCCTAACAATATTTAGCATATTCCCTCTTACCTTCTCCCATTTCCTTAGCCTCTTCCTTGGCTCTTTTATCTGTGACATCGAGATGTGGAAAGCTCGGGTTTATACTCAATACCCCTTGGACAGGAGAAATGATCAGTTGACCATTACGAACAGTAGCTACAGCAACAGAGCCTGTGTCTGTGATCACTTTGGTAGACTGGAGCGTCCGTTTGTCCATCACATTACTGAAGCAGTAAGAGAAAACAATTCAGGTTTTTACAGTAATAGATAGACCTTATGAGAAGAACTAAATGTATATAATTAAAGTTTAAATTTATAAGAAAACTGTACAGCAGCTCCTAGTTGCCCCACCCTCAAGTTCTAAAAGGCTAATATAACTGGGAGATGAGTTAAAACTTTGTTGGGAACCTTTTGATTTCCATTTAATAATTTATTTTTTTAATGTTTGTATGGTCTTGTGCCAACTTAATGTTCTCAGATGTTCTATCTAAATAGCAAATTTATTTAGCGCACAGTTGTTCTGTGCGTGCTTCCTACACTCTCTTTATACATTTTATTTTATATGCACAGTAACACCATTTTCTTATTTTTCAGATGACATCAAGATGGATAGGCCTACTTAGAATGTGTGATAAACGTAGACGTCACAAAATGTTAACAATAAACAAGATATAAATACACCCTAAAAAAAAAATAGGTTTACGTACCTTACGTCGTCAATCCTTGAATAGTCTTACAAGATACTAGTTTCAAAACTGGCGCTTCATTTTCAAGCTTTGTCGTCTAACATAAAATTATTGGAACATGATGTCGTCGTCAAAACTCAAAATACACAAATAAAACATTTAACACGCACAAATACAATAAATTACAGAAAGAAGCCCGGCCGGCCATAACACGCACGACGGACACGACTCGACTAACAACTATGTTTATTAGTTTTGGTAGTTGAGTCTTGTTCGTCGTGCGTGTTATGGCCGGCCGCGCTTCTTTCTGTAATTTATTGTATTTGTGCGTGTTAAATGTTTTATTTGTGTATTTTGACGACGACATCATGTTCCAATAATTTTATGTTAGACGACAAAGCTTGAAAATGAAACGCCAGTTTCAAAACTAGTCGCTTGTAAGACTATTCAAGGATTGACGACGCAAGGTAAGTAAACCTATTTTATACTGTCTTAAATCAATCCTGGAGGCAATGCTGAGTAAAATAAATAGACCCAAACATAAGTAGAATAACAGATAGTATATGCATATTAAATAACAAAATTAAAACGTTAATATTAATAAATTAATATCTTGATAAATCACAGATAGCTCTGCAGATGATAAATAAAAATATATTACTCAGAATCGATTTTTTAAAATTTTTTACCACACCTTTGGAAATATTTGTCATTGGGCGTCCGATTTTTTCCGCCATCGACGTTGATTGCAATCTGCTCTCCGTGGCTTACATCATAGTTAGGAGAGTTTGAGTCAACTGCCATCTCCATCACCAACTCTTGGTTGTTGGGTTTAAAGCAGCACTGTCAAACAAAACAACCAACAGTATTTACATGTACTACTCTCTGAAAAAGTTAAAGGAAGTGCCATTATTTGATGCTTGTGTACCGTTTTGTTGAAAATTAGCTTTACTATTTAGACTATAACATTGTTGTTTAATATAGACAATTATACTGTATAGCGTTAATAAATAATACAAACTTTTGGGAAAACTGTAAGCCGCACACCTGCACCTACATGAATGCGTATTTAACTACTGCATGTGCTTAAACTGCATACTTGAATGAAAGGACTTGTTGAGATAATTCTTGTAAATAGCCTAAAAAAGTTTTTGAATGAACCTTCTCTAAAGGGATCAATCCATAATAAAGGGTTAAATACAATTACTTTAAAAAAAATTAATATTTGTCTGCTGTTACATTAGCCTACTACCGGTACATAAGTATTAATTATGCATTTAATGGTGTACTGTTTGTTTACATTGACTTTGATTACATTTTGACAAACTTATTTTTTATTCTGCTACACAAACTGCCAATTTAACTAAACAATGTATTTTTATAAAACCAATCAGTAGGATACAATAGACTTTCTTCCTATAGGTACACTTAATCAATAGAGGGGGTTTTAAACTGTTTTCGATAGATTTATAAAGAACTACATTATACAGCTCGTGACATCTAAGCTGGCACTTGGCCGATCGCTACTAGTGCCTATTTCAAAAACATTATGTCCCGTCATGCGGGTTGCATCAACTGTCCTCGCAACCCATATGAAGGCGCTCAAGTACATAATACAAGGGGATTCGACCCCGTGAGGCAGCAGAAATGTTTGCAGTCCAGTCTTTTCCCTACCTCCACCCTCCTCACACATACACTGCCCGCGCTAGGCCAAGTGCCAGCTTATGTGTCACGAGCTGTACTGTATTCCCTATTGCATCCTCCCCCGTGTCAAAAGCACGAATAAAGCAATAGAGGTATGTTATAAATACCTTAAGAATGTTGTCATTCTCTTGAGGAAGTGCTGCAGGTCTTGTAGGGTATTGAAATACATACAGCTGGTTTTCCAATGCATGTGACAAGAACACTGGCATCTGGAAAAACAAAATATATAGGCCTACCGTATGTAGTGAAATAGAATTATCTAATGTAAAATAAATGATCTTAAGATAGGTCTAAGTTGAATTAACTAGCTTGGAACAAAAACAATATTAAAAGTTAAATGAATCATGAGTTGGGATACTTATACCACCAATTACGATGGGCTTTTAGTTAATGACATTGGATAAAAAATCTGTTAAATTCAGTCAGAGTAGCAAAGCTACAGCAGTCATCTCATTATAGGCCTAGGCCCTATCGATAAATCTACATACTTTACACCAGTCTAATTGATATAAGCTTATACTGTATAGCTAAAAAGACAAAACGTAAAAACCAGGTGAGAGACCACCAGCTGGATAAAAATTATATCTGTGTTGAATACATTGAGAAAATCCAATACCTACAATCTAAAAAAAATCTAAAAATAATAATAACAACTTATTACTTTGTCTTTCAGAACAACGAATTAAGTCAGTAAAATCTTACAGGACTAGGGATATCGCAAACACTTAAATCATACCAGTTCAACGGGGTACAAAATAAAATGTGCTGAGTGCTCAAGGAGTTTATTACATTTGACAAACGGGTCGGGCATTTAGAACTTGTTATGAGGAGCACTGCCCAGATCCGAGGACAGACACTCAGTTCAGTTAACTAATTGAGAACATCCCGACAAATAATTGACAGTCATCAGTGATTAATTACATTAACACCGGTCTACAATTTCAGTATTAGCCTACTGTATAAGGGAGATAAAATGAACGTTTTGGAGGAGTTTGAAATCTACTTAAGTCAATAAAAACCCGAGATCTGAACAATCACATCCTCAACAAAAAACTTGAATTCAAGACAAATTTTATTCCCAACATCCTATTAGAACGAGGGAATATATCTGGATCAGCTGACCACCACTGATAACAAAATCAGATAAGTAACTTAAGTTAGGCCAAGCGCTAACTTATACCCCTCAATTAAACTTAACCCATTAGGGCCGACTTACGAGGCGTTACTCGCACGGCCGCTGCAGTTCCGGCGGCCGACTTACGAGTGCCGCTCGTATCACCGCTACGCAGCACCATTAGTTTTTAACATATTATTATAATTGCCTCCCCCTTTTTTTATTTTACTTTCTGTTAATAAATATATTGTTTCTTGTTTAACGTATTTACTCATTTATTTTTGCGAATAACAATGTTGTGAACTCGAATTTTTGATCAAATTAATTGCCGACAGAGGGTGTTGCAGGCAGTGAATTAATTCCTTCCCCAATGGCTTTTGACCAATGGGGAAGTTGACCAGAAGTGATCAGAAAATGTTTACGTTTAGAATGTGTATAGGCCTAAGTATTTAAGTAGGCCTATGTTGTAAATCTAAGTAGGCCTACATTTCCAGTAAAAGAAAGTTCACAAAGAGCAAGTAGGCCTAAAGTTACTGATTGAGGTTGGGAATAATGTGTATTTAAGAGCAATAAAAACAATTTTAAGTTAGCGCCTAACTACAACTTTTGCTTTTTCTTAACCTGCAAACATAAATTTTCCATATTTAGTTAGGACAACAGTGACAAAATAATTACAGTAACTTATCCCCATCCACTTAAATGAATTGACGATCTCAGACTGTAACTGGACTGGATCCTGGGGTTGATCTTAACAAGCTGGGGTAGACTTCCGTAAGTTATCTGCTGGCACAAACAACCTAATGAAAATAGGTAACTTAAGGTAAGCCCAACCTAACTAACCAAACTATATAAGTTATCGAATGAAACAATCGAATAATAGATATTTTCATTCGGTTGTTTGTGCCAACAGATGCGGAAGTCTACCCACAAGCTGTCATTAGTCACAAGTTTGGCTGCACTTAACTTAAGGTCCTACACTCATTCGATTGAAAATATTGATCGATATATCGATTAATTAATTGTTTCATTCGATATATCGTTTGGTTAGTTAGGTAAGGTTAACCTAGCTTAACAAACCAAACGATATATCGAATGAAACAATCGAATAAACAATATTTTCATTCGAATGAGTGTAGGACCTAAAGTAAAGTGCAGCCACAAGTTTTTCAATCAGTGTTGTCATTGATTTCCCTAGACTATTTGGATGATGCAATAAGCTTAGAATGTTATGGTCATACTGGGAATTTTTATAAGTTAGTTGTTGGCTACTTGCGACCTTGGATGAATCTCGATACAAATTAATTGGCTCTCAATCTAATCAACATGCTGCATGTTGTTTTCGTTGTTAGCCTATGATAAAAAAATTACTTAATGTAAAATTTGCATAAATGAACTAATAGGTTCGCAAAATATTTGCACTGAATCGTTTTACTATTTAATTTATCCTATGTTTGTTTCTTAAAAAAAACAAGGTAGGGCCTATTCTGTATTTCGGAAACAGTTATAGGTATTGTAAAAAACGTGTCATAGGCTAAATAAATAGCCTTCCGCGACTCAAAATTACCTCACTGACAACAGGGTCGTCTTCGTCCTCATTCATCCTTTTACTAATGATAGCCTTAAATTAAGATAATTGAGAAACAAAAGAAACCATTGGTACAAAATTATTACAATTTATACTTTCAAATTAACCTCAAAATTAATTCAACTGGAATTCATCATGTTCAGGAATCAGAATGTTCTGTTCCTATTCTGGTTCTGTTCTGGTTCTGATCTGATCTGTTGTTCTGTCCAGTTCAGTTTCAGTTCAGTTCAGTGCAGTGGCGCTGTGGCTGGCTCGCTGGCTGTGTACTCGTACTCGCTACGCTAGCTTCAGCTACGACCTTCTCACCGCAGTATTTCACCTCCCTTTTTTTAGAACCTTTGGAACAGTTACACGGAACTGTTTGGGATAATGTTCAATACAACTGTGACAAAAAGTATAGAATAGGTTAGGCGAAACCGTTATATTACAAATAGCTCCGTTCCTTCTCAACTTTATTATTTTTCCTGGATACAAATTTAATTATTATGATATACCTTTTTTCCTCCTCCTCATAATAATAACAAGTCTTTTATAGACATGGACATAACCTGTAAGTTAGTTAACTGGTTTCGTTTATTTAATTATTCTTACATTACATCACGAAAACCGGCTTATTCTTAAAAGACAATGATATAATAGCATATTAAGGAAAACTATTCAAAGAAATTGCACAGTTTTGTTAAATTTGCTAACAATGAGAAAGGTTATAAGGTATAAGGTATTGTTGATGGAGCAGGAGTCACAATGAAAAAGCACATACAAATTAAAATCAAAAGTTTTATTATTATATTTATAGTTATATTTTGGATACAGTATTGTGAAGTTCATAATTATAATAAATTTAACTTACCTTCTTCTGTTTCAAAATTCAGCTCCCCAACTATTATTTCAATGGCATGGGCTTCTTCCAGATGCTGGATCAAGTTTTCAAACCACGAAAATTGATGAGAGCAATCACCCTCTGGGCCTCTGGGCAAATAAGCCTTTTCGGGTTGTTTGAACAGTCAGATTGTTCACTACAACAACTATCATGCACATTACGTGTATGGCGCGTTAAATTAAATTTACTAGCAAAAGTGTTTGTCACAAAATGAACATTCAAACTTTTTTGTATTAATATCAGACATACTGATCCAGTAACTCTTTAACTTGAAATTACACCATCGATTTGAGTTGAGATAAAGTTTCCAATTACTTGACAAAATGGAGGTTAAAGACAGAGATCCACGAAAAACAAAATGAACGCCTAAAAAGGAAATGGAATGGAACTCTTTGTTTGTAATGTAAAGGTTTTAACAAATCTATTCCAAACAGTTCCGTGTAACTGTTCCAAAAGTTCAAAAAAAGGAAGGTGAAATACTGCGGTGAGAAGGTCGTGCTTCACCTTGGCTTTGGCGCCTCTGCGCAGCCCACAGCGTAATTTAAAATTATTTTTTTTCTCTTTAAGCAAACATAAACCATATACTATATATAAACCCCCAGCTTTTTCTGTAGAGCTCAGAGTAAATTTGGGTACCATTGATGTTTGAAGTTTTGACTCATATTGTCTGCGAATTATTTAATTTTTGAAGAAATTATTTATTATTCCTTCGAGGGAAGAATCTATCTTTGTGAACTTACTAAGAAGTTTTGATCTCCACATATCCTCGAGGGCTCCGACCAGAAGAAGTGCATGCCTGGATGCTATAGCGACCAACATAAACTCCTGGGACCATAGGACTGTAGTTGTGAAATCACTGGTGGCGGATCACAATGGAGCTGTGCTCATGTCATTGGTAGCGGACCAAATATAAGGACCCAACCTGCATGGTGTGATAACTATCTAATTAAGAAGAGAGTTGTAGATAAGACCTCTCTGCCTTCTTTGAGCCAAGAGCTAGGGAAAGTAAACTGGGACCCAATTCAACATATTCAACATGCCGAATGTGCTTTTTCTGTCTTTTCTAAAGCATACCAAGATAAATTTGATGAGATTTTTCCGTTAAAAGTTTGCAAATTTAAATCTACCTCAAATAAGCCTAAGCCCCCAAATAGCCATAAATCATGGCATACCCCTCAACTTGCAGCAATTCGCTCTCATATGATCCTAGTTCATGATCATTATAAACTTGCCCATAATGAAAATCAAAAAGCTCGCTACTTCCTACTCTATACTAATATAAAACAGCACTATAGTTCTGAAGTTAGAAATGCAAAGAAGGCACACAATGTTAAAGTGATCTCAGAATCTACAAATGCCTGTAAAGCCACGTGGGGGATTGTTAATGAACACCACAAACAAACTCCTGGCCCCATTGCTGCAGTGTCACCTGACGAATTTAATGATTTTTTTGTTGAAGTTCCGGATGTCATAATCTCTTCTTTGCCTTTGTTACAGAATCAGGACCCCATAGAACAACTTGACGATTTTTCCTCAAACCATACACTAACCCATTGGAGCAAGGTAAGTGAAAAACAAATTACTAGTATTGTCAAGGGCTTTAAAGACTCAACTTGCCAAGATATAAATGGCCTGTCAACATCCATACTTAAGAGTACGATAAATGAAATAGTAAAATCACTAACTTACGTACTATACATGGATCATGTACGTACCTGAAAAATTCATGTCTAAGCAATAGTATTTTTCCGAACTGTCTTAAAATAGCAAGAACCATTCCAATTTTCAAAAAGGGAGACCGTTCAGTGATGTCCAACTACAGGCCAATCTCCATACTACCAGTGTTCTCCAAGATCTTTGAGACCATCATGAAAATCCAACTGATGGCCTACCTTGAAAATAATCACTTTTACTTTCTGAGGCGCAACACGGTTTTATAGGCGCGGACGCTCAACGACCACTGCATTGACGTTCCTTGTTGAGAAAATCACTAAAGCCTTTGAACAAAGCGAGTTAGTCCTTCTAAGACTCTGCGATCTGAGCAAGGCCTTCGATGTTGTGGGTCATGATCTGCTCATAGCAAAACATAGAAAGTATGGAGTTGGAGGTGCTGTCCTTGACACATTGTCATGCTACCTGGCTGACCGCAAGCAGGTTGTCTCCCTGAATGGTGCTTCCTCTTGTATTAGAGACGTCCCACACGGAGTACCTCAGGGCTCGGTGCTAGGCCCAATCCTCTTTACCTTGACGATAAACGACCTGTGGCTTGATGGATCCACCATGTTATTTGCAGATCACCCTCATATCACAAGGGAAGGATATTGGACAGGTTCGGACGGAGGCTGACCACCTACTGGAACGGGCCAAAGACTGGTTTAACATGGACCAATTCAAACTGAATGAAGACAAAACTCAATCGCTGCTGTGCACCCTGAAGCTTGATCTGCATAAAGACGAGGCCGCGAAACTTCTTGGGTTTTGGCTGGACCCCAGGCTAAGTTGGAATACACACATAGATAAGGTATGTACTAAACTTTCGAGAGTACTATGTCTTTTAAGAAAGCTTCGTTACGTCATCTCAACGACCTATCTACTAAATGTGTATTATGCACTTTTCCATAGCCATGACACCTATGGCAGGGACACGCTCCACTAACTCAGGACATTCTCCTCTTACAGAAGAAGGCTGTAAGAATTATAACATCCTCAGACATTGACGAACACTGCCGGCCTCTCTTCATGGAGTTAGGGATACTAACAGTGCAATGTCAATATGTCCTAAGCAGCCTGCTACTCCTGAAAGATAACCTTCACCGTTTTGAAATGAGGCAAAACCAGCATAGCCATAACCCTCGTAAGGCCCAAGACCTCGATCTGCCACGGTGTAGGCTTAGCCACTCCATCAAAAGCTACCCTCGCTCAGCTATCAAGATCTTTAATACGCTGCCAAAAAAGTGAGAGAGTTGGACAGTGTGAAGTTCAGGGCAGTATTGCACGGCCATCTGGTTAATAGACCCCTCTACTCATTAGAGGAATTAAAGGGGGTGCCACTAAAAGTTAGCTGAAAACAGCACTCCAGGTTAGGAATAAAATCGCCACAGCCAAATAACAAAAATTATTTTTTTAAGTGTATTTCTGCAAGAAGTTTGTAAATATTAGTTTTTAAATAATTTGTAAATAGTATGAATATGCCTCTGACGCAGTCTATCCGACATTGTCGGTCAAGGATTAAGGACACAAGTATCAAGCCAAGTAAGAAAGTACCTATAGACATAGATAAATCATACTTAGTCTATGCTATAGAGTAAATAGTTACTTCACTATAGGGAAACTCGCTACCACAAAAGAATAATAAAACGTTGAGGGCAATATATAAGATAATTAAATGTTATAGGATATGAAGATCAAATCAAATAGATAAATGATTTGAGGAGCCTAATGAGACTAAACCCACATAGGGTTGTAGTGCCAAGGAGTAAAGTAAGTAAATATATGAGGCTAATTGAACCTGCCACTACAAAAGAGTAGTGGGTCGAGGTGGTGGGTTAATAATTGACGTGTGCGTTTTCGGCCACCTTTAACTCCAGGCCGCGGCCTTTGAAGTGGCAACGCCGCAAGTAGGGTTGTAACAGTTGTTTTATTATTTGGATGCAGCTCATATGGTATTTGCATGTTTTTAAAAATACGACAGCTTGGTTACTGTGCTATGAAAATATTGACTCCACTTCAAATTTTTTTTTTCACAATTTTATTTACAATCTGTTCATTTTTAGAACATTTAGCAAATACAATAACAACTTTTAATAAAACGTTAGTTAATCTCTGTCCATTGACAGAGCTAACTTAAAAATATTTCAATGAAAAAATAAATATGTAAATAAACAAGGGAAAATTAAATTGTTCAAACAAAACGTGTGCTTAGATCCAAAACATGAATCCTTTTTAGCCTGTATATACTGGTACTGTTGTCCAAGAGGTTTAGAGCCAGGTGATTAGGGTGATTTTCAAGTTTCTTTAGATATTTTGCACTAAATTTGGTTATTTCCTCTTCAACCGTAGGAATTCCACTGTCCTTGTGAAGGATATTGTTATTAACATACCACGGGGCTTGCAGAATGAACCTTAAAACTTTTGACTGAAATCGTTGGATGATGTTTATGTTCGACATACTGGATGTTCCCCACAGTTGGATTCCATAAGTCCAAATTGGCTTCAGGATTACTTTGTATAGTAATAATTTGTTTGCAATGGTCAATTTTGATTTACTATTTAGGAGCCAGGAAAGATTTTTAAATTTTGAATTTAGGTACATTCTTTTATTCCAGATACGGTTTTTCCATGTTAATCTTTTGTCAATCGTCATGCCGAGGTATTTTACTTCGTGGGATTGCGGAATTTGGATATTATTTAAGGTTACAGGAGGACAAGTACCTAATTTGGTAGTGAAGGTCACATGAGTAGATTTGCTCTCATTCACTTTTATTTTCCATGTTTGCAACCATTCTTCTAAGTCATCTAGGGAATTTTGAAGATTAAGTGAAGCTACCACTGGATCAGGATGGGACGCTAAAATAGCTGTATCGTCAGCAAAAGTGGCCACAGAAGTATTCACATTTTCAGGTAGATCGGCTGTAAACAGCGTATATAGTACAGGTCCGAGAACACTTCCTTGGGGAACGCCAGCTTGAATTGGGTACAATTTTGTAATGCTATCTCCAAATTTAACTCTGAAATATCTATCGGTTAGGTATGATTTAATTGTCATATAAAATGTATGAGGAAGATTCAGTTTGAGTTTATAAAGTAGGCCTGTGTGCCAAACTTTGTCAAAGGCTTGACTTACATCGATAAAGACAGCTGTACAATAGTTCTTTTTCTCAAGGTCTTCTTTAATTGTATTAACCAATCTATGTACTTGTTCAACTGTGGAATGCTCCCGTCGAAACCCAAACTGATGATTTGGAATCAAATCACTTCAAATGTACAAAAATATATTTTCAATTTAAATATTGTTTTGGTTTTCAATTCTATATGTTTTATTTTCAATTTTTTAATAAATTTATGTTCATAAATTTACATTTAAGGCGAATTAATAGCTGGTGTCACCTATCTGCCATGTTATCTTATGGGACGTCTGGCGCTAGACAATACTACTTGCAACGTTGCAGATTCTACCAGGCCGCGGCTTGAAGTTAAAGGTGGGCGTGGTGCGTACCGCGTCTAGGTGCAACCACAACTTAAATGACTTCGTGAACCACTGAGGTTGGGTCTTTGGAACGGGATATTATGGGGTTTTGAAATTTTCAAAACATGGGGTTGTGCCAATTTTTACTCTTTAAACATGAAAAAGCCCGATTTTCAAATACTACCATCGTGTAGAGTTTAAAAAACTGTTAGCATTGTAAAATTAAAGGTTACAGAGAAAATATATAAAACCGTATATTTAAGATTCCCATTTTAATCTAATGGAGAACAAACTTTTGTGGTTTATTGTACTTTATGGATATAGAGTATAGAATGAGTAAAATCCAATCAGAATAATTGAAATTCATTTTGTTTGAGTTAATCCTCCGAATTACTGATAAATGCGTGTACTGGTGCAAATACCTGCTGTCAGGTGATCGTTGCAACCTTGAAAGGCGGCCGGTTTTGATCCTAACGCGATCATCTTTAGGCGAACATCGTTATTTGTAGGCTATTTCATTCTTACAAACACGTCGTTTTGAAAAAAAACATTGAAACATTTTTTTGAAATACTTTTACAAATTAAAGTTTGCTTAGTCTGAGGGTTTGCTGTGGCGGGGGTATTTATTAGAGTACTGTAATGTACTGTAAAATTGTTATCTAGTTCTTACTTAGTCCCTAGTCAACTGTTACCTAGTCTTTCAAACACTTTGTTTAAGTACCTCACTTTTTGTTTCTGTATATAGTTCTGTGTTTTTCAAAATGATTTTTAACTATTTATTTTCTTGTTGTCTTTTTTATATTTAGTGAAGATTCCATGTTATACTATCTAGAATCTATTGCCCTTTTTGGCACCTTTTTTTGTTAACGAGGTCTATTGTAACCATTGAGATATAGATTATATTATTATAGCTCAGTGATTGTAACATCTGTTATTTAATGACCAATAAAGATTTATGATTTACTAGCAGAGCACCCGTCCTTCGTACGGGGTTGGGATATAATTATAAAATGCTTATTGCAGTTATACTCAAGCTTTGCGTTTGCAATGGGGGGAGGACACAGTTTGATACAATTTGGTTCATAAATTTACGGTATGATATAGTATAACACATCTATTATTGTCATAATGTTCTACCATTTCACCTAAAGAATAGAATAAAATAAATTATCAAACATTCGCACAATATCACAAATGATTCATTAAATTAAAAACTCAAACCTAACTGTGAAAAATCCTAATTTGACAGCTCTTATTGTGTATCATAGCTTTTTGTTGCTGCTTTAGTTCAAATTAGCTGTTGTCATATATGCACAAACAAAATAATAATAGTGCTCCACCCTGTTGGGAAACCTTATAACTTTTTAATGCTATTGCATATAATAGAACCAACTTGTAAAGTTTAAACAACTGACTAAATTCTTTAATTCCCTTTAAAAATGAATACTCTTAAGGTTAACATGGGGAACTACAGACCCACTGGGGCGGAGCCCGAAAGGAATTTTGAGATAATAATATGCCTAAATGTTAAGCGGGAATGAGCTATCATCATGCCAAATTTCAGCCCAATCCGTCCAGTAGTTTATGCGTGATTGAGCAACATACCCACAAACTTTCAGATTTATAATATTAGTAAGATGATTTAATGGGTTGTCATAAATTACGAACCGGCTTTTTTAAAGTTCCTTTCAGATAATAATACACAATATGTTTACTTTTGGCAATCCGACCTGACGTCTTGTGTCTATAATTATAAATTCATATCGTTTCTGTTCTAATATCCGTGCTAAATACAAAATGGTAAAGCTGCATGACAGTCAAATTGGCTAGAACTTAATCGAGTAATAAACAGTTTTTAGCAGGAAAAAAATGCAGGACAGTTGTTTTGTTTTGTCCGTCGTCTGTGTGCCATGTCCTGTCAGTCAGTCAGTTGTTTTCACCCTTCCTTCTCCTTCTCAGTTATCAGTGTTTAGTTAGTTTTGGTTTCGGTTTGTCTTGTCATTTGTTGCTGTGTGTACCACTGCTACTACTAGGCTAGCTACCAACAGTCTATTATTAGGCCTACCCTATGTATATAGTTAAGTTTACTTTGGTTTTACTAAAAGGCCTACATGCTAGTTCTGAGTTGATCGGTCGTCGTTGCATATTAAATGACTAGACAACTTATAATGAATCCCTCCGACATTATATAAAAAGGTAAAGAAAAACAACAATACAAATGTGGTTTTGTAAGTTTATGGTACCTATGTTATTATTTTTACCTTTTTATCTTAACACCCAGTAGCATACAAGACTATCAGTAAGATAGGCTCTCTAAAATGCAACACAGGCTTCTAGAGCGATTTTTTTACTGAAAATTTAGTGATGATTTATCTGAGTGTAACTAAATAGGCTAGGCCTATTTGTTAAAGTTAAAAATTGACTAGGCCTATAGGATTTAAAAATTAAAACTGTTATTAACTTAGGCCCTACTTACTTCAGGCTTTTAACATGTATAGACACTATCATCACTTTTAATACTTACGGTAATACTTTTTTATGAAATGGCGACCATACATAGTTTAGGTATTTTAAGCCAAGTATGAATGAAGATGAGTGTAGGATGAGTGGCGCAATCTTGTAGTCTTGTTAGTGACTAAGGCCGACATTCCTTAGACACAGCTGTTAATTAATAGCCCATACAGCTAATGGCAACTAAGGGACCTACAGTTTATAGTGGAATCCGAACCACAATTTTTGCCTTGGTATATACAAATTGGTCTAATTATCAGGATAGCACTGCGGGTAGTCGTAGTACTCACTAGTGCGGACGTTAATCCACACCAGGGAGTATCGCATCCACAGTGCATGCCTATAAATATCCACAATTCGTGACCTCATAGTAGCTGGATTACAGGACGACGCCACCCGTCCCAGTCATTTCCTATGTTTTTAATTATTTCCTAAGCATTGCCTTTTGGTGTTGGCAGACAGTGGTGTAGTTTTACAATTTGCAGTGTAGCCCCTAGTAAAACTCTTTGTCACTGTCTTCTAGAGAGTAAGTTTATAGAAAGAAATTGTGTGTAAAAACCGACAATAGCAATCCTATATGACACATCTAAGTTAATGGTGTAACAACACACTAAAGTATTAGTCTTAGATCAGACTCAGTAGGGTGTTTCAGCATTTTGGTTGAGCCGCAAGGACTTAGTAAGTAGGGTATTTTATTTTACGATTTCGGAAGGGCGGCTAAGGACTCAGTAGTGTGGTCTATTTTTTTTGGCAGGACAGTTAAGGACTCAATTGGCTGTTTTTTCGTTTCAGCAGAGGAGCTAAGGACTCAGTAGGGTATAATATATGGTTTCAATAAGGCAGCTAAGGACTTAGTAGGGTGTTCTATCGTTTTGGCAGGGGGGCTAAGTACTCAGTAGGTTTTTACTATTAGACTACCGTATCTCATCAAAATGATGGTTGTATTTGCAAAATGATCATTTTTCACTTGACAGTCGTGCATCTTACTCAGCATCTAGGCCTAATTACATTCCATTGCATAAGAGCTTTGTCATTTGAGAGCTCTGTTATTGTTTTGGCTTTGTCAGACCACCATGCTCAGGCTGTTCTTATCTATCTCATCTGACCGCCCCCTCAAAATAACACGATTTGCCAGATCATTTAACGAATCTAACAAGAGGGTTTTCAAATGCCTTTTAGGACAAGAAACTTCGACAGACATGATGGAGACTGATGATGTTGACAAATAATTTGAAAAAATATTACATAAAACCAGTTCAAGTACTTGTTTGACATTGCTTTCCCAAAAAAAAATATTCCTGTAAAACAAAGGATCGGAAGTATTTAAATTCCATGCTAGTAAAGATATACTTGCATCGGAAGTATTTAAATTCCATGCTAGTAAAGATATACTTGCAATGAAGGGAGAGGTACTCTTTTGTTACAAAGAAACAAAGGACCTCGATTCCTCTCACGTCTTAAGACACCATTTTCATCAACTTAAATCTAAATATCGCAGAATGATAAGAAGTGCCAAATCCAAAGTAGGCCCTAGTATCCAAAAGAATTGATAGGCCTCATTTTTCTTATTCCCAACAGTAGAATCCAAAATAAAACAAATGATTCCTCAGTTGAAAAACAAGATAAGCTCAGGAGCTGATGAAATACCGTCAATGATTTTAAGAGAGTCTTTAGACTTCATCGTCAGTCAACTAACCCATCTCATAAACCACTCTTTTCTGCACGGACAATTTCCCAATACGCTAAGACTTGCAGTTGTAAGGCCAATTCTCAAAAGGGTGACCATACAAAATGTGATAATTATAGGCCCATTTCTATCCTTCCGAGTCTGTCCAAAATATATGAATAGGCTGTTTTAGAGAGGCTCTGGGCTTTTTCTAAAAAGAATAATATAATAGGGGCCTATACTTTGTTTGATACATTTTACAAACATTGCTGAGACCCATATGGACTGGTTGAAGAGGTTGCCAATCTCTTTGCTGAAAGAAAACCAAGTTACGTAAGGCTTGTAGTATGGTATTTTTTCAATTTTATTTGTTAAATATACCGTAGCCATTTTCATTGAAGAAATTTCCTCGTTGTTACAGGCTGCAAAATTCCTTCTTTGTCCTTTGGTTGATTATTTTTGTAGTTTTTAAGGTAGTAAATGAAGAAAAGCGCTCCTTTGTAGTATTGTTTCTTTTTTTTTGCGTCTTTATACTGGCCAGAGTTAGTTTTAAGCTTTAAAACCCATCTTGATGCAAGTTTATATTTCAAATTTTAAAGTGGAATTTATGAATTTATCATCCAACTATAAATTATATTCTCCTGCTGAGCTCAAATTATATTCCCTACTCCAATTTAATCGTAAATCAGGGCAATTTAATTTTAGTTAATTTTTAAAATCTAGGATGTGAGGAGATGCTGCGTCATGGAGTCAACAAAAGGATGTTTTTGGCGTCCCTGCTCCTTGTACTTGTCTTCCTCTTGTATGTCATGTACGTTGTCAACTACTGTGTCATCACCAATTTACACAGGCTTCTTAAAGAGGTGAGTAATCATAGGTCACTTCTTAATACAGGGGGGGGGGGTAAGGATAAATGTAGGCCTACAGTCTTCAACACTTTTTTTTACCTCTCATCTAACATAAGCCCGGTTTACATGACCCGTTCCCGACCGCCCTGTCACCTGGTTGACAGAGTGTTATATTTATACAACCGGTTTTCTGCCTCCAATCTGATCTCAGCGCGTTGTTTTCCTTCATCAAAGAACGTCATTATTTCAAAGTGTAATGTAATGGCTCCGTATTTATAGAAGCGGCAAGTTTTTGGAATAACATTAACTGAATAACTAGTGTACATGCTGCTCAAATTTGAGCAATTTCAAAGTATTACAGGCGTTATTTAAAAACAAATAACAGTCATAATTTCCGATGAGTTTAAAAGTGTCAACTTAAAGATTGTAACTAATGGAAGTGCTCACGATGTCCATACCAGTTCCATATAATCAACATTTCTTTTAAATATCATTTTTCAAAAGCTGATCTTGTTTAATAGAGTTTTCTACAAATTAGTCCCACTCATAGCCGCATTTTAGTACATTATACGTCCATAATGTATATGTCCATGATTATATTCGTCATTGATAATGCAGCCTGCATGGTACCACCATTGTCCCCAGTATTCTTACAAATTTCTGTAATTTTTTATAAATAGCGATACAATTTGTTCACATTACTTAAGAAATACCTGGATTTCTTGCATAACCCGGTCTGTCTGAATTTTATTTGCTTCAATTGGCATTCTTTTGGTTAGTTGCTGTAATAACATAAATTATATTAACCTGAGAAAATGCAGAATTTAAAGGTCTGATGTTTTTCAAATGGTTTTTCCCCCCACTTAACTGAATCCTTCAATGTAAGTTACAGTAAAAGTTTCTTGGATGTACTGTAGTCATATTCTTCTAAAATCATTTGACTTTTATGAAAAAATATGTATGGTATTTAATGTCCTTGCCGTGGTACCAGTTTTATTTAGCCTTAGAGAGGTGTCCTCTGCAATTATCACAAAGTTATTCCGTGTTTCCTACTAAAAATGGTAGCACTTCGGCTAACATCCTCGTTCATCGTTTGTAGGAATCTTCATCTTGTAGGCGATCGTCATTATTAGGCTAATAACGATAAAAAATCCTTAAAAAGAATATCATCTTTACTTCTTCTACTTGGTGGGGTTCTATGAATTGTCTATGTTTCTACAGTTGCTCCAGAAATACAGTACTGTGTCAATTTATTTTTATTATTTGGTGAATTATAACAAATTGTCCAGGCTTTCTCAATATGTACTTACGCAAACCCAAATTCAAATAGTATATATTAAATTTCAACTAAATCAGTAAATCCTTCTAATGTTATAAGTGAGAAATTTTGGATGTATGGATGTTTGTAACAAGTAAACGCAAAAAATACTGGTCGGATTGGTCTGAAATTTTGTGTGATGATAGCTCACAACTTCCTAAAAATTTAAGGTCAGTTGGGAAATCTATATGACACGCTCTTTCTGATGAAACGTGAATGGTCAAAATCGGTTAAGAAGGTTAATCTTTACATCTGTCCTGATAGTGTATGTGGATTTGAAAGCATAGTTTTCAAACTTTTTACCACCACATTACATTGTGTATGAAAAAGTTTAAATGTCTCTAGCCCTTTAGCCCACAATTTTGTTTAATATAATATAACTAATCTGAATATTAATTTTGTTTAAGGGCCAGGACAGTCTTACCGAAAGACAAGCAAGTAAACACTTACCCCCACCTCGATCTCAAACGGTTGTAAGGTTGGTACCTCTGGTGAGTTGGTCTGGACTACAAGGTGATGTGATGCAGGTAATTATATTACAGTACTATTTTATCAATATTTAACTCCCCTTTAAGTATCGTGATGGAATGGGAAAAAAATTATTGCTTACCAATAGTAATTGTTAGCAATAGTCAGGGTGACTGCTGACATAGTTTTAAGACCACAAATATGGCAATCTGTCCGCTAAAGATTATGTTAATTTAGCACCATCTGGGAGAGTGGAGTAGACTACTTTTACCACTATCTACTTTTGCTGTTCACATTCCACTTTGTGTAGTCATTATCCCATTCATTTTGCAATGTCTGTATAACTTTTTAAATTTTATTTTTTCACTCTAAAATAAAACTTGTAATTATATAGGACCATTAATTTTCAGCAGTACTCAAAAGCTCTGTCCGACAAACCACAAAAGCTCTGTTTCTGTTGTATTTTGAAGTAGGTAATGGTTGTTAAAGCACTGTGGATTATCTTGAGGTTACTATGAGTAATTGTACAATGTCTCAGCACAAATTGTCCATCTAAGCCTTCACCAACAAACTTTGCTAAATGGAAGTTGTGATACACAGGAAGAGAACGTGTCTCCCAAGTATAGGTTCTTGCATCAACAGTCGCTCAAGGCCATCCGCAGACTTCCGCAAGCATTAATCATAGGAGTAAAAAAAAGTGGGACGAGAGCGTTGTTGGAGTTTGTTCGGCTTCATCCTGATGTGAGGGCAGCTGGCTCAGAAGTGCATTTCTTCGACAGACACTATAGCAAAGGGTTCAGCTGGTACAGGTGAGTCTCTGTTGAAAATATGATTCATGTGTGATTTTTGCAGTAAACTATCAGTCACAGGGAATGGGTTCTAGTTAAAATGATTAAGTGCTTTGATAGTTTTACAAATGAGGAATTTTTGAGCTTATGTTGAATGATTGGAATCAATTTTTAAGCATAAACTTGGGTTCCCAAGGTGGTGTTTTTTCCATTAATTTAACTGCCTGTTAGAGTTTGCCTGTTGTTTAAGTTTTGTTGTGTAGAATCAACTCTTCTTCACAGCCCACAATAGCAATCATGGCCATTTAAAAATTAAATTGCCAAGTTGTATTATGTAAATTGTGTTAAACATTTGATATTATTTTTATTAACAATACTTTAACTAAAATTGATTCCTACTAGAAAAGGTGAGTTTTGTGTAACTAATGTTATATTCCGTTTTGTAGGAGACACATGCCACCAACATTGGAAGGTCAGGTTACCATGGAGAAGACACCCAGCTACTTTGTGACCCGGGACGCCCCTGCTCGGGTCAAGCATATGGATCCAAACACCAAACTGCTGGTCGTAGTCAGAGACCCTGTGACACGGGCCATCTCTGATTACACACAAGCAATCAGGTACAACAGTAATAATCTATCTATCCACACCAGAGTCCCACCTATCCGAACCCCCTTAGTCTGAACTTCTAGCTAATCCAAACCACCTCCTGGGAAAATAGCTTGCTGTATTCAAATTTGAAATAGATCTATGTGTTCTGAAATACTAACCCGAGTGCCGAGCTAACCTGAGAACCGGGAAATTCAAGAATTTTACGTGACTTTTACGGAAAGTAAATAAAAGAAACGTCTTATAACACTAAAAACATATATTTACGCTTATACTGTTACTCACAAGGCGGTAAATATACATAAAACATGAAAAGTGGTGATCAATTTCGATTGGACACTCCAATCATCATCAGACCCAATAGGCGAATGGGTCGGATGCTCAACTTTTTGTGATGCAATTAAGTTTCTGTAGGAAATGTGTCAATCTCTCTGGATTATTTTTACCAGTTGACAAATTTGTATGTAGAAAAGGGTTTTGACATAAACAATGTGCATGGGTGGCTTAGAGAATTTGCAGATAGCTGAGAATTCAAAGAAACCTTGTTTTCTGATCAGCGTGTGTCAGACTTCCAGGGTTAACTGTAGTCCTTCAGAGTCTTATAGAGACGTTTCTCATATGCTTTCAGTCCCATCATGATTCACATGCAAAATTACCCTAACTTTAATTCCTGTTATGACAGCAGTCCGCCTACATAATGGGAAATATGATGCTTTGGACCATCTCCAAAGTCTCTCTACCCATTGTGCAAATTTTTACACCTGCACATTTTACGTGGCAGGCATAAATTTTCTTTCACAATGCTTTAAGTAAGGGACACAAGGTTGATCTCAGATTCTTAGAGACTTAGTTTACAGACAACCCTCCTACACTATAGCAATTTTTAAAATGACAAGTCAACTTCCAACTGAAATAATTGATTATGAGTTCAGCAAATTTCATATAGATAGGTTGGTGCCTCACAGCTATTCATAATTTAATTTTAATATTTATTAACCTTTCACAATTATAGCACAAGTAGTGGGGTTTAAATGTAATTTGAAAATTGATAATTTTATAATAATTTAAGGAGAGCACAACAAGATTTATGGTTATAAAAAACCTAATCTGCTGGTTCTTTTGAAATTGGCGTTTTGCATCGGTTTTACTGATATCAGAATGTTTTCAGCAAAAAAACTGGATCACCCATGAAAAAGTTTGAAGAACTTGCTTTTGTGAATGGAAGCGTCTGGGGGAGTGTAGACACAAGGTTAGTTCAAAGATATTGTTTGTCTACCTACCTCTACTTTTCTTACCCAAGAAAAGGACCTAAACTTAAGTAGTGTTCTGACCATCAGGCAATAATTTGGTTGTCTTAGGATTTTCATCTGGAGCATTGAAGGAGAGTGACACTTATCATTTAGTATACAATTATTGACAAAGTCTCTCAGGAGACGAAATATTGTGTATTTTCTGTGTCATCTTTTGTTCTACCACCTACCTGGACTTTTTCTTAGATAAGCTAGCTGCTATCCCTTTATTCTACAAACCAAAATCCTGACCACGAGCCTTTCCCTTAAGAAAACTAACCGTAGTTGTTCTTATTAGTTTATAAATACATACAACACTTTTGCATTATATAGTCTTTTATAATCGGATTTTCATCCCATCAAACAAGTTGTTCGAATTTGTTTTCCAACCGAAGTAGCTTGACCCTGTATTATTCTTCTTTTTCACCCTAGGTGGGGACCTGTAAGGATTGGTGTGTATGCTCGTCACTTGGAGCGCTGGCGTCAACATTTCCCTCTATCACAGATGTTGTTTGTCAGTGGAGAGAGACTCATCGTAGACCCAGCAGCAGAGATGGCTCGAGTCCAGGTAACAGAACCAGCTAACCTCAAGTTAGTATCAAAACACCTATTGTAGGGTGCCCATATTGTCCAACTATTTCAGAAATTGAGTAATGTCATTCTACCATCCTAGGACACAAGGCCCTAGCCTGTAACAAACAATAGAGGGTTTACCGCTGTGAAATAAAACATGTATATGATTTTTTTCAAGTTTACTATTTGTCAATTTATTATTACAGGATTTCCTCGGATTGAAACGAGTTGTTACGGAAAAGCACTTTTACTTCAACACAACTAAAGGATTTCCTTGTTTGATGAAGTCGGAGGGGCGAGCCACACCTCACTGCTTAGGAAAGACGAAAGGGCGGAACCACCCTCACATCCGCGCAGCCGCTTTGGCTCGCCTACGTGACTTCTACCGTCCCTTCAATCTAAGGTTTTACCAACTAACCGGCGTCAACTTTGGTTGGCCTTGAAATAAAATTAATTTCCTCATAATTTTATAATTTATTTAAAAGAAGTTAATTGAGGATAAAGTCATTTAACTTTCTCATGTCAGTTAGAAAGTCCTTAAGTACTACATCTTATCTCTTTGTTTCATATTAAATTTATATATATATTTTTAAATCAAACAATTTATACTCTGAAAGCAATATTTTAAAGATATTTAACTTCCAATATTTGTTTTGTAGTGGTTTTCAGAAACTGTAGGGTTAATAAAAAGTCTGAGGATTCCTTAATATTTTTTGTATAGGCAATATTAACATTACTTAATTTATAAACTTTAACTTAGCGTAAGGGTTATTTTAGCAAAAAATGGGGCATTTTGGAGGCAGCCCCAAATTTATAAATGTACCCACTTTGAGTGACTCCTTACTTTTAAAGTATTCAACAAATAGGGAATGGTCTATATATCCTAACCCAGTACAAAATGACAGGCATTTCCAATTTATATAAAATAATGATTGTACACACAAAATGTTTCTTTAGTTATTATTTTCACAAATACCTTCGACTATAACCACTCGGGGAACAGGTAAAAGTTAGAACATACCATGTAGCTATTGTTTGAGTGCTATTTTTTTTTTTCATCTAGTGATAAAAATAACTCATTGATATCATATTAGACAATTACGCTTCCTCTTACACTAAACATATCAGTAATGTCTCAAGTTAAATACAATCTGTACTGGAACTAAATAATATGTTAAACAATTTATTAGAGAACAAACTTTTTACATATAAGATTATGAATATCAGCTAGGTCGATGTTTCAAAACAACGTAGAATGGCCTAATTGAAACCTAATGAGTGAGTTAAGGAAATATGACGTCCCAAATACTTACAATCTTTTTAATGGCAATTTATTAATTATTTAAGGCAGTGTGATACCTGAGTACAATTTTACTGTTAAATGCTTTCACTATATAGTTTTAGACTTTTGTTAGCGATATACACATGTAGTTTATACAGGTCAAAACTTATTGTAAGCTGTGCAATGTACCTTGCACATTTTAGATCAGCAGTATTTTAGAGTAGATTTGTAGTATTTATTGTAGTCGGCTTATTTGTAGATGTAATTGTTTGTTGTTATGAGTAGACCAGGTGGGATTTGAGGACAACCTTGACTTTTGGCCAGAGGTCAAATCTCCCCTGGTCTACTATCATGGCAGTTCAATGTGCAATAACTTATACTGCTTTGCTTCAAACTTAATGGAGCCCTGACTGAGATAACAACATCGGGCAGAGTTAGTTGTTGGCTATCAAGTTTAGCCAGCTGTTTAATGCATTTAATGCAATGCCTCAGCTTCAGCTGAATAACATTTTAATTTAATTGATGTTTTTGTATTCGGTTAGTTATCAATAATTAATATTTATAAATTAAATTTAACAATTTAAATTTAAGATTTTCATCACCTCATTGAAATTTGCCTAAATAGGAGACAAAGTAAAAACATCACAAAGTGTAGCTGATGTTGATTATTAGCATTATCATGATTGTATTGAATAAGACTTAACAAGTAAATGATCATCCCTTTAAGCCCCAAACGCCAGTATCAAGGTGGTAATAACATCACACAATTTTGGCTTACAACTATTTATGCAATCAAAACTTAACAAGTAAATGATAATCCCTTTAAGTCCCAAAAGCCAACAACATCAATATCAAAGAGTTAATAACATCAAACAATTTTGACTTACAACTATTTATGCAAACAAAACTCAACGGAAGTGGGTGAAAAATGTCCGATCTCCGGTTTGCGAACTTGTTAGAATGAACGTAGAATTATATGTTTGTACCAAATTTCATTAAAATCCGATGATTTTTGCTCGAGTTATAGTGCTAACTGAATATATGTACAGTCCAACCTCAGTATAACGAATCTGAAGGGACCGAACTGAATATTCGTTATATGAAGGATTTCGTTAAAATGAGGTTCGTTATATAGAGGTTAGGTTTGCAGGAATTTCGCTAAGTCAAGGTTCAGAACCAGCGTCGGTCAATATAGGCCGGGATTTGACCTCAATAAAACACAATTAAAGTAGCATAGGCTACAATACTTTACAGTACAGTGTTCATTGTACAGTAGAACAGTACAGTATCCAATAGTCAATGGTAGAACCTAAATTATCCGGCATAATAAAGGTGAGGGATCTTGAATATTGCGCAATCATGACAATGGCATTGACCTTGGTACAGGTTAAAACTGTAAGTTTAAAATCACAGCTTGTTCTAACCCTCCTAAAACCTAGCCAAACACTACATTGCATAGTCATAAACCATGTAAAAAACAAAACAAAACAGTAGAAAGTTTTGTAAGCTACTGACGACTCCGTGATAGGCCGATAGGCTACTTACAGTACAGTACTGATTTATCACATCAGAGGAATCTCAATAATAATCATTAACTATAGCATTGGTGTTGCTAGTTGAAACAAATCGTATTGAAAACAATAAATTATTAGATAAGTCATTATAAAAGTTCATATTCATAGCCAACTTAAAGATAATAAAAACACTCGTAAATTAAGGAATGTTAAAATAACGATGTTGCTATTCTTTCTCTTTGCTTTTGTTTTTATATTCTTTCTTAAATTTCTCTTTATTCAAAAATTGTACAATTCACCATATTTACTTCTCACCCAATCACAGCTTACTACAGAAAATGTCGTCATCACTCATCAGTCCTCAGGGAATGAAATCAGTTCTCAGTTGCAACATTGCGTGCGCAGTGACAGCAGACAGAGAGATGTGTAAAACGGAGCAGACGAATGTTAGCGCAAGCGATGACGTCACCTTTCCATTTAATTTGATAAAGAAACAGATTTTCCAAAAACAATACTGGGGTGGGGGATTCGTTATATCAAGGGAAAGACGTAGACAATTCGTTATGCAGAGGTTAAATTCACAATGTAGAGGTTCTGACAATGATAAATTCGTTATATTGAGAGGTCTTATTTTAGCCGAAATCACGAAAAATTCGTTAAATCAAGGTCGTTGTTATGTTTTGTTCGTTATGTAGAGGTAAAATATACATAGTCTCTTATGGAGAGTTCTAGGGGATTAAAAAAATTTCGTTATATCAAGGAATTCGTTATATTGAGGTTCGTTATATCAAGGTTAGACTGTATATGAATTTGAACGAATGGTGTTTTTGACCTCTGTGGACATCAAAACAAAAAATTAAATCAGTCCCAAGTCTACTATCAAGTCTGGTAGTATCAAGTCAGTCTTGGGTAGAGGCAAAGACTGGTAGTATCAAGTCCAGGTCTTATCATGAAACCTACGGTAATAGATTATTCCCTATATGGGAAATTCACTAAAATGTATGTAAATAATAAATCAATCAGTAATACCAGGGGCTCAAAGGGTTCTAAGAAAATTGACCCATGAAAAATAACCAAATCTACAATCGCCAATAAGAAGTTAAAAAAATACCTATAAGTACTTATCAGTAACTGTACAAGAACTCAATACCAGAGACAATCAACAATTGTTTGTCGTTTAACATAGCCTAACAAGCTATTACTACCAAGGTTTTACAGGTTGTTATACATATTTTTATACCATCTTAGTTTTAAGGATTTTTGTTATAAGTCGCCTTATTGGGTGTTATAATTTAGGATTTTTGTTAAAGCGTTATTAGTTTATATGTTTGTTTTTTGTACACTGTTACCATATACAAGTTTGCCTTAGTTTATTCAAAAAAATTGAAAACATTAATTAATTAAAGAACAACACATTTACCCTTGTTAATTAATAGTTTATATCATCACTAAGGCGTGAAGTGACTCTTTTCGACCTGAGCTCAAAGTCACTTTTTGCCTGTATGATGTTTCGTCATATTGCACCATTATTTGAACAAACAATGTTACAAAACTAAAACAGTTTTCATTTAAAGATAACCTCTTGAAACAGCTTCTAACTTGTTTTCAATTTAATTTGCTAATGGAAACAAGCAGCTGTTTAGTAAGTGATCCCATCGTTTTGTCTATTACGATTGTGCGAGTACTTTATACTTTTGTTATGTCAAACTATTTACATAAGGCAACAATAAGCTACAATCGATTAAACGATCGATACATACCTTTGATAAATGCGATTGTTTACAATCTAAATTTACAACTGAGTTGAATCAGCTGATTTTTACTCCCTAGGGGCAAAAAAAAGCTTGGAGTAAAAATTAAAATGCTATTATAGATCCGCAATTCATGCATTCAAAGGGCTGTTTTGCTGCAGTATGAGGGAAAAAAATGTGTATGCTTGTTTGGAACATGTTTTTTGTGAATATAGTCATAGACAAAAGAATTAAATATAAACTGAAAAAGGAAGGTTCTGTGATGTGCCGCTAGAGCGTGCTCAGTGTTCGTCCATTCGCTGCCATCATCGATTCACCGTCTGCCACCAGCACTACCCCCCTTGCAAACGAAATGGTACTAACATATCAGACCCACTTTTCAATGTGGGTAAAGTACAAAATTCTGAAATCCTGTAATTTTAACGGAAAACCCCCATATTTTTCAAAAACTCCGGGAAATGTTTAAAACACAGAAAAATAACGAAACAAACTCCTACTCCCCGGATTCCGGGAATCCTCCAGAAGTTTGCAACCCTGGCTCCAAATACCAACTTGTCATGGTAACGCTCGCTAGCAATTGACGCTGCAGCGGTGTGTCCCGAAACTACACTGCACTCCTAGCGGTGTAATATATGCTAACCGCAGCACTGCTGTCTGTCTATGTTTAATTATTTTGTCTATGATACGGTAAAACATTACATCAAGTTAAATTAGGCTACATTAATATTTTTAATAAATGAATACATAGCAGACTTAATTTTAAATATACATTTATTACTCAGGCTACATGAGTTTTTTACATTTACTGAGTAAACAGTATTCAAATAGATTTTGAATATTCAACAATTAAAACTAAGTGCTCTGTAAACATTGTTTTTTTAAGAGCGTCCTGTCAGCTGTTGACTGTTGAGAACCAGACTGTCGAGTTAACGGGTGTCGATTTAGTGAGGTTTTACAGTTTTGGTAAATACCAATTACTCAATGGATAGGTGAAAATGTTTTTTATAGTAATTCACTTAGACAAAACCGGTGAGGGTTAACGTGATCTCTTGGTGTTCATTTAATTATCCATAAAATGTGTTAGGGCTTGTGCAAAGAGTGTACCATTAAGAAAATAGCTCTAATAGACATATTAATGCACTTCATTGTCTTATTCCTAACCCCACTGAGCTTAAGATGATTAATGTGTTAGTAATCACCTTGTTTCCATAGATAAATAAATCTAGAGGCCCTCTCCTCTTAAATATGCCACTGTTGTTACTTTGATAGTTCTTTTATCATACTGTTTTTGTTATTAGTTATCTCTGTATTTTATACTTGTGTTGTTATTGTTTATAAATATTGCTCAAAATGTATTCTAGCTGTAAGTTTGATGCACTTTTAATGATGTTATGTTTGACTGTTAGTGGAGCCGTTTGAAATGTTTTACAATTTTATTTTGCTGAGGTATCCAGGATTTGTTGAATAAAGTGAAAATGTCCACTAACATCTTATCTTCTCATAGTTTATTTTCTAGGCTAAGCTATATCTCAAATACATGTATGACCGTCAACTACGTGATTCAATGTGGCTTTGTTTGTCTCTTGTATCCTTTCTAACGAGATGTGTTTCTGTGTTTCACCGTCAGAGCATTTTTTGGAACATTTTTGCTTCACAATTTTTCACAGGAACTACCTTACTTGATAGCACATAATACACCCTCACAACTATGAGCAATTGCAGAGGGCCATGGTGATAAAACAGAAAAAAAAAACGGAAATAAAGGTGTTTCAGTCAGCCATACTTGGAAATTTATCAAACAGACAGTATAAGCAGATTACAGTTTTACTGAATATTATGTATTTGAGATAATTATAGATACAGTATTTCACATCTGTCCTCTAACTGGAAATATATAATGTTTTTGAATTTATAAATCCCACCCTAAATTAAAATATTGTGGCTCAAAGTATTATATGATAAGTAGTTTTAACAGTATTCTAGTAAGAAATTTAAGGTTTAAAAAGTAACTGAACATTATTACAGAAGTACCTATTCTGCAGTAGGTAGTACTTGTTCTCTGAAAGAAACGTAAAGTTTGCTTTAGCAGCAGTCTAGTATTCGTGGCAGCAGGCAAAATATTAGGCAACTATTCATCACACTGTCCGGAAAGCAGCTGTTTTTAGGTGCAAATTCGTCGGTTTTGTGTAACTTCAAATAGGGAACAGAAAAACCATATGGTAAATTTTGCGGTTTGCTAACCACAAAATTTGATCAGTGCATTATGTGGAAACGCTGCTAATCACACAATACCTATTTAAAGTTACGTTTGTAAATAACATAAATTTAAAAACATTGATCATGACTTTGTATAACCACTAATTTTGTAATGGTTAGGTATTTCCACTGTATGATGAATAGTTGTTCATCACAAAGGAAAGTTTTTTTGTACTTAAGTATTTTCAAAACACGATTGTGTACCAAAGAGAGCCACTTTCGCTCCTTGTGATTAAAACTACTATTACACATTGAATAATGCATAGTCCCTGTTTCAAAAGAACCTCATAAATTCACTACACAATTCTGTTATAGAGAAAGTTTCATTTCCTTCTTCTGTTCTGTAGACTGTAGAGTGATCATTGGTTCAAGGAACGCCCAACCAATGAGGACATTCCATGTCACGTTTTTTATTTAAGTACATCAACTGTGTATAAGATGTATATTTACAAATGTTGTAGAGCAATAAATTTTCACAAACACTTTGTATGGAATATACT